CTTGTGTTCCAGCTACTTGTGATAATAAGTGCATGTCAAGCAAGCATGAGACTACCAGTAAAGTGATAATGTTTAAAGAAGTTTATGTGACATGTATGTTATGTATGTGTCACCACACTTAGGGTCAGGTACTGAGCAGTCCAACGTTATATACTGGAAATTAAAGACGACATTAAAAACTTACAGACAGGTACATTGTCCTTTGGTGATATTCTATTGAAGCTAGATGAGCGCTTCTTTGTGCCCCATAATGTCTTGTGAATAAATGAAGATGACTGATTAAAAGACTATTCTGCACTAAGATGGACATTTAAGTGTGTTTCAAAGATAATTTCAGGCCAGGGATCTAGCTCAGTGGCATAAGTATCTGCCTGGCAAGTGTGAGGTCGTGAGTTCAATCCCCGGTACCAAAAGCAAAACAAAAAACAAAAATAATTTCAGGAATAGTATTGTATGCCTATAATTCAAGTACTCAGAATGCCAAAATGGGAAGATGAAATGAGTTCAAGGCCAGCCTAGTCTACATAGTGAGGACAAGTGCAGCCTGAAGTACACAACAAGCTCTCAAAACAAAGATAATATTATCATCATGATTGTCATGCTAAAATGGCATATGTGATCCCCAACTCAAAATTATACTACAAAGCTACTGTGATAAAAGCAGCGTGGTACTGGGAAAAAAAAGACCTGAAAATTAATGGAACAGATTAGACAATATACATACTTAGCCACCTTATCTTTGGTAAAGGTGCCAAACACATTCACTGGAAGAAAGATAATCTCTGTAATAAATGGTGCAGAAAAACTGGCTTTCACATGCCAAAGATTAAAATTAGACCCATATCTTTCACCAGGCACTAAACTAAAATCAACATGGATAAAAGATCTAAGTATTAAAACAGAAACACTAATCTGCTGGAAGATAGCAGAGGCAGAACTCTTGAAGACATTGGTGTAAGCAAAGACTTTATGAACAAAACCCTAATTGTATAGAAACTGTCACAAAGAATCAACAACTGAGATCTCATCTTATTAAAAAGCTTTTGAACAGCAAGCAAGAGAAACCACCATCACAGTGAAGAGACAATCCACAGTGTTGGAAAAAATGTTTGCCAAGTGTTTCTCAAAGGGCTACTATTGAGAAAACATAAGGAACCCCCAAAAATCAGAGCCCCCAAATTTAAAGACCCAATATAAAAATGGGCATCTGATATGTATACATAATTCTCAGATTAAGAAGTACAAACAGCAAATAAATACATGAAATAATGTTCAACATCCCTGGTCTTTCAAGAGATATAAAGTAAAATAATGCTGAGATTCCATCTCACTTAAGAAAGAATAGTTATTTTCAAGAAATCAACCAGTAACAAATGCTGGCAGGGCTGCAGGGAAAAAGGAAACTTCTCCACTGTTTGTGGGAATGCAGACCGTGGAAATCAGTGTGGAGATTCCTCAAAAAAGAAAAAAAAAAAACTAGGTTTGGAGGTCCCATTTGACCCAGCAATTCCCCTTGTTGGTATCTTCCCAAAAGAATTAAAAGCATCATATCACAGCATTATATGGTAGCAATATAATTTGTAACAAGCAAACCTTGAAAACAGCCCAAATGCCCATCAACTGGTGAATGGATAAGGCTATATATATATATAATAATGAAGTACTACTCTACATAAAGAAGGAGAAGTTCAAGACATTTCTAGGTAAGTGGATACACCTTGAGACCACACTCTTTAAGTTAAATAAATTGGACACGTGTAAATACCACATTGTTTCTCTGGTGTGAGAAACCGAAAGTATAAATAAGGACCAAAATACATAACAGTATTGTGAAATAGTAAGAAAATGTTCAAATGGGGAGGAAACAAAGCAGAGAGGGAGGGGCAAGGAAAGAAAAGTAAAAAAAGAGAAAATAAGGAAAAATTGGAAACAAAGCTTTTGCACATGGGGAGGGGAAGCATTACTGGGAGGATTTGGGAATGAGAAAAAAAGAAACAAGTTATATACAGAATGTACACATTCTCTATGATGAATGGATCATTATGTGTATCTAAAATGTACTGATAAAATCTGATTGGAGAAATAAAATGTGCATGGTTCTTGATCAAGTTTTAGAACTGGAAAACTTTGTTAACAAGCTACTTAGAAGTCTTTTGACTTCTAAGACAACACGATTTGTAAGAAAATAACAATACTCTGGCTATACTTTATATTTCAAAGTGCTTGATAACCAGGTGATGATATAATAGTTAAACTCACTAATCCCACTTAAATACTGGTGCAACTGACTTTCTGGATATTCAACAACTAAGGCTTGGAAACCAAAGTTAAAAGTGAACTGGAGCCAGGTGTGGTGGCACATGCCTGTAATCCCAGAACTCAGGAGGCTGAAGCAGGACTATTGCAAGTTTGCTGCCAGCATGGCTTACTTAGTGAGTTCAAATCCAGCCTACACTACAAAGTAAGTCCCTGGTCTTTTAAAAAAGCAAAATGAAACAAAACAAAATAAAACACAAGTTAGTGAGGCTTACAAGGCAGCCTGTATTTTGGCCCTGGCTTTCCAAGGTCAACAAAGACCCAGGACCTGAAAGCTCTCTGCAGGATCATAAGACTTTGGTGAGTCACTCAACCCCTAAACAAGGGACTGTTGGACTCCAAAGAACAGGAGTCAACCAATACACAGTGCGCCAAAAAGGAACATCACCAAAGAGGAAAAGTCTTCCATGCTGTCACAGGAAGCCACAAGGTCAGCAAGATTGACCCATCCTGGTGGCTCACACTGACAGAGGCACCAACTGGCTCTGTACATGGCTCCAGAAGCAATGCCTGAAGAGACTTAACTCACCTTCCCAGACGGCAAGCGGTAAGCTTTGGTCGACCAGGTCTCTCTTTAACCTGGTTTTGGAGAACACTCAGTAGAAGAGTATAACCAAAGATACATAAAAGTAACAAATACAGGCTAAACATAAAAAGAGCTCTAATCACTGCCCTGCTAACAGTTTCTAGCTATACCTGTAGACAGGTCCAAGAGCCAGCTAGATATGAGTGCTATTTCAATCCCTTAAGGACAGCATCTGACAGGGCTTCCTCCCCATCTACCTTTCCATCCTAGCTCATGCTTTGGTCACACGTGTCTTCATCTCAAGGAAAAGTCTGTTTATTCTTGCCTACAGACTGCCAAACCTCAAGTGATCACACAGATGAAATCTATGATAATCTATGGTAAAGGTGTCAGACAAACCAAACTACTGGTGATGACTATAAGTTTCCATGTCTATGGTTCTTCAACAAAAAAAATTTTTGGTACCAGGAATGAAACTCAGGACCCCATGCTTGCCCAGCAGGCATTGTGCCACTGAACTACATCCCCATCCTCATCAAGAAATCTTCAGAGGAAGGGCTCCCTTCCTGGAGCTCCTAGATCAATCAGGGAGAAAGTTCCTTGGTCTCTGCATAGGTAGAGCCAATGCCCCTACTCAGTCAGAAGTAGCAATAGCAGATCGAACTTCTTCAACTCCCCTCAAAGATTTTTGGGTATCAGGACGCTCAAGAGAGAAGAGTATAGTTAGAAACAAAGGAGCTTGTCACTCTCCTCCCTTTGTTCAACTGTAAACACCATTCTACCCTAATGATTATCCAGGCTTCCATTCTCTTAAAACAGACAGGCTGTGCGAGATACTCCCCTTCTTTCCATTCAACCATAAGCCAAACGCCCCTCATGATTATCGAGGTTTAAACTTAGATGGCTGACATCAGGGAGAAAGACAGTGGGAGGCAGCTTGGCTCAGTGGTGTCCGACCCTGTAAATACCAGAAGCCTGAGCCATTGCATCCCTTCTCCTTTTGCCCTCAAATGCCTTACCTCCTTCAACCTCTTTTTTCCCTTCCCGTTTCTATTACCATCCTGTGATCTTCAACAATTGTGGCTACTTACTATATATGATGAGGTGTATGCTCCACAGTTTTTTCCTAGTCATACCCTAAAACCTGGATTGTTTTTGGCCCATTCAACTATAACACAAGCAGGCCAACACTGCCCCCCCCCCAAACCCTGAGATGTTCTAAAGGCTCTTAGCAACAATTTTATATCACCTATTATAAAGACATTAAATGAACAAATGGGGTGGAACTCCTTGCTGAAAAGCAGAAACTGAAAAAAAAAAAAAAAGGATTCTTTTTTTTAAAGATAGGGTCCCATTATGTAGTTCAGGTTGGCCTTAAACTCAGAGCAATGTTCCTCTCTCAGTCTTCCAAACGCTGGGATTACAGGTGTGCACCGCCATGTCCAACTCAAGTGGCAATTCTAGAGCTAAAAAATCTAATAAGTGAGATTTAAAAATTCACCAAGTTTGGCTATATTACCCGAGAAAAAAAATTCACCAAATACATTTAAAAGACTGAATTTACCAAATAAACTTGAATCAACAGAGATTAACAAATCTGACAAAAATATTGAAGAAAATGGGATAGAACCTCAAATGGGGCAATAGCAAATGGTCTAGTATGTACATACTCGGAGATCCAAAAGGAGTTGAGTGACTTGGTGAGCGAGTCATGGGTGGAGCATAGAAGGTTGTCAAGGAATGGGCTCCACGATACTGGGCAATCAGGGGCCAGAACTGAACTGAATCATGATGCAGGTTAAGTGAAGGGGAAAACATTTATCCTTCAAGAGCAAGTAATCTGACAACAGTCTCATCTCCCCCAGGATCTCCTAGCCACGCAGCCATATCCTTGGTCTTCCTGAAGAGGGATGAAGTGAATCCATGGAAGGTGGGTTCCCCAGGAGAAAAAGCCCCCTCAGGAATCAAGAACTGCTTTTCTTGAGCTCCCAAATCGTACTAGGATCCTGCACAAAAATCCTCGGAACCAGGCCAACAGGCGCGGCTAGAAGGTGTGGTTCAAATTTGAGGATTCTATCTCCAGAAAATGAAGCTAACCTATGACTTCTTAGCCAACATTTAGGGAACCCCAGAGGGCACTAGGTTTCAGAACGTAGTCTCAGTAATCTGGTGTACGCGGTGGAGACCCAGCGACCACCCCAATACAAAATTAAGCTAGAGGCCACAGAGGCAGGCTGCCCTTGGAAGCCAAAAGAGGCGCCCCTGACACGTTATTTCCGCTCCCGCGGGGTGCACCAGACACCGGAAGTATAAGTCACTGCAGGGGTCACCAGGGAATATGGTCTTGGAAGAAAAGGCGTTGAGAGCGAGGGTCACGGCAGAATGAGAAGCTTCACTTGGATGACGAACGCGATTTTAAGAGAAATCCGGGGATACGCAGCGGCGACTTTCCTGCAGACGTAGCCACGTTACCCAGCGCCTGGTCACTGCTGTTGGCCTGGGTCCGTTACCCAGAGACGGCGCCGAGCATCCTGGGAGATGCGGCACAAGGGTGGAGCATCCTGGGAGGTGTGGCCCTGTGCTGAGCATCCTGGGAGGTGTAGTCCCGGTGCCTTGTTGTACGCGATCTCCAACTGGTGGCTGGAGCGACCCCTTGCTTGTTCTTTGGTGGCGCTGGTGAGTGGAGCTTCAAGTCGGGAACCTTGCTACAGTCATGCTGTTTTCTGCTGGGAAAGGAAGGATCTGTGGCAAGAGCCCAGGTCGGTACGAGTGGGCGGGAGTGGAGTGCGGTGGAGACGCACCGGGGCGTCACTGGGCATGAGGTGATTAATTCTCAAATTACTTGCTCTTGAAGCATAAATGTTTTCAGGGTGTCGGCACACGTCTGGGGTGATCCTCAGCCGTGAAGGCGGGGGGTAGGTGGGTGCTAGGCTTAGGCTTCTGTCCCAGAGCTTTTGAGGGTGGGGACAGAGTTGGACTAAATTGAAATCGCGGTTTAGGGAGAGGGGCCGTTCCTGCTAAGTTTCCGGGCTTTTAGAGTACGATGTCCGTAGACGGTGGGTGGGACCATCCCTAGGGCCTGGCGTCCCAGGTCTTGTCGGCTGGGTGCTGGTCGTCTCACCCAGGCAGGGAGGGCAGGCGGAGCTTAGCGGAGCAAGCCTGGGCCCCATGGGTGCTCGGTGGCCGCCGTGGCGCGACCTTAGGGTCTCACTTTCTCTGGCTGCCTCTGGGTTCCCGCCCTTGGAGGAGGAAGTCTAGCTGTGGGGCCTACTCCCAAGATTTTTCAAGGCCCTGACGACAATCATTGACCACAAAAATCACAGGATTTTAAATGCCACTTTATTTAAATGCTTTATTATGGAGAAATTTCAAACAGCTAGAAGTAGCTAGAACTCCGCAGTTTTGTTACCTAGACTGAATGCTTAACCACCTCATGACAGAGACGGGTTTATCTCCCAAGTGGATACGTGGAGAATCCTTACAGCCTTCCAGTTTGGTCGCCACAGCCAGATTTCTACTGTCTGTCAGTTGATAGCTTTGTCATCCTGACCAGGAGACTGTTATCGTGCCTTAAGGTTCTCATGTATAAAACGATAGCTGCTTCTGCTTCATTGGGATGCGCTAAGGATGGAACGAGGTCAGTCTTGTCTGATGCCCGGCTCAGTCTCTGGTATCTACTCAGTGCCTGGTGGATCTTCCCTCTCATTTTTGGTAACAGGATGCAGAGCACCTCATGCCCAGTGATAGCAGCCTGTTGGGGCAGCCTGACCACATCCTAGCCTTAGGAAGCAGCCCACAATTTCTTCCTTCTGTTCTATGCCAGATTCATTCCCGATGCCTTTAAGAAAGAAGAGGCGCTGCCCTATTGGAGCTTGAGGACTTCTGGTTCCTTTCCTGAGCTTTTTCTTGTTCTTCTGCTTCCTGTGGGCCCTGAATGCCCAGGGTGGACTGCCTGCTGGGGAAGGGAGGCTTCCTGGGTTGTCAGCTGCCCAGCTGCAGGTGAGTGCAATTTACCTTTTGCATCTAAACTATGAGTTTTCCCAGTGTTGACATCATGTTTCCTGCAGTGTCCTGTCAGGGACCAGAGCCACAGCTGGTTCCTGTAGGAAAAGTGGCCCCTTTGGAGGGTGATATTTTCACAGGGAGTGTTCTTCAGGCATGCTGCCCCCGTGCATTATCCCTCTGTCCTGGGCCGGGCATTCCTGTCCTCGGCATTGCCTCAGACTGCTCATTCCCAGGGCACCTCAGGCGCTGTGATTATACCAGTTCACTTCCTGTGCTTTCTGTCACCCTCACAACTCTTCCTGCTTGAGCGGCTTGCTGCACATCCCAGCTATAGCATCTCACCTGCAGATTCTTTAGTGGGCATCTCTAACACATAAGGATGTAACAGCCAGGCTTGGGTGTTGTACATCTGTGACGCCAGCACTTGGGAGGTCGAGGCAGGAAGATTACCGTGAGTTTGAGGCCAGCCTGGGCTACATAGTGAGTTCAAGGCAGCCTGAACTACATGGTAAGAGCCTGTTTCAAAACTGAAACACAAACAAAAAACAAAACCAGAAAGGATATATGTACATATCTACAATTTTACTACAGCAAATACATAGTTTAAACAGAGGCACAATTTCAGTGTTACACCTAACAAAATTATTTGCTCATTAATATTATTTAATATGCTTGAAATTTTAGTTTTTATCAATTAAAAAAAATATCTTTTTAACCCCAGTTAGAAAGAACAACCCTGGTCAGAAGCAGGGGAGAGGGAAGTATCTGGAACTCTGTGATGGTCTCCCATCCCTGCCTCTCTGCTGTCTTGCTCACAGCTGTAGCTCCTGCCTTGAGTTTTCCTTGTTCTTTCCTGACTCTCTTTCTGTTTGATTGGCTCTTGGCCCTTCCACCTGTGTATACTCTGCGACTCCTTCTTCCCTTTGTCTCTTCCCCTTCTGCCTTATCCTGACCTCCTTGCCCTTCCTTCCACTAAAGCTAAACTTGACAGAATCATGTATATTTGCTGTTAACGAGGTCTCAGTTCTACCTGCCAGGGAAATAGTCCTCGTGATGATCACCTGTATTCTCCCTGTGACTAACTGCCACAGTTCTCAGCAGTGTTTTATGGAGTTGCTTACTTTCTCTTTAATATCCCTCACGTAGTTGCTCTGGGCTTCCGGGTTTTTAGTTGTCTCCCTACCTCTTATGTCCTTTTTTGCTGGCTTTTCCTCTCTCCTGTGCCTCGTATGGCCTTCTCAAGTTTTTAGACTTCTGCTCTCTGGCTATATTCATGATCCAAGTGCTGACTCATATATGAATGGTAGGGTTGACTCTCAAGGCTGCAGGCACCAGCTCTCTGCCTTCAGCTGCACATGCAGGTCACTTGCTGTGCACCCCACATTTCTGCCTAGACATCTCACAGGCATCCCAGACTTTCTGCACCTAGTGGGGCACAGATAATTCTTTCAAGGGAAGCAGAGACCTGGTGACTTCCTCCTTCAGATTGTGTACCCTCGGAGTCAACCTTTCTTGTACACCTTGGCTGTCTCCGACCCTGCTGCCTCCATAGTGCTCCAGGCCACCGTCCCTCCTGGGTTGTAGCCCTCAATGGGAGTCACTTGGGGACTCACTTTGGTTGCATCATGTGAGGTGGCTCCTCTCATGCATCCGAGTAGGCTGGCTGGAAGGCAGGGGGAGAGCGATGCTGACTTGCTGTCTCTTATGCACGCTGTGAACTTTGTACATCGTAGTCTTAATATGTGGTACATGTTACCTGTCCCAGCCACTGGGGACAGCATACTCAAGGCCAATCTGAAGAAGCTCCTAAGCCAGAATAATTTTTTTGCTTGGTGTTTTGACACACACTTGTGTTAGGCTGGCCTTGAACTCACTGTGTTTCTGTGTTCCTGAGTATTTTATTTATAATTTTGCTTTAATATTTGTAAAGGATAATTGATGTATAATTGTCTTGTTTTGAACAGTCATCAAGGGTAAGCCCTGGTCTTTTCCTACACTGTTTTGTGGCTCTACCCTTCTATAGACCCACTGTAACAGACAGTAGTTTAGCTACGATTGTGAACAATCTGATGGAGGTCAGCGTGTTTCAGTCTAATGATCATCTTGTAGAGGATGGTGTGGACGAGGGAGTCAGCATTTGTAATCTCATACACCTTTCATATAGTGGTTCTGGTTATCTGTTTTTAAAATGTTTTCTTAGATTACACCGTTTGTTTGTTTGAGACAGGGTCTCACTATGAAGTTCAAACTGGCCTTGAACTCACAGCAATCCTGCCTCAGCCTCCAAGTGCTGGGATTGCAAGCGTGTACCACTACACCCAGTTCAGATTATACTTTTAAATATTTGTTTTGTTTCATTGTTTATGTTTTCAGAGATAGTAATTATGAGAATGTACACCTGCTATTCCAACCTCTTTCTGGACCTTTTTACTTCTTTTTTTCTTCTTTATTCACTTTTTTATTGTTATTCTCTGGCTCTCCAGTTCCCATAATGGTTTCATTTCATTTCCTTGGATGTCTTAGAATTTAGTTTTAGAAGCAGACTTGAGCAGGAATCAGTGAGCCTGGAGACAGAGTAGCTCAAATGAGGTGTGAGAAACAGAGACAAAGGCTAAGGGAACAGCATGGAGCATTAGGGATCTGCAGCAGACTACCAAGTGGACTGGCTGTGGCAAACAGAGGAGGAGGAGGCAGGGTCATCTAAAGAAATAATGGCCAGAGTGCCCCAGATTTGATGAAAGACACGAATACAAACATTCAAGAAGTACAAGTAGGAAAAAGCTACCCAAGATACATTAGAATCAAAATATCAAGCACCAGAGACATTCAAGAGAATTTTGAAAGCAGCAAGAAAAAGCAGCCCCATGTCCAGGGCCTCCTCCTGGGGCTGTTAGCAGGTGTCTCATTAGAATTTGAGAGGGGAAAGCACTGAGTTGATACATTCAGAGTGCTAACAGAAAAAACAATGCCGTCAAAACAGAACCTTATATCTGGCAAAACTGAAGGAAAAATACAGCCATTCTCAAACAATCAAACACTGATGGAACTTCCTCCTGTAGACCTGGCCCTGCTTGAAATTCTGACAAGTCTTTCAGGCTGAGATGAAAGGACACCAGTTAGTCGAAGCCATATAAAGAAAATTGTCTGTTAAAGATCAATATATAGATGGCAGTATGAGCCAGGATTATTGTAACTTTGTTTACTGCGTGCCTCAGGGGACTACTGTATTAAAAAACACATACACACAACAGTAATCAGTTTTTGGTTTTGACCCCACAGTTCAGAAAGATGTGACATCGGTAAGTGACTGGAGATGAAGAAAGAGTTGTAGAGAAACAGTTTTTGAATGCTGTATAGAGTGCAGCTGATAAATTCAGCAGGCTTTGAACTTTAGGATGTTAAATGTAGTCCTTGTGATAACCAGAAAGGCAGCCATAAAATAATAGAAAAGGAAATAAGAAAGGAATTTAAAAGTTGTGCTAAAAAAAGAAAATCAAGTAAAGAGTAGCAGACCCAGAAATACAGAAAATGAAAGAAAAAATGCTGCAAGATCTGGTTGCAGTGGCACACACCTATAATCCCAGCACTCAGGAAGCTGAGGCAGGAGGATTGTTGTGAGTTCAAGGCCAGCCTGTGCTACACAGTGAAACTCTGTCTCAAAAAGAGCAAGATAAAAATAAAAAGCTACAAGACACATAAAAAACAAGCAAAATGCAGGAACAAATTCCTGCTCATCAGTGATTTATATGTGAATTGATTAAACTTCAATTAAAAGACAGAGTTTGGTATAGTAGATTAAAAAAACAGAAACATGATGCAGTAATATACTGTCTACGAAAGATTTAACACTAGACACAAAGTTTGAAAGAATAAAATGCTTAATATAAGTAATGACCAAAGAGAGTGACATGGCTATATAATGCAAGAAAAAAACAAACTTTACTACTTCAAAAAAGCGTGTGAGACTGCCTGGCAAGCACAAGGTCATGAGTTCGATCCCCAGTATAAAAAAAAAGTGTAAGAGAAATGATGTACTAAAAAAGACTGAATACAGCAAGAAGACATAAAAGGTATACACACCATGATAACAGACCTGCCACGTGTATGAGGCAACACTGACAGAACCGAAGAGGTAAACAGTGCTACAGTAATAGTTGCAGGTTTCAGTATCCTACTCCATAATGGACAGAACAAGACAACGTAAAGAGTTAAGAACCTGGACAACACAGTAAGCCACCTAGATCCAATAGAACATTCTACCAGCAGAACCAAGACACACATTCAAGTACACATGGGACATCTGCCAGGGTAAAGTATGTGTTAGGTGACAAATTAAGCACCAGGGGTATTAGAGTGTTAAACGTAGATCTTGTGGTAAAGAAAATAGCCATAGAAATAGACAAGGAAATAAGAAGGAAATTTAAAAGTTGTATAAAAAGTCAATGAAGGGGCTGGGGATTTAGCTCAGCTGCATAAGTGCCTGCCTTGCAAGCAGGCAGTCGTTAGTTCGATCCCCGGTACCAATAAAAAAGAAAAAAAAAGACAAAAAAAAAAAAAAAAAAGTCAATGAAGACAAGAGGAAAAAATCATGCAGGAAATTAAAGACAATAAATCCAGACAGATAGCATAGAAAGTATCAACTACAAAATGAAGTCAGAAACCAGGATCAAAGGAAAACTGAAAATTTCACAAGTATGTGTAAGTTAAATAGTGTACTTTTAGCTAATAGGTAAAAAAAGAAACTACAAAGAAAATTAGGAACAAGGAAAACAAAACCAGAAAATACTAAAGTTTATGGTATGTGGTAAAAGTGTTTAGGGGGACATGTTTAGCTGAAGTACTTACATTAAAAAAGAAAAATCTGCTGGGCGTGGTACCACACATCTATAATGCCAGCACTTGGGAAGCTGAAGCAGGGAGATCACCACAAGTTTGAGGCTGCTCTCAGCTATATAGTAGGTTCAAGGCCTGCCTGGACTACATAGTGAGACCCTGTCTTGGAAAAACAGGACAAAACAAAAATCTCCAGAAAGCAACCTTCTTCTAAGGTTTCCCAAAATTCATAAACCTTCAGCTTGATTGACTAAGGAAACTCAGATTACTAAAATCAGAAACAAAAGTGAGGAAATAACTACTGCATCTACTGAAACAAACAAACTTATAAGAGTAGTGTGAATTAAACACCAACAAAATGGGTGACCGAGAAGAATTAGATGAATTCCTAGACACAACTCATCAAGACTGAATCATGAAGAAGTAGAAATTCTGGGTAATTCTAGGACATGTTTGAATTGGTAACTAGGACTCTCTAGACAAAGAAAAGCGCTTTACTGGTGGCTTTACTGTGAATCCTATCAGATATTTAACAAAGAATTAACACCAGTCTTCAAACTTTTCTAAGAACATTGAAGAGGGAGCCCTGCTTAGCACATTCTAGGAGGCCAGCATTACTCTGTCAACACAGACAGGGACACCACAAACATGAACAGTTGATGAAAGAAAAAAAAGCCAAAATACTAACCAAGTTCAACAGCACAGGAAAAAAATTGTATACCATGACAAAGTAGGATTTATTTCTGGAATGCAAGGATATTAATTCACCATAAGAATGTCAAAGGTAATACATTAACAGATGATATAAAAACACTGATGATCATCTTACTTGATATAGAAAAGCATTTGAAAGAATTCAACTTCCAATGAAAAATACTCACCAGACTAGGAATAGAAGGAAACTAAACAGAGTAGAGATCACGTATGAAAATCTCACAGCTAAAATACTCTAACATAAAAGACGGAAAACTCTAAAATCAGGAACAGAGTAATGATGTCCATTTTTGCAACTTACAATCAATAGAGAATTGGAAGTTCTAATCAGAGAAAGTAGGTGAGGAAAGTGGGGAAAAGACACTGAATTGAAAAAAATAGGGCTGGGGATTTAGCTCAGTGGCATAAGTGCCTGCCTGGCAAGCACAAGGTCATGAGTTCAATCCCCAGTACCGGGGGGGGGGATCTGTTTGCAGATATGACCTTGTACATCAAAAACCATAAAGATCACATGTGTACACACAAACAGGTATGAAATGTAGACCTACCAGAATATGTAATAGCAAAACTTAAAAATCACTTCTGTCTCTGAACACTAACAAATAATCCTCAAAAGAAATAAGAAAAATATTCCATTTTAGGATCAAAAGAAGAAAATAGGAGTTGACCAAGGAGATGAAAGGCTTATAAAGTACACAACACTGCTGACAGAAACTAAACAAATGAAAAGACATAACATGTTTTTAGATTGCTTGTGAAGGTCAAAATGGCATTACTACCAAGGCTAAATACAGATTCAGTGTACTCTACACCACAGTCCACTCCTGTTTTGTAGAAACAGAAAAATTCATCCCAAAGTTCATATGGAATGTCAAGGAACTTTAAATATTTTAATTATGAAAAAGAACAAAGTTGAAGGACTCACAGTTCCTGATTTCAAAATTGCTGTAAAGCAAGAATAATTCAAGATTTGGTGCTGGTGTAAAGAGAAACTTACTAGACCAGTAGCACAGGACAAGCCCTTGCTTATATAGGCAAAAAAGAATTAGCAGGAGGACCAAGCGTGGGAAAGAATGTATTCAACAAACTGAGGGAATGACGGTAGAAATCTGCCTAAAACCATCAGTAAAAATTAACTGACTGTACTTGGTGATTTCCTGAAAATGACATCAAAACAACGAGCAACAAAAGAAAATATAAATTGGACTTCATCAACATTTAAGACTTTGGCCAGGCATGGTGGCACATGGCTATAATTCCAGCACTCAGGAGACCGAGGTAGGAGGAGCACCACAAGTTTGAGGCCAACCTGAACTACATAGTGACACCCTGTCTTAAAAAAAATTTAAGCCTTTTGTTTGTCAAAGGAAAAGAATATATTTGCAGGTCATATGTGATGAAGGATTACTATCCCGAGTATATAAAATGCCTATAAACAACAAAAAAAGAACACCCCAGATTTAAAAATGGACAATAGTGTGAATAGCCTTTTTTGAAGATAAGGTACACAGATGGCCAGTAGGTCAGTCTGTTTTCCATCACTGTACTGAAATACCTGAGATAAGTTACAAAGAAAAAAGGTTCACTGCTAGTTTTAGAGTTTTCTGTCTGACTAGTTGGTCCCATTGGTTTGCATGTGTCTAAGACACTACCACATAGCAGAGCAAAACTGCTTATATTATGAGCCAGGGACAAAGAGAAAGTCTGGAGTCCTGCAGTCCTCTCTGGGGGACATACCCCAGTGACCTACAGACTTCCCATTAGCCCGACTGCTGTATGTTCCACTGCCTCCCGATACTACCTGGAGACCTCAGTCAACATCCAGCCAGTGGCATACTGTAGGCACATGAAAAGATCCAAAGATCCTCGGTGTCATTATCATTAGAGAAATGGAAATGGTGAAGCATAGAGAAATGGAAAGCAGTCCGTGTTGGGGAGGATGTAGAGAGGGAAGAACCCTTGTACCCTGCCAGTGGAAATGATATGGAAAACAGGATCACAGGATGAGAAAAACCAAACCTCGAATGGCCATTCCTGGATATACAGTGTACTCCTAAGAACTGAAAGTAAAAACTCAATGTTTATACACCAGTGTATGTGGCAGAACTATTCACAGTGGCCACAAAACATGCCCATTGATAAAGAATAGATAAGCAAAATAAATACACACACAGTGAACTACTGCTCAGTGTATGCTTCTGCATGGAGGAATCCTAGAGTGACAACTGTAAGGGAAATAAGCCAAACAAAGGGACATGCCTTCTGTGGCTCCAGTTATTTTAATCACTTAGAGCCAACCATACAGAGATGAAAGCAAGGTGACTGCCACCAGAGCTGGGGGAAGGGGAGGATGGGAGTTGGGGTTATTGTCTGAGGTCCCAGGCCTTCAATGGGGAAATGCAGAAGATGCATTGGTGATGGTCACTGCAACCCCATGAGTGCACTTATCTTCTGGAACTGTAGGCTTTGAAAGGGTAATAGAGGGGGCTGGGGACTTAGCTCAGTGGCATAAGCACCTGCCTTGTAAGCAGGCAGTCGTGAGTTCGATCCCCGGTACCGATAAAAATGAAAAAGACAAAAAAAAAAAGAAAGGGTAACAGAGTAAACTTGCGTTCTGTGTATTTTGGCCACAGTAAAAAATAATACCCTTGTAGAGGCTGCTCCTCCTGTCACAATTCAGCCAGTACCTGGGCTCTGTCCCTCGAGGTTCCTCCCACAGTGGCCACATGCTTTGCTTGCTGGACCCTCGTCTCTGCTCCCCACTATCTCACCCAGGGTCTCCCCGCTTTCCTCTTCCCTCTGTTCCCCCTTTCTCTTAGGCCATGCTCCCAGGCCTAAGGGTTAGGTAGCCCCGTCCCAGGGTGCCCTCCACTCTGAAATGGTGCGAAGGTGATGAAAGGGTTAACACCAGGCAGGGGGAAGAGAATGGGTACAGATGTGTTTCCAGGTTAAATGGCCCAGCTCCCTGTGAGCATCCAGCACATGACAGGAAGTTCAGTGTGCCACCCACCTCGCGTGAGTGGGAAACCTGAGGCACTTGTTGGTGGCAGGGGTGGTCTTGAGATACTCAAGAGCTTCCCTGTACCCCACCTGTCCCTGCCCAAACCAAGAAGGCTGTGGCTATTGGATTTGGAGAGGGATTGGCAGCGTTTACCTTGTATGTGTGGCATAGTGAGAACTTCATGGCCCAAATGCTTTGCTCCTGTTGATTAGGTCAGGCCATTGGTGGGGACCCAGGACATGGGAGCCGCAGCTGGCTCTTTATTAGTGTTGAAAGCTCTAGAAGGTTTGCCATCGCTGGGTTAGGCTATTTGATCTAAATTCATAAATTCAGAACATCCGTTAGGCTTAATTGTTTTCTTTTTTCTGTGTGTTTAGCTCTTCTGCCTGGATGTAAAGTTCCTGAAACTTCAGGGCTCTTTTTGTGTGAATACCCGAGCAGCCCAGCCAGACTTTGAATGCCACTGGCCAGGTGTAGATGGGGAATCTATGGTATCACACTCCAGAGCAGATGCAGAGAGGTTCCCGGGGCCTGGCAACCAGGCTGGCTCCCTGGTGAATGCACAGTGTCTTGTGTTCCAGGCACACATGGCGTTCAGGGATGTGGCTGTGGACTTCTCCCAGGAGGAGTGGAGCCTGCTGAGTCCTGCCCAGCGGAGGCTGTACAGGGAGGTGATGCTGGAGACCTACAGCCACCTGGTGTCTCTGGGTAATGGAGCCCACGCTGCTGGGAAGTTTGGGCTGTGTGGACTGTCGTCTTGCTTTCTGACTTGGGCCCTGGGTTGGACCAAAAAGCAAAGGTGTTTTGTTGTTTCCCTAGAAAGGTCTGAATATGGAGAGTTGAAAATGGGTAGGTGTGTGCATGGGTGTGCATGTGTGAGTATGTGTGTGTTTGTGTGAGAGAGACACCTTCAATTTCTAGTTTTTCTAGGCTTTCTTCCTAGCTGGGGGTTCTCTTCCTGGATTAACTTTTTTAGCTGGCAGAGGTGGTTCCCCCAGCACAGACATGCCGGGTTCACTTGGTAGAGCTTACCTGCCCCCAGCACAGGTCCCTGTTGTACCTTTGGCATGTCCTTATTCAGTGGGCCCATGACCCCAGAGCCTAATTTTTGCTTTGTTTTCTTTGTTTTATTGAGACAGAGTCTTGCTAGGTGGTTGAGGCTGGCCTTGAACTCACTGTGTGGCCCAGGCTGGCCTCACAATCCTCCTGCCTCAGCCTCTCAGTAGCTGGGATTACAGGTGTTCATCACCGCACCTGGCCTCCAGGGCCTGTATTTACCTTGTTTATTTCTCACATGAGCAGGAATTCCATTTTCTAAACCAAAACTCATCACACAGCTGGAGCAGGGTCAAGAGATGTGGCAAGAGAAGAGAAAATGTCCACCAGCCATCTGTCCAGGTGAGTGGGGTGCAGGAAGGGAGGCCACTCCAGACTCCTGGGTTGGTGTAGCCCCTTCTTGGCTGGCATCTTCAGTCACAGGAGGGCTCCCTGGTGTCTCCTGACTTCTTCCTCCAGCCTTTTGTCCTCCCTCATTTATGGGTTTCTTTCTCTTGTCTTTATTAAAAAGATAAACAAGAATATAACAAGCTATAGCTAGGGAGGGAAGGTAAAACCCGTCGAGGAAGAAACACTGAAAGGCCATCTGAGAGCCTGCAGTGGAGTTCAGAGTGCAGACCCGCTGTTAGGGTTCCTGATGCAGGTGGGAGCTTGAGGGCCTCTCGGTCCATCTCCTGTGTAACCTGCTGGTCGGACTTCTCATTTCGAGTTCTAGCTGAAGTGAAACAGAGTTCCTTCAGAAACCAGCCCATTGAAGTCACCACGAGTTTGACTTTTATTTTCTGTCACTTACTTTTGTTGCAGGGGTTGAACCCAGAGCCTTGTGTGTGCTAAGCAGGTGCTATAACACTGACCTGCACCTTCTGTCCTCAGTTTTTAATTTGAATTTGGACTCCTGAGTTTCTAAATTCTATTTTATTTTTAATTTTTTGGTACTGAGGATCAAACTCAGGACTTTGCGCTTGTTAGGCAGGTGCTTTGCCACTGAGATAAATCCATGGCCCTGAATTTTAAATTCAATTATTAGCCTTTAAGCCTGTCAGTATGGGATTACCTGTAGATTTAAAATAGTTTATGAACTGCTGGGCATGGTGGCACATACCTGTAACCCCAGCACTCAGGAGGCTGAGGCAGGACAGTTGTGAATTCAAAGCCAGTCTGAACTGCATACCGAGACCTTGTCTGAGAGAATAAATAATAGTTTATAAATGAATTAATTAAATTTGGTAATATTTTGTGTTCAGTTTTTCAGACTAGTCCTAGAGTATACACATACAGTGTTTTACAACTGTCTGAAAAGACTGACCTATGGAAAATTGAAATTTTGCTTTCCTGTTCCTCCATATCAATGTTGACATTTCTCCTAAGGGCCCACAGTGATTCTGAGTTCTGCTTCCTGCAGATAAAAGCCGGCCGCTCACTATATGGGCATAGAAGTTAGTATCCGTACTGGAGGCCTTGGTTCCCACATGGTGGGTGCGGGTTATTTCCCTTTTCAAAGTCACTGTCCCCAGAACAGAGATACAGGAGTGCCTTTGAGATGCATGAGCAGACCCAGGGTGTTAGCAGCACTCCCTTCTGTTGGGTCCAGAGGGAAACAGCCTGAAGATGGCCTCAGAAAACACTCAGGGAAGAGGATGGAATCCCAGGTCAGCTCTCAGTGCTGGAACCTCAGGCAGTTTGGATTAGGGAATAAACTTATGAAGAATAAGACAGCAGCCAGGGTTGAGTCTCTGCTGAGAGAGGGAGTCGCTGGGCCAGAGCCCTGAACAGCCATGGGCACCGCTCCCAGGGCAGGGAGGGACGGTGGCAGGTGGCAGACTGGACCTGAGGTTCCACAGATGACTGGCGGTCCTCAGGTGGAGTGTTTAGAAGGGAATAATTTTGGAACACAGATGGCTACCCAGCTCTAATAAGTTCATCATTCATTGGTCTAGAAAAGAATAGGGAGATACAATAAGAGTGATCCTAGTTTCTCAGTCTCTTCTTCTTTACCCCCTTTTCTTTCTCTCTCCTCTCTATCTCACTGTCTGTCTATCTTTGTCTCTCTCCTTACAGTGCTGGTTACTGAATCTGAGGCCTTGCACGTGCAGGCCAACTGTCCTACTTCTGAGCTACAATAATTGTGGATGTTAACAGCTTAGTAAGTGCAGGGGGCACCAGGAGGAAGCCTCTCTCTCTCTGAGACATGAGGGGCCGAGGCTATGTCGCCTTGTGCACTGTCACCCTCGCACACACATGTCACCTGAGAGCTGTGCCAGTGCATGTGTCTCACACCCTTTACCTGAGTGCTCATTATGCAGCTTCCTCAGGAAGGCCCTCCTATCGGCATGATTACTGTGAGCCTTCCTGACATGGGGAAATGGGTCGCGTGTCTGGATAGGTCTCAGTCTAAACAACAGCTGTGGATGTGGCTTCCGTTGGGGTGTGGTTGTGAGTTAGGATGGAACCAGAGTGGCGATTGTGCAGACCTTTGCATATTTGCACTCTGGAAGCTGCCTGTGATGTGCTGTAGCCTGTGGTGTGAAGTGCACAGCAGACAAGAGCTGGAGACATGTGCCAGAAGAGACGTCTTGGGCAGATCTCACCTAATGCTCAGGCTTTTGAAGCACAGGATGAGGCTCAGTCCTGTGTAGGCAGCATCACTGGGCTGCCCTCAGAGGCCTTCGTTCTGACTTGGGCTTTTCTCTCTGCAGCAGAAGCAAAGCCGGAACTTCAGCTGGGTCCTTTTGGTGGTCCGGATTTCTCGGCTCAGAGATTCCCAGTGCAGCATGTGCTGTGCGGCCAGCCTCCCTGGCTGCTGACCTGCTTGTGCGCAGGAAGTGCTGTCCTGCCAGGGGCTCTGGGCCCGGAGGATCCGGAGGAGCAGAAGAAGCAGCTGCCAGCCTTGGAGGGGCGCACCTGGAGTGCAGAGGCCAAGGGTAGCAACAACGAGGGCCCCAGGCCTGCCTTTGGGAAGATGCAGAGGATGACTCTGGGCATGTTCTCCAGGCCTCTGCAGGGCCAGCTGGGCAGAGACCTCTGCGGGGCGGAGGTAGAGGTGGAGGCTGGCACCGCTTTGCCAGGGCCACCTGAGCACGCAGACAAGTTGCTGACTGGCATCGAGGTCTTAGGGTTTGGGACAGTCAGCTGCAGTGAGTGCGGGCTGGGCTTCAGCAAGATGAGCAACTTGCTGAGCCATCAGCGTGTGCACGCAGGCGCCAAACCATACGTGTGCGGGACGTGTGGGAAGGGCTTCAGCCTGCGAAAGAGCCTGGCACGGCACCAGAAGGCGCACTCAGGAGAGAAGCCCATCGTGTGCAGCGAGTGTGGCCGGGGCTTCAACCGCAAGTCCACGCTGGTCATCCACGCACGCACGCACTCTGGGGAGAAGCCATATGCGTGCGGGGAGTGCGGGCGCGGCTTCAGCCAGAAGTCCAACCTCATCATCCACCAACGCACGCACTCGGGCGAGAAGCCCTACGTGTGCCGCGAGTGCGGCAAGGGCTTCAGCCAGAAGTCGGCTGTGGTGCGGCACCAGCGCACGCACCTTGAGGAGAAGACCATCGTGTGTGGCGACTGTGGCCTGGGCTTCAGCGACCGGTCCAACCTCGTCTCGCACCAGCGGACGCACTCGGGCGAGAAGCCGTACGCGTGCGCAGAGTGTGGCCGCTGTTTCCGGCAGAGGACCACGCTGGTCAACCACCAGCGCACGCACTCCAAGGAGAAGCCGTACGTGTGCGGGGTGTGTGGGCACGGCTTCAGCCAGAATTCCACGCTCATCTCGCACCGCAGGACGCACACGGGCGAAAAGCCCTACGTGTGCTCTGTGTGCGGTCGCGGCTTTAGCCTCAAGTCACACCTCAGCAGGCACCGCAGCACGCACTCCGGGGAGAAGCCCGTCGTGTGCGGGGAGTGCGGGCGTGGCTTCAGCCAGCAGTCCAACCTCGTGCGGCACCAGCGCACGCACTCTGGGGAGAAGCCCCTGGCCTGCGAGGAGTGCGGCCGTGGCTTCCGCCAGAAGTCCAACCTGGCGGCACACCGCAGGACGCACTCGGGGGAGAAGCCCTACGTGTGCCGCGAGTGCGGCCGCGGCTTCAGCCATCAGGCCGGGCTTGTCCGGCACCGGCGGAAGCACCTGAAGGAGCAGCCGTACTCGTGCCGGCTGTGCGGGCTGGGCTTCGGCAGTAAGGCTGCCCTCATCGTGCACAGGAGGGCGCACACGGAAGGGGAGGCGCGCATGCGCAGTGAGCGCAGCCAGGGTCCCCTCCGAAAGCCACGCCTGGCTCCACACCCGCGGGCGCACAAGGGGTCGCAGCCCTGTGTGTGCCCAGCCTGCGGGCGCGGCTTCAGGCGACGATCTCAGCTCAGTCGGCACCGGATGACGGGGTGTGGCCTCCGCAGGCCCCTGGCGCAGGCCGGCACTGAGGCCACTGGGCTTCGCTTTGAAAAGGAAGGTGGCGCGGGGCACCGCTAGTCAGTGTCTTTCCTGCCATGGCAGGGAGTGGGAACGACTGTTCTGTAAGTGGTTGGACACTGACTTGATTTCTTTCTTCCAGTTTTTCCCATGTTCTGTGGCCTTCTGTGCTAATAAAGCACTTCTTTCCAGATCTAAGCCTCGGCTGTGTACCTCACTCACGCGTCCCGGGACAGAAGGACGGGCACAGACACCGCAGGCTCCTGGTCCTTGGTTCGGCACAGGAATGGACAGCCTGGGCCTTTGTGTGCGGAAAATTGGGAGACAGTGGACAGAGACTGCAGTCAGAGGGAACACCCCTCCCCCCCAAGAAATGGTTCCCCCCTGCCCGGTTCCATGTTGGGCACCCCTTGCGTGTGGCCTGAGGCAGCCCCTGGCTTGCTTTTCCTTAGCCCTTCTGTTTCTCTGTGGTGGCCTTTTCTGGTCCATCCCAAACTCCCTTTACTGCTTTCCTTAGGTTTGCCCCTGGTTATCCCATCCCGGGGTCTCACTGTCCCCAGCCCTCTGGGGCCTGGTCATGTAGCTCTGCCTGCTCAAGAGTGCAGTAACTGTGGCAGCATAACCATGTGGTCTTCCTGAGCCTCAAATGACAGAGATATGGTGCTTAAAGCCACACCCGGATCAGTCCTGTGACACCAGAGTATGACTCGGCCATGCCCCTCAGCATCCCCTCTCAGGACTCGGGGCCCCTGCCAGCCTCCCGTTAACTGGTCTGAGGTCCCCGACTCCCACCCTTGATCGTTCCCGGGTTGCAGAACTGAAGATATTTTGCCACACTGAAAGATTATTAAGCCGCACATCTAATGTGTTCCAGTCCAAAGTAGGTGACCTTTTAAAGATTGTCTTGGGTGTGGCTGTGAGACTGTTTTAAGGCTCCAGGAAGATATGTTACTCCACACTGACAAAATGGTCCCTGAATTTCAGAATGTGGAGCCCTTACCTATTGCCTGTTGTCCCTTTTTTTTTTTTTTTTTGTCTTTTTCGTTTTTATCGGTACCAGGGATCGAACTCACAACTGCCTGCTTGCAAGGCAGGCACTTAGGCCGCTGAGCTAAATCCCCAGCCCCCTGTTGTCCCATTTTGAAAAACAGAAACATTTATTGATCTTACCCTGCCTTTCAGTCAAAACAGGACATTAGAGTCACCTCTTTAGTTAATGGGTCTTAAGGTAAAATACATCTACGTTTTTACTTGATTTGCAGGGCAAGACCCTTAATTCAGAGCCAATGCCATGGTGAGGGAAGACTTTCGACAGCTTTGGGCAGCTCAGGGGGAGGGATGAGTATGTATTTCCCAAGGGACAGACAGGAAGTTTGGTGTTCAGAGGCAGATGTGGGGACAGCTTCTGGGACAAACGCTGAATCCCTCCTTCCCCACTCTGTGTCACCGGAGGCAGCTGCTCACCTAGCCTGGGTCTGGGCCAGCCTCAGTGACTTTGCCTGATCTGGATTCTGATAAAAGTGACACTGTTCGATTCCTATCGTGACACAATACCTAAGAATAGCAAAAGAGGAAAGGTTTATCTTGGCTCAGTTTTAGCAGTCTCAGCCCACAGTCACCTGGCTCTGCAGTTTTTGAGGGCCAGCTGAGGTAGAAAGTTATGGCAGAAGGGTGGGCTGGAAGAACACTGCTCACCTAATAGCAGCTGAAACCAGAGAGGGGAGGAGTCAGAGGGGAAGGGACTGGAGATGAGGTGATGTCCCCAAGGATGTATTTTTGTAACTCCCTTCTGCTAGGCCCCACCTCCGGTTTCCATTACTCACCAATGATGCCATCAGACTACAAATCCTTCAGTAGACCTACTGGTAAAGCAAAGCCATTGGTATACAGTCACCTTCCAGAAGCCCGCTGGCTGGCAACCAAGCCCCCAGCATGTGGCCTTGGGGGGACACCTTGGGTCTGAACCTTAACATACAGGACCCTGGAAGCTGGTCCATGTGGAGCCTGATATCTGTTCTTTGAATCCTGCTGCAATGCTATGGAAACTGAGGCACACAGAGAGGCCTCCTGGTCAATGCCACCTCGTCACTGAATAAGTCATTGGATCTCCTGTCCTGCCAGGCCTGTAGATGACTGAGGCTCTGGCTGACAGCTGCAGCCACGTGAGGGAACTCAGTGAGAACCATTCAGATGTGCTGTCAGCTTTCGGCATAGCAGGGTCAACGATCTCGAAGTTAACGTCCGCGCCCTAAACTGTAGGATTGCCTGCTACACAGCAGTGGATGATTGGATGCCTTCATAACCCAGGGTTGACTCTTTAACTATGACTCAGAATCACAAAATCACAACAAAAAAGATCACATTTTTTTGTCTTTTAAAAAAAATTTATTTAAGGAGAAAAATACCAAAAAGGGTACAAGTTATACAGAATTTCAGAAAAAATAAACAGTAGGAAATCACTGGTTAATAGATTACATATTGTCATCTTAGAAATAGTTGTTCAAGTTAAAGCATATAAAGTGGACATTCAAACAGTGAGACTGCAAACAGTTCTGTTCAATGATCCAACAAAACTCAGTAATATCATTGTCTATCTTATACACTTAAATATACATGCAGTTATATCCTTTAGAGCACTTCCTTTTCCTCTCTTTTGTAAAATGACAATTACACATTTTGGGTTTTATTACTCCCACAGTTCTTACTACTTTTTTTGAAGAGAATAAAACCAAAGTGACATAACAAAACAGAGTCAGTCAAATCAAAAGAATGGATATAATACATAATGTAAAAACAAAATACAAGGTGATCAACAATGGTTATCATAATGCCTCTTGCTATCTTAAAAAGAATTGCCTATATCATCAGTTATAATAAAATTGAACAAAACAGTAGAACAAAACCAATAAAACAAAAACATTGGAGACAATACAGGACTTCAAAAGAAGATAACAGTCAAACCAGAATGGGTATCATAATGAATCTTATTGTCTCCACAGTTGTTGCCTATACTCTTGAACTTGGTACTATCAAGCAAAACAGAATAGAGGAGCATCAGTCAAAACAAGATAGGGGTTCAAATCAAGTTAATCGGAAATCAAAGTGGGTTACTATAATATATCTTACTATTTTTTATTTTTTCCCTTAAGTAAAAAAGATAAAAATAAAGTAAATAACAAAAAAAGAAGATTGAGATAAAAGAGGACATAACAACAAAACAGCACAGGTCAAAACATAACCATTGAAGCAAAATAGTGTTTCACCACAAGATATCCTGACATAAAAGTAGTTACCATAGTGTCTCTTTCTTTGAAATCTTTGAGTATAACTTTGTATACTGTAGCATCAAACATATCAAAACAATGTAAAACCATTCAAGAGAATGACAGTATTACAGGGTATTTAGAATCAACTAACAGAAAATGAACAATGGTTTCTGTATAATCTCCTTGTCTATAAACATTTTTGCTTATATTATCACATATAATAAAATCCAATAAGATACAACATGTTAAGACCTATGGAGACAGAAGAATAAAAGCTTGATGGGACTTTAAAGCAAGATGATACTAAATCAGCACTAGCTATTATGATGTCTTGTTTTCTCCAAAATAGCTGTTCCTACCAGCCAATCTTCTTTGCCTCATTTCTGTTGAGCTCTTTTTTTGTCGTTAGTGATCCATTTGTCTTCTTCATTTCTGTTTCTGCTCCATTCATTGTGGCCTCTCTGCCACTGTTTCTGGAATCTTGGTATTTTTCTTTTTCAGAATATCCTGCAGTATTCTTTGTGGAGTTGAATTGATGGTTGCAAATTCCCCTGGTTCCTCTTTATCCTGGAAGCACTTTATTTTTCCATGAATTTCTAGGGACAGTTGTTCAGGATAATCAATCTTGGCTGGAGGTTATTATCTTTCAAAGCTTGAATTATTTTCCCCCATGCTTTTTGTGATTTGATGTTTGTGCCGAGAAGTCTGCTGTAATTCTGATGGGTGTTCCCTTGTAAGTGATCTGTTTCTTGTCTCTGACAGCTTTTAATATTCTGTTCTTATATTGGATTTCTGGAATTTTGATTATTATATGCCTGGGTGTAGGTCTGTTTGGGTTGTAGGTGGCTGGGGTCCTGTATGCCTCATACATCTGAGTATCTTTACCTTTTGCTAAATTAGGGAAATTCTCCTGGATTATTTCTGTGAATAGCTTTTGTAGTTCATTTGTTTGTGTCCCTACTTCTTTTACATTCTTAATTCTTAACTTACAGGTCCTCTAATCATCTTCTAGCCTTTGTATTATTGCTGTTTGTTTCCTTGTTATTTTTAAGAAGTTTTTCATTTCATGCTGCCACATTACAAATCTGTCCTCCAGTTCAGATAATCTATCCTTAGTTTATTTCAAGCTGTTATGCCAGCTTTCAATAGAGTTTTTAGTTTCCTGGTAATCTCTTTGAACCTGCTTCACATATTCTATGTTTTCTCTATTTTCCCCATCAAACAATTCTCCCCTATTTTTCTGTTCTTCCATTCCACCATTTGTTTTTGCTTGGGTGTGCTTAGCATTTCTCTAACTATTCTACTTATATCTTGCTTTACTTCATTAAATACTTCACTTTGAACTCATCTATGAGGCTCCGGAGATATTGTTTTATGTCTATTGGTGCCGTGTCTGATACTGCATGTTTTCTGTCCTCATTCTCCTTTGCATTTACCTTTCCTGGATCAGTGTTCTCAGGATTGTGGGCCGAGGACCCTTTTTTGTTGCCTCCTCCTTGTTCCTTCCATACAGGCATATATAGGAGGCCCAGTATCTTTGTGTGTTACAGTTTGTTTGAATCCGCCGGCTAGGTGTTTCCGCCCACTGCAGTGTACTAGGGAGACACAGACCTGGGCAGCCTCTGCTGGGCCTGCCCCTCCAGGTCAATCTACTGAAGGCTTTACTGCTAGGGTGCCGCGCCAGGTGCTGGGACCTGGTTTTGGCTAGCCTACTGGTTCTTAGTCCGCGGCATCACCCAGGCCAAGGGCTCTCCACCAATCCCACTTGAGAGGGGAGTATGTGACTAAAGTCACTGCAGCGTTCTGTTCTGGCTAGTCTGCCTGGTCCCAGAATGTCCTCTGTTGGAGCCTCCTAGTCTATGAAAGGGTCCCCGTTCCTCTCACTCACCACAGTTCAATGCAGGGCTCCCTGCCAGTCCCGCTCTCAACTCTGTTTGCCGATTCCCGCTCTCAGAGCTTTCACATCTCTGTCCCTACTGTGCCGATTCAGATGCAGCAGTGGCGGCAGGAAATTCAAATCACGGTTTTCAGAGGCGCGGGTTCCAGCTTCGGTGCTGAGATTTTATCTGTTCTGGTTATAGCACCGAGATTGCATTTCCAGCTGTTTTTTCTCAGCTTAGTTCGTTCCTGGGTCGGCAGGGAGTATCACCCACTGCTTAGGACTCCCCACAATGCACCATTCCTGGATTCTAGACTGGCTATCTCAGAGAGCCTCCATAGCTGCTATTATCTATCCTCCATGTTCTCCTGGAAGATCACATTTTTTACAGGAAGATAAATAGCAAGGCAACTACACCTTCACCCAAAACAAGACATGAGGGGAAATAGAAGTGAAGTCTGAAAAAAATCAACAGAGCAACAGGAGATACTCAAAATATAGGATCATTATAGGAAGTGTTTTTGTATTTGGAAATATCCTGAACATTCATAAAGTTAAAAATGAAAACCAAAACAAGATATCATTTTCACCTGTCAGATTTATTTTGTTTTTTGGGTATACAGTTCAAGTTGGGCTTGAACTCACTTTGTAGCCCAGGATGGCCTCAAACTCATGGCAATCTTCCTGCCTCAACCTCCTGAGTGCTGGAATTACAGGTGTGCACCACCACACCTAGCTGATAATCCAATATTTTCTAGTTTACTGCATTGATATTTTTATTTTTTATGTACAACCTTTTATCAGAACTGTTGGGTTAAAAAAATGTTCCTTGGACAACAGTGAAAACATCCTTACTTTTGGCTCAAAAAATCTTTCACCCATGCCCCAAACCACACAGTGTATTTTTTCAATAACTATTTTCTGAGAGCCCACTGTACATCAGGAATTATGCATGAGACTGAGCATGTACTGCTCTTCAGTCTCCCCAGGGGACATAAGATGAACAGGTGAGTACAGAGCTCTCTGCCACTACAGACAGCCCTGTGTTATTCAGCATCTAAAGAGAAACACTTTAGTTTGGCTGCCAGGTTTGGAGGCTCCAGTCCATCATGTGCATTCTGGAGGTGAGATCCTTGAAGACAGCTGAAATGCAGGACTTGGGACACCTTCATCCTGCAGCGAGCAGTGGCCGTGGTGCCTGGACACAGGAAATTTGCTGGCCATGCCGAGATGGCTCTGGATAGGTGGGGTGGGACTCGAAGAACACAGCGATCTCCAGGGAGGTCATTACCCAGGCAGCAGCTTCCAGAACTGTGCTGCTGACACACGCATGTACACACACACACACACACACACACACACACACACACAGCAGCTACGAGCACTTAGACTGCAGCAAGTCTGAACATAGATGTGCTATGAATGTAAAAGTCAGACTTAACACAGAAAAGGAATGTAAGGTGTGTAAAATATTGCATTAATCATTATAGAGAGTAATTCCACATTGAAATAGTTTCAATATATTGGAAGACATAAAATATGAAAATTTCACCTCTTTTTGCACTTCTAAAAACATGACCACTAGAAAGTCTGTGATTGGGGGCTGGGGATTTAACTCAGTGGCATAAGCATTTGCCTTGCAAGCATGTGGTCATGAGTTTGATTCCCGGTACCGGTAAAAAAATTAAAAAAAGAAAGTCTGTGATTGCTTCTGTGGCTCATTTTTATTTCTAGCCTTTTGCTTTCCATTGTGGATCAAAGCTGACCCCATGACAGTATTTCTCCCAGGGAAGTGGAGATCCTAGAGAGATTTTTTCCCTGGTGAAACAGGTCAGTGAGTAAACCCAAGATCACCACAGTCACAGCAGCATGTGGGCTGGTCCCCTCACATTGTTAACTAAGGATTTGCCCAGGCTGGAAATGCAGCTCTCCCCAAAGCAGCCCTGCCCGGCCTGGCTGGAAAGGCAGGGTGAGCCACTCTGCGGGGGGTTTCTGGGACCCCCCGGCTCCTGAACAGCTGTCCCTGTGAGTGTCCGGTCACTGGGGCTTTTAAGAGTACTCCAAAAGTGGGCCACACTTTGAACTACAATAGTGCTGGCCAAGGGACTGGAAGGTATTCTGATTTTAGAGCAGGGGAAAAGTTTTCCAAACTAGTAAGAAAAAATAAGGAACCCAACTTGCCAATAAACATGGGGTTTCTCACCTTGGGGAAGATCAGAGTGGAGCCTTGTGGGGACATGGACAAGGCACAACACAGGGGCCACCCCTCTGAAAGCAGCTGGGCCTTGGGTAGAGACAGCAGGGGGTTCAGCTGCAGGGACAACACAGTGGCCCACATCATCCGCACTGGATGGTCAGCTGCTGCACCCTGCTCACAAACGTGAGGCTTAGCCCCCCCAGGCACCACTTGCAGAGTGGGCTGAGCCTGAGCAGTGAGGTTTCAGCTCCCCCTTGTCTGCGAGGGACACCTGTGCGGCCCCCTTGGGCAGGGCCAGCTGTAGGGAGGAGGGTAACAAGGCCACCAGTGGCCGAGATGGCACAGAGCAGCTACAGAAGCACCACTGGACAGGGACACTGAGAAGGGCAGTCCTCACGAGCACCTCCTGCAGGTCACTTGTGGCCTCCAGGACAGGCATCCCCATGTATCTGCACTGATTCCTGCCTCACGCCCACCTTTCCTGCCTGACCTTGGACCTTGCCTTTTAACAAATCCTTTTCTATCTTATTTACTGTGGCTCTGACCCCACCACAGATGTGCTGTCATTAGGAAGAAGAAAGCTTCTTGAAGGACAAGAAACATGACTTTTGAACTTGAAAAGGCCTGACCTTAAAATGTGCTTGATTTTCCTGAAACGTGCAGCTCAGTATTTATAAAGGCTGTCACGTGGCCCTGAGGGGTTTCATCAGCAAGTGTGTTCCTGCATCTCACACACTTAGCACCCCATTAATGAGGCTTGACTATGTCCCAGGGAACTTTGAGGGTGGCAGGGGTGGTCATGAGCTTTAGAGAACAGAGGCGGCTCTGGTGTGAGGTGCCTCAGTCCAGCTGGTGGGCACCGGGAGCCTCTTGGGCTCAAGGTGGGAACAGAAAACCCAGAGCCCCTGAGCCCATCATTCTCAGGGGAAGCCCCAGCTTCCATTGCCTCCCCTATACCCCCAAACCGTGGCTCCCAAGCCCACAGGGGGTGAGGGACAGCAGTATCAGGGTCACACTGAGCTGCAGGACACTGAGCTGCTTCCTCCTTCGGAAGAGAATGCACAGATGCTTCAGACCGCACACCTCTTCCCCTGGTCCAGCCCTGAAGGGAGCCGTAACTGTGGGCAGGGTGGGCCCAGCTGTGCAGCCAGGCCACATGGCCAGGCTCCCTGGTCCTTCTTGATGCTGGATGCCCGGGCAGCAGTCCCTCTCTCGGGTGACCAGAGCTCTGGGGACAACACAGCACCACTGCAGTACAGGTCAAGGCAACAGCAACCACCACCACTGGGTCTACTGTTTATTGTCCTGAATGAACCATTCCACACTAATACGTGTCCCTTTTACGCACATTAGCAGAACAGTTCGGAGGCTCTGCTACTCCAGCACTTTGACCCAGACTCAAGTCATGACCTCTAGTTCTAGAGAGGCCAGCATCCCGAGTTCCTGCTTGACATTGGCTTTCACTGAAGCTGGCCTCCTGGTCAGCAGCAGCAAATGGCAAGCGTTGAGTCTGGCGCACAAGTGTGAAGTTTAGTCTTTACCCACACGATCAGGAACAGTGTGCACTTCGTTGGTATTGTGTCAAGGGAAAGAACATACATGTGTTACACACACACTGTGCGTGGCCCATGTGGGCCCAGACGTGTGTCCTGTGTGTTGTCATTCAACCATGGAACGACACATTTGGGCCTGGGCTCCCTGGCAGGCACCCCTGAGGACAGAGAGATCATGTGCAATTATTGAATAGTGTGCAATTATTATCTACTGAAAAATAAAGATTAAAAGTCAAATGTAAATTCTCTCCAAAAAAGCCAGGCATTAACTTCATCACCCACAAAGGCATTCTGGGAACAGCCCATGTGGTATGAGTGTTGACCCCAGGGGCTTCCTACCGAGCTATATTTCCTGCCTTTTACAATTATCTTTATTTTGAGACAAGGTCTTTTAATGTCACCAAGTTGCCCATGCTGGGCTTGAACTCATCACCCTCCTGCCTCAAGCTTCTCACAAACTGGGATTACAGGTGTGCAGCATCATGCCCATCTCTAAAGAAACAGAGGAATGTGAAGAGTTTCTCTCAATCTCAGCTCTCAGTCTCAGACGCACACCTCAGAAACAGAACAACCACTGCCAAGTGGCCCCTTCAGGAAGGGCCCTCGGCTGCTCTGGGCACACTGGTCATCTGGGTTGCAGCTCTCAGGCTGGCTGAGATGGTCCCCCAGGTCTGGGTCGAACTCAGTGTAAAACAGTGAGGTGATGAGGTTGTCCCCCACTTCTAGAGCCAGGCTGTGGGCTGTCTGGTCTTGAGTGGTCACCTGCTGCCTCACGCCGCATCTGTGAAGGAAATGGGCAAAGAGAAGGCCCTGGAGGGCTCGCTTGGGATCCAAGTGCCTGACTCCTCTCCTGGTTCTGGCTCCCCAGCCCAGCCCCAGCCAAGTGTACTGAATGTGGCCATGCTTTCAGGGTGCTCTGAAAAGCCCCAGTGACCTGGACATTCACAGGCACAACCCATCAGGAGCCAGCTCCCTGGAACAACCTCAGGGGCCGTGGGAGGGCTCAGGGCCCAGGAACGCCCTGCAGAGCAGAGTCACCCTCCTAGCCCACAAGCATCGCCTCCCACAGAGCTCCCCAAGGGTACAGAGCTCCTAATCCTTAGCCCATTCCCTTCCTGACACAGTAGAAACAGAGCAAACAGAGGGTCCCAGATGTCTCAGGAAAGTCTGCAACATCAAAGAGAAAAGCAAGCTAAACAAACACAGGACATCTTTTTAAAAACACAAAACCCCAATTGGTCTCAGAATGATTTAAGCCAATGTCAAAATATGAGCACATAAAAAGGAGACAATCAGAATGCAAGGGGAAACAGGCTGCTGAAATGACAACTGCTCAGCAGCAAAGTTAGGAGAATCTCTTAAAACAGAAGAAAAGATAAAAAATCTGGGCAAAGAAAAACAAAGACGACATCAGGAATCGGTCCAAAGCCCCCCCTCCCCCACCAACTAATAGCTCCAGGAGGAGAAAACAGAAAGAGTGGACTAGAGAAAAAATACAAAAGGGATAACAGGAAAAAACTGTCCTGAGCTGAAGACAGACATGACTTTTCAGATGGAAGGACCTACTGGGTGAAGGAAAAAACACAGTGTCTATAACACACTCAGGAAATTTAACTGCCAAGGGGAAATGCTTCCAGGAAAAAAACAACAGCCTACACAGGAGCAAGAATTTGCAACAAGATTTTCATGACATAAGATGGATGCTGGAAATCCATACAGCAAGACTTTCCAGGCCTCAAAGAAAACTTATTTTGAACACAAATGTCAATTTCACATTATTCATCAAGAGTGAAGGCCGGGGCCAGAGATGCAGCTCTAGGTAGAGCTGAGCGGGCATGCAGTGCTGGGTGCAAAGCTCAGTGCTGCAAACAGAAACCTCAGAAATTTATATTCTCCCTCTGGATCAAGCTCAAGGCTCCACCATGCTAGGCGAGCACTCTGCCTTCCAGCGCCCTACACATCCTTTCTGAAAAAGTGACTGAAGTCACTTCGCCTGACAGGAGTCAAAACCAAGAAAGAGATGAATGCCAATGGAAAGAAATCCCATGTCAGTGTAAAAAGCTGCCAGACCATGTCTGTGTCGAATGTGTACTCCAAATAGAAAGTTTTCAAAAAGAAAGACATTTAAAGAGAAAGAAACAGATGCAATAGTGGATGCACTGTAGTTGAAGGGAAGGACTCAGAAACTCCAGGAAAATTAAAGACCTAAATAACCGCACAAATAGCCTGGTGTTGTGCAGGTTTGTAATCCTATCACTCCAGAGGCCGAGGCAGAATTGCCACAGGAGGCCAGCCTGGCCTATATAGGAAGATCAAGGCTGGTCTGAACTGTATGTTTCAAAGAAAACCTGCACAAGTTGTTTATGGTTTGAGAAAGAAAATGAAACATGACATGAGTTTGAATGATTTGTAGAGTGTAAGGCGAATCTGTTTGACATGTCTGCTAGGAAAATTCTACTTTGGCCTAAGGATCAGGAGCAATCTTACACCAAGAAAATAAAAATCCCAGCACACTACTTGGTTTTGCAGTGAACAGTATTTTTGGAGCTATTACAATGCAGTTATCCTTTGTTGCTTTTGAACTGTTGCAATCAGCCTGTGGACAAAGGACAGAAGTTTATTACATTAACAGGAGTGGAGACAACTGGGTCAGCTTTGTAGAAGTTAAATGTGTGCTGGTGGAAGCTGTGAGGTGGGGCTGGATGTCATGGCACACACCTGTCATCCCAGCACTCGGGAGGCAGAGGCAGGAGGATCGCTGTGAGTTCACGGCCAGCCTGCACCACACAGTCAGACCTTGTCTCAGCCAAATCAAACCAAACCAAACCAAACCAGAAGTTGTGAGGTGGGATGGGGCAGAGGTAATGGTCAGCAAAGCTAACAGTAAAGTGCTCCTATCCTTCCTTTGCACACAAGGCACCTGAGAGCTCCTATTGAAAGGCGATGGTCAAAATGCAGAAGCAGGACAAGGTAGAAAAGACCAGGGAAACCAGCAAGCAAATTGAGGATGCCTGAGCAATCTAGCCTGGCGTGGGGTCAGGTGTGTGAGCAGTGATAGAAACATGCCGGTTGTCACTGGCTCCCCAGGAAGGGTACATGTGCCACGCAGCAGTCTCCAAGGCGGGAAGGTTGTCTCCCTCTGGATTTGAGTTTTTTTTTTTTTAAATCATGTGCACACTTTACTTTGATAAAATTAAAGTTATTTGACAGGTATGAATTGTTTTCGGGAAACACATACAATTTTATGATAATTTTTTTTTTTTTTTTGTCTTTTTCCTTTTTATTGGTACCGGGGATCGAACTCATGACCACTGCTTGCAAGGCAGGCGCTTATGCCGCTGAGCTAAATCCTCAGCCCCAACACATACAATTTTAAAAGCCTTCCTGCCAGATGCATCATAAATAACCTCACTGTGGATCAAAATGAAAAGAGGTTGCTGGTGGAGAGCGCCATGGTCCCGACTGCTTCCCGCCCTAGCTGGGTCAGGCTGGTGGTGGTGCTTTCCAACCTTGGTCCCTGCCCTCCTGCCACCCTTTATTTTCTCTGCAGCAGTTAGCATTCTCTGGATTGCATTCTAAGCACTACAAACAAACAAAAACCTCAGAAGGTTTATTTTCTGTCTCTCTAGTGAACTAACAAAATGTGTTACCATTTATAAAAGTGACTGAACTAGGCCACTCAGTAGGCCAATTTAAGTATTTTGTTTTACCCAACTAGAATAATAGAACCGCGAAGCCCAGAATGAAGGAGGAAGCTGATCAGGATGGCCCCAAAGTTCAGATGGACAGGGCAGGGGGGCACCGGAGTCCACTGCAGCACAGGCCTGGCGCCCAGAGCTCTGCCACCTGGCACCCAGCGGCCCCCTCCCACTCAGAGCCCCTGCTGATCTGGGCCAGCTTCCTGCCCTCTCCCCATGAGAACACGAATGGCTTCCTGGTGCTTGTTCACAGCTGCCATGACCACAGTGGACGGGTCCTTGCTGTCACTCTGGTTGGGGTCTGTGCCCTGTGACACACAGGGAAGGCGGAGCTTGGCACAGAACCCTGACCACAGCATCTCCTAGCACCGCCCTAGGAAGCGTGACACAAATTCTGAAGTGACAGAGCCAGGTGTGATGGTGCACACCTATAATATTAGCGCTCTGGGAGGCTGAGGCAGGAGCACAGCAAATTCCAGCCTAGCCCTGGGCAATTTAGAAAAGGTTGGGGAAGTAATTCAGTGCAAAGACCTCTGGGTCAACCCCTAGTACTGGGGTGGGGGGAGGAGAGAGGGGAGGAAGAGAGGGAAGGGAAAAAAATAGAGGAAATTAGGTTGACTTTAGACCAAAGAGAGAAGAACCAGGAACCTCAAGACCCAACCTTATTATTATGATACCCCTAGCTGCCAGTGCCCCAGAGCAGGGAGACCCCTGCTCCCCAAGTCAGCAGGGGCACCGTCCTGATCATTTTGGTTTTTGGGAAACAGGCGGAAGGTCACATGGGCTCAGGAACCAGGGACTCCCCCTCCCTGTCCAGCCTCACGTCTGTACTTGGGCTCATGTGTGCTTGTGCCACTATTTTCTTTGCTAAAAGAACCACCAAAGGTAACAATCAGCTTTGGGTGAGCCATTCGTGGGGTGGCCCGAGGTGCAGGGGTCCACCCTGGGGACAGGGCTTCTGCTGTGCCGCTCACCTGGTCCAGCAGGTGTTTCAGCACAGAGGCTCCTCTGCTCCCCGACACATCCATGTCCCGCAGCAGGAGTCTGCTTCTGGGCTGCAGGAGCACAAATCCCGCACCCCCTGTCACTCCCAAGGCCCTGCACCATAGAGCCCCAGGCTGAGGACGCTTCCTCTCCAAGCTGAGTGCAGTGCTGACCGCAGTGTGTGTGTGTGTGTGTGTGTGTGTGTGTGTGTGTGTGTCAACACCTGCATGTGCTGTGTGTGAACATCTGTGTGTGCTGTGTATGAGTGTGTGTGTGAACACTTGCATGTCCTATGTGTGTGTGTGCATGTACATAGTCTTCAAGGACCAGCAGCACAAACATCTATATTGAACATCAACCTTGGTCTCCAAAACCCTGCCTTGGGCACAGACCTGCACTGACCCTGTCCTGTGTCCAAGAACAAGCAGGCTGTGAGGAACCTCTCAGACACCTAGGAGCCCTATGCCGGCTCCATCAGGCTCACTGCTAGGAAAGAGCTGGGTGACATCAGAATTACAGCAGACTTCTCAGCACAAACCATCAAATCACAAAGAGCGTGGGGGGAAATAATTCAAGCTTTGAAAGATAATAACCTCCAGCCAAGATTGATATATCCTGCACAACTATCCCTGGAAATTGATGGAAAAAACAAGGTGCTTCCAGGATAAAGAGGAACTAGGGGAATATGCAACCACCAATTCAACTCTACAGAGAATACTACAGGATATTCTAAAAAAGAAAAATACCACGATTCCAGAAATAGTGGCAGAGAGGCCACAATGAATGGAGCAGAAAACAAAATGAAGAAGACAAACTGACAACTAATGACAGAAAAAGAGCTCAACAGAAATGAGGCAGAGAAGATTGGATGGTAGGAACAGCTATTTTGGAGAAAACGACATCATAATAGGTAATGCTGATTTAATATCATTTTGTTTTGAAGTCCCATCAAGCTTTTGTTCTTCTGTCTCCATAGGTCTTAACATGTTGTATCTGACTGGATTTTATTATATGTGATAGTATAAACAAAAACTTTTATAGACAAGGAAATTATACAGAAACCATTGTTCATTTTCTGTTAGTTGATTCTAAATGCCCTGTAATACTGTCATTCTCTTGAATGGTTTTACATTGTCTTGATATGTTTGATGCTACAGTATATGAAGTTATACTCAAAGATTTCAAGGAAAGAGACAATATGGTAACTATTTTTATGTCGGGATTATCTTGTGGTGAAACACTATTTTGCTTAAATGGTTATGTTTTGACCTGCGCTGTTTTGTTGTTATGCCCTCTTTTATCTCAATCTCCATTTTATTATTTTTTAAATTTTTATCCTTTTAATTAAGGGAAAAATAAAAAATAGCAGGATATATTATAGTAACCCACTTTCATTTTCTATTAACTTGATTTGAAGCCCTGTATTGCTCTCACCATCTTGTTTTGACTAATGTTCCTCTATTCTGTTTTGCTTGATAGTACCAGGTTTGAAAGTTTAGGCAACAGCTATAAAGATAGTGGGATTCATTATGACGCCCATTCTGGTTGACTATTATCTTCTTTTGAAGACCTGTAATGTCTCCAATGTTTTGGTTTTGTTGGTTTCATTCTTTACTGTTTTGTTCAATTTTATTATAACTGATGATATAGGCAATTCTTTTTAAGATAGCAAGAGGCATTATGGTAACCATTGTTGATCACCTTGTATTATGTTTTTACATTATCTATTATGTCCACCCTTTTGATTTGACTGACTCTGTTCTGTTATGTCACATTTGGTTTTACTCTCTTCCAAAAAAAGTAATAAGAACTGTGGGAGTAATAAAACCCAAAATGTGTAATAGTCATTGTACAAAAGAGAGGAAAAGAAAGTGCTCTAAAGGATATAACTGCATGTATATTTAAGTGTATAAGATAGACAATATTACTGAGTTTTGTTGGCTCAGTTGAACAGAACTGTTTGCAGTCTCACTGTCTGAATGTCCACTTTATATGCTTTAATTTTGTAACTTCAAATATTTCTAAGATGACAATATGTAATCCATTAACTAGTGATTTCCTACTGTTTATTTTTTTCTGAAATTCTGTAAACTTGTACCCTTCTTCTGCTTTTTTTTCTTTTTCTCCTTAAATAAAATTTAAAAAAAAAGAAAGAGCTGGGTGAACCCTAAGGTGCTCATGGCCCGTCTGTGCGTGACCCTTGGAACATGCACTCCTTGAGGAGTGGGGAGCGCCATAGCACCAGCCTCTCACCCAGCAAGGAGCGCGCTTGTTTATGACCAGTAGTCTGGAGAATTTGCCTTTCTTAATTTTAAGAGGCTACAAATTCATCTTTAAACATAGTTTTTCTATGCGATTTCAAATGCTGGCAGACTGAAGGAAGCAGTCCACAAAGCAGGACATGTCACCTTCCTGAAGATTCTGCTCCTGGGTCCCCAGGACGACTGTTTGGTCACAGAACCAGCACCACCTGGGGAAGAGTACACAGAAAACCCACTCCTGCTGCCTGTGGGATCTGCCCCACGTCCCCCATTCTCTACCTCCATTCTCAGAGCCCAAGCTCCCCCGTTTCTGATCCCTAGCCCCAGGAAGGGCAGGGGGCCTCTTTTTTTTTTGTCTTTTTGAGACAGGGTCTCGCTATGCTTTTCAGGGTGGCCTTGGGCTCACTTTGTAGCCCAGGCTGGTTTCAAACTCGCAATGATCCGCCTGCCTCAGTCTCCCGAGTGTTGGGATTATAGGCGTGAGCCACCACACCTCGCTGGCAGGGGGCCTCTTTGCACCAAATTCTGTCCCTTATGGGAAAAATGCATAGAAGGTCAATGTCAGGAGGCTGAGACACCTCTATCTTCGGCTCATGTTTTCTTTCCTACAAGTAAAACCATGTCTGGAGCGAGAGTGCTCAAAAGCAACCTCTGAACTAGTGAATGAACCCAGCACCTAATGCAAATGAGAAAGCCAAGAAGCCAATAGGGCTCAGTTCCTCTCCTTGGAGGTCCGTGTCTTGAAGCTGGAAAATTAAATTCAGGGAGCTTTAAACTGCTCTGCACTCAGCATGACATTCTGAACTGAGTGAAAGCAGAGAAGCATGTGGAACCACACACCACTGAGTCTAGAGCCACTGTGAAGTCCTCCTCCCACGGGGGTTGGTGCTGATCACCCTGGACACAGGTGTGTTCCTACTGGGCCAACTATGAGCAGCCCAAGTCGCTGGTGTCCATCTCCTCTGGGCCTGCGCCAAGAGAAGGGAGGCGGTTCCTGTGCTGTGCCTGAGTCCTGCAGGGACGGGGTCTGCCCAGCGAAGAATTCTACTCGGGACCAAGGAGAGACGAAGGCTGAGCTCAGAGCCTGAAATCACCCGGGGACACAAACGTGTCACAGTACCACCACCCTGGCTGTCAGTGTCAGGACCTGGGGCACTGCAACACAGGGGACTCAGTGCTTCTCTGCCACCGGAGGCCTGTCCACAGAGGGACTGTCCACCTCCACACAGGACCTGGGACCTCACACCTGTGTCGGGCGCCCATGCTCATCTAACCAACCTCAGGACAAGCAGTGACTCAGGAAGCTGATGGACGCTGACTCACGATCTGGGGCCATATTAAAGGATTCAGCTTCCATGAAATAAAAACAGACCATTATAAAGACTAGACAGATGGAGAAGCGTCCCATTTAGAAAACCTCAAAGGAAGCACGAAAGGACCAGCAGGAGGGGCGGGCCGCCCAGGCAGGGGCACATGCACTGTGCGTACCTCTTTCCTTCTCTGGAAGTTTCTGGTCCGGCGGTTCCTCCTTATTTTGGGCTGCTCCATGGCATCCGAGGGACTCTGGCTGCAGTCACTCACTGAAACGGCAGAGATGAGAGTGACAATGGCCACTTCCCTCTCCCCCACAGAAGGAGCCACAGAGCTGCGCCTGAAGGTCAGAGGGACAAGTGCCAGTCCAGGCGCCAGTGTGCAGGGGAAGGAGGGACACAGAGCAGACGCCAGTTTTCAGACTTTGGAGGGCACACAGCTGTCGCCCAGCTGTGGCTGCCCACAGCCCTGTGAGGGTGTCAAGGTTTCCTTTGACTTCAGAGGAGCCGGACAAAGAGAAGTGAGATTCATGACAGGGCTGGAGAGCTGTGTGCGAGTCTCTGCTGTCCTTGGACATCTGCGTCTCTGGCTGGAAGATCCTGGGAGGGCAGAACTCACCCAAGCTGGACGTGCTGCCGTAGAGGCCATCACCACACTCGGTGACACTGCTGAGAACGTGGTGGCTGAGGTCGGCTGCTTTGCTGCGGTGCAGGTTCTGGTCGGGAAAAATCCAAATCAGGCTGATGTCCTGTTAAAAGCTCCTGCCAACCTGGTCCTCACTGGTGGCCCTGGCCTGGCCGCCTCCTCCCTCCCTGGCCATGTGGCCTCTGGCTCCTCTCAGGCAGCAGACAGCCATGGTCCCTCTCTGCTATGGGAGCCCAACAGGCCTCTGTTGGCCATCAGCCCATGACCAAGGAGCTGTGTTTCCTGCTGGGGTTCCATCAATGTCCTGGACTCAGCCTGGCAGTTGGTGGGAAGCTCTGTGGCTGCAGTGAGATTCCTGGCTCTGTCACCCACTAGCTGAGGGACCTTGACTGCTCTATACCTCAGTTTTCTCACGTAGGAGAAGCCTCGCCTACTGCCACATTCCTAATGTTGCAGACACTTTTCCTTCCTCCTGGCGACAAGAAAGCGATTCCACAACTCACTGGTTCGGTCTGTTTCAGGTTTGGAACTTCTGAGGGTCTCTGTACCTTGTTGGAGACTTGAATATAATTCAGCCTGATGCTGACTTCACAGCCATCTTCATGGACGGTGGCAGAGATAAGCTTTTAAAAGAATTTTAAAGAGAATTCACCACGTGGGTACTTAGACTTACTACCTTGCACAATAGCCCAGTTCGGAGATGTTAAATTCTAGTTTTAATCAACTTTTTTTTCTTCAAATCAGTTGTAAAACAGACTTTCTTTTTTTTTTTTTAGTGGTACTAGAAATTGCCTAGGTAGTTCTGAGCTACATCTCCAGCCCTTTTGATTTGTCATCACATATTTTTAACACAGAAGGTAAGAGAAGAAAAATGGGATCAGATATCTGGCAGTATAAACAGAAAACATTCAAGGCCAGCCTGAACTACATGGTGAGACGCTGTCTCAAAACAGATGAATAGAAAAAATAGCAAGCCAAGAATCTCAGTTGCTTGGGAGACTGAAGCAGGAGGATCTCAGGTTTGAGGCCAGCCTGGGCAACTTAGTGAGATCCTACTTCAAGTAAAATAAACATTTTAGAGAAGGGCCAGAGATGTAGCTCAGTGGCAGAGCACTCGCCTAGCATGCACAAGGTCCTGAGCTCAATCTTCAATATCATGGGTACATGCTACCTCCTCCCACACACACACACAGCTGAGCACATGTCTATAATCCCAGCACGCAGGAGGGTGAGGCAGAGAGTTGTGAGTTCAAGGTCAGGCTGGGTTATATAGCGTGCCCCATATGACAGATAGAAAGAAAGAAAGATGGAAGACCCAAATCTAGCCATATCTATATTTGATTATAACTGAGCAAAATCCTTCAATCAAAGAACAGAGATTTTCAGCCTGCATAAGAAAACAAGATCCAGGACTGGGGATTTAGCTCAGCGGTATAAGTGCCTGCCTGGCAAGTGCAAGGTCCTGAGTTCGATCCCTGGTACTGCAAAAAAAAAAAAAAAAAAAAAGAAAGAAAAGACGACAAAATCCATATTTATACATTCTTCCAGAGATCAGCTTTAATCAAACCAGGTGACCAGATGTCATCACCTTGGAAAAGGTGACCAGGTGGTTGAGGGGGAGACTTTGGCACTAAAGGACAAGAGTCACAGCTGAGCGGCCTTCTCTGAAAGGGCCGCTCAGATTCAAACAGAGGCTGAAAATGATTTTGAGAAGAGTCAAATAATGCCCGGTGAGGTCCTGAGGGCTGTAATTCTCTACCAGGAAGCTTAATATCATGTTGTAGCTCAAGGCAGCCACCAGAACACCAAAATGAGTGGATGCAGCTCAGACCCGTAACACTGTATCTTTAAACTGAGCAGCAGGCCAGGTTCATCCCAGAGGGCAGAGCTCCAGAGGAGGCCAGAGAATTTACAATGTGCCAGAACCATTTCCCAAAGGAAGCTGAGCAATGCTTGAAAATAAGGCGGTCTGGGTGTTGGTCCATTTGGTGGCAGAGGAGCAGACAGCCTGATTTGAAAATGTTCTTTCAGGTCTTGGGAGGCAAATCCACGTGTCATGCTGTGCTCCTGTGACAGGAATGTGGTGCTAACACAGGGGCCTGGGGCTGGGGATCTGATGGCCTCACCTCAAATCTGAAACTCAGCAGGGCAAAGTGGCCGTGTGTCACACAAGGCTTGTTCTGCACACCCACTGCCGTGTGAACCAGCAGGTGGAAGGCTGTGCCATGCAACACCCTCCACTGATCAGGTGCAAGGGGCTCAAGCGGCCTCAGCTGGGAAAACTGACGCAGGCGGAGGTGGTGGGAAGCTGGGGACTGGAACCATCTAAAGTCTGGCAGTCAGCTGCCTGGCCTGAGCTGGGGTGACTTAGGACTGGGTACAGCTCAGGCCACACACCCGCCACCCACACCTGTCTGTCACCTGTGGCATGTACTTCTTGCAGCAGGGAGCTTGGGCTCAAGCAGAGGTGGGGGAGTCACATGGCCTTGTGTGATGGAATCCGGAAGCCAGGAGCACCTCTCCCACCATGCGGTTATCTGAATGGTCACAAACCCACTCAGCTCACAGAGATATCTGCCTGAGGGCAGGCTATTTTTAATTTAAAAAGCCACCAAGATAATCCTCCTTTTTCTCAGGGTCGTTGGGAGAACTGGGCTGATGCCCTTACAAATACAGGGCTACATGGAAAGCCTGAGGCCGGACACGAGAGCTGCTGGCTGTTAACAGCCCTGATTTAACGCACCATGTGTCTGTACTAAACGTTCTGCGGGTTTTGCTTTCAGCTCCAGCCACTAGAATTTCTGCCATATTGTGTGGGGTTGAAAGCATGAGATGTTCAGGGTCTTCCGGGCCCCGGAAGCAGAGCCTGAGACAGTCTGCAGAGGGCACAGCAGAAAGCACAGGAAGCCGCGCAAGCCCTGCAGGAAGCTGGACCCGGCGTGCGCTAGAGCATGGGGCCTTGCACCCACCTTGCCCATCCTGGGCTCCGAGATCAGGGCCCGGAACTCAGGGTTGTTCTGAGCGTAGGACCGGAGGTGAGCGGATATGTGGTCCAGCTGTTTCCTCCAGTAGCCTGAAAAAAAAGAGAAGCCTGACGCACGGGTGATTGTTCTCAGCCTGAGAAAAAGATGCAGTACTGCGGGACACACGTGCTCAGGGAGGCTATTTTCCTTTGCCAAACCTTGTGATGCTTTTTCCTCACTGAACCTCAGCTGTGCCCTGAAATTCACGCCATCCTCCCCCTCCAGCTTTTTATTACACACGAAGAGTCACAGAATATTAGAAGATCGCAAAGCAACACTGATTGCCACGTGTGAAACCCTTATCTATTATTTTCTCTCATATGTAACTTACACAGTTTTTAAATATATACTTTGGAGCTGGGCATGGTGGGGCACACCTGTAATCCCAGCACCGGGGAGGCTGAGCCAGGAGGACTGTCATGAGTTCAAGGCCAGCCTGGATTGCATAGTGAGTTCAAAGCCAGCCTGAGCTACATAACAAGACTTTGGTTTGAAATGAATAAATAAGTAAATAAATACACACTTAGGGTTTGGCAAATGTATATATCCTGATGAACACAGAGAACATTTTCATCACTCCAAACAGTAACTTGGGTCCCTTCTGGTCTGCGTGGGGCTTGGAACATGCTAAGCTTAATTTCTGCTTAAGTGTGGGAGGCACCATGCAAGGCTGCATGTTGGCTTCTCCTGTGGCTGCAGACAATTCAGCTGGGCCCATTTTTCTACACACAATGGTGACATGGGTCAAGTGCCCCCAAAGGGATGGGCCATCAGCTGGCCACAGACCACACACCATAGTGAATCCATGCTGAACTTCACAGTGCTGGCTCTCCAGGGAAGATGTGCAAGCCCTTGTCCTTGAGATCTAAGCCCAAAATGATCATGTCTCCTTTGCTACTTCTGATAGCCAAAGCAGTCACAAGGCCAGCTCAGACCCCAGAAGAGGGGAACTGGCCCTTCCTGCTAAGCCCAGGACGAACGTGATCCATTGCAGGACTGATGAAATCACAGGCACAAACCACCATGCCCGCTAGGGAAAACAAGAGGCTGCTTTCTACCCATGCGGGAACCCACAATGAAAAAGTTAGATCCTAACAAGTGTTGGCAAAGATGGAGAGAAGTCAGCACCTTTGTGCACTGTTGGTCAGGATGGAGAACCGTGCAGCTGTTGAGAAACACCCAGAAGTTCCTCAAGAAGTCAAATGCAAGGATACCACGCAACCCAGCAACTGCACATCTGTGTGTAACCCCAAGAGAGGTAGATGCAACTGCAGAAAAGCAGACATTCACAGGGGCATGATTCCTAAGAGTCAAGACACGGAAACAAGTCTGATGCTCATTAGCTGGTGAGTGGAGAGGTGGGACCACATGGACTCCTGTGAGGGAGCCATGAAAGGGAACTGAAGCAAGAATGAACCACAACATTGCACCGGACAGGAGAAGCCAGCTGGGAGGGCCACCTCATGGCCACTTTCATCTGTAGGCAACGTCCAGCAGAGGTGAAGCCCTGAGCCCTGAAGACAGAGTAGGGTAGAGGTTCCAGGCCCTTGGGAGATGGGACATGGGCAGTGACCCCTTCAAGAGCACAGGTGACTTCTGGGGGGACGCAGGAGTTCTGGGGCTGGTGGTGGATGCAGGACACTGTGGCTGGAACTCATCTCCCAGCGGGTGATGTGCTGGCTTGTGTAGGGAGTGAATTCAACCCTGACTGAAAGGAGAGGGCTGGAGTGGCCACAGCTGAGGTGTAGACTCAGCTCACCTCTGTCATGTGGACAGGGTGGGAGGGCTGCACGTGTGCCACTGTCTGATGACAGACTCTGGGTTATGAGTTAAAGTGTCAGAGGGCTGAAGGTTGGAGGAAATGATCTGACGAGAGGAGGGCCAGGCACTCGCTTCTTCTGCCCGCCCACAGACACCACTCACCAGGGAGAAGCTATGTCCCTGGGTGCGAGGAGCCCTTGCCGAGCTCACCTCTGCCTGGGCTGATGGCTGTGAGCGGGGGCCCCCGGCCACGTCCCTCCGGTTCCGGCCCCCTCACAGCCAGCTGCCTGCCGAATGGGTAGAAGAGGCCCACGGTCTGGGTGCTCGTGTGCTTCTTTGCTCCGGTGTCAGTGCTGGACAGAGGTATGGTTAGGGGCTGCCACGCAGATCGGGGCTAGAGAGAGCAGAAAAGGTTTTTAAAATTAGAGCATGATTTACTTAACTTCCGCTTCCATTTTATTCATGGAAAGCGAGTCTCATCAGAAAGAAAGGCAGCTCTAAAACCCTGTTCTTTGAAGGACAGCCCTACCCATCTCCTTTGCTTCCGTTTTTCCTGGATATCCTTAGCCTGATCCATGAAGCTGATCCCATTTATTTATTTATTTATTTATTTATTTTTGTCTTTTTCCTTTTTATCGGTACCGGGGATTGAACTCACGACTACCTGCTTGCGAGGCAGGCGCTTATGCTGCTGAGCTAAACCTCCAGCCCCTAAGCTGATCCCATTTCTTAGCCCATTTATTATTTTAAATTCAGCAAAATAATGAGTGTTTCCTGTTCTGTCCAGATCCTAGGAGATATCTACCCTTTTGGTTTCACAGTCCAACAGAACTTAAGACTTCCCTTTGCGACTATTCAACAATCCATACTCAATTCCCGGGCACCATAGTTTTCTCTGCTATTGTCTCCTGCATCTGGACCTGGGGGCCTGAGAGGGCGCCATTGCACACTGTGCAATGTTACTTCATCTCAAGGGGCGCCATTCATGCTGAACAGAGTATATCTGCATATTAGGACGAATTCTCCGGGAGAGGGGAGAAAATGCCTAACAAACTTCATACATTACAATCAATTTCCAATAGATGGAATTCAAGTGTCTTGAGAAAAGACCATCTTTATGGGGGTGGTGAGAGTCCCAGGAGTCTTCTAAGCTGGATTGCCATGAACTCCTGAAACCATGTGCCAGGCACCGAGTGAGCGCCTGAGTGTTCCCTCCCATCACTGTCAGCCTGCAGATCCTTTTACTGGAGAGAGGAAAAGCCTGGAAAATCTTCACAGAGATCAGAAAAGGTCATTAAGCCTGACGGGAAACTGTATGTTAACACTCAAGCACTTGTGTCAGCAACCGTGCAAGGTCTTCCTCGAGCTTCTCCCAGTGGCATAAACACAAGAGCCACACGGGACTTGAAGTCAGCTTTCTGTGTTATAAAAGGTGTGTGGGGGGACCAGTCCTAGGACACCGCAGAGCAGCTTGAGGGAGGCTCGTCCCACCCCAGGAGGTTGGGGTCTACTTTACAGCATAACTGCCATCCTGCTGCTGGCTGGCACACTGGCCTAACACATGCTTACTTGGATCTTTGATTCCTGAAGAAACCACTTGAGTGTGTAAAGCCTGCAAGGACTGAGCCTAGTCACGAACACCTAGCTCAAAGTCCATGAGGAAGGCCTAAGGGCTCCAGCCGCCCCACCCTGGGCCGAGTCACAGTGCAGCTTGCAAATGTTCAGAACCATGTTTGATGACAGTGGAGGCCTCACCTGAGAAGGGGGGTGCAGCTCCTCAGCGAGGACCCCCAGGCTGCCATCCCGACTCCATCTTGCCATGGAATCCACACAAATGCCACAACAAGTGCAGAACCGAGCAGATGGGTGATTGTTGGCCCCACATTTAGGGCATACAGCGCAGCTGGCAGAAAGGCCAACCTAGAGGATAGAGGATATTTTTATATGAGAGCTAAAATTTTCCCACAAAATTCTTTTCACACCATACATCTTCTAGCCATAGAAAAATAACGTATGCCCAAGACCTTTGACCCAGCGGTGCCACCTTCCAGAATTCATCCCACGCGTGGACAAGTCCTCAGAGAAACATATTCTGGGGCATCTCTTGCAGCAGAGGAATTTTAGAGCCAATAACTAGAAAGAACCTGTGTGTCCAGCAATAGGGGATCAGTGGCCTAAATGTATCATGGTGTGTACACACAGGCGCAGGATATTAGGACGCTACTGGGAAGGATGAAAAGGCCACTGACAAAGACATGGGAAAGGATGGGACCCCAGTTCACGGTCAACACTAGCTCCTTCATAAATGCACTAACAGCTATAGAGCAGCTTGGAAGCTAAGAGGGAACGAACGGGCAGGGCTGGAGGACAAGGAGGGTAACTCTCTCCCTCTGAACCTTTGTAAGGGACTCAGACAGATAAACAGATAAAAAACTTTCCATGTCTTGTGTAAAAGGTAGGCAAACATGATTCACAAAGAAGAAATACCAGTGGTCAATAAAAAGGTACAGAAATTTAACCTCGAAGAGACACAGGTGGAAGTGGCAGTGGGAGGGGGCCAGTGCTCCGGGAAAGAGGCTCTGTTGTGCCTGCTTTCAGCCACAGGAAAGCCTGGCCCCCTGCAGGCTGGTGGTGCTGTGCCACTCACCAGGCTTCCACACCAGTCACAGAAGGTCGCCTCCTGGAGGTTGTGGTGGCCACAGCTGCAGCAGCAAGCTGCCTCCCCTTTCTGGGTCAGCAGAGGGGGTGCTTTCTCTCCTCCATGCAGGGGCTGGTGACCAAAGCAGCATGGATAGGCAGGATCAGTCAGGTATCGCCCGGCTTCCCGACCCAACCCCACAAAGGAATAAACAGTGCAAGCCCCCAAACAATCCAGCCTTGGAACAGAGTTCTTTTTGGCCTAAGAATATATCTACAGTGCTCTTCACTGTTTCAGGAATTAATTCACATACTCAGTCACGGAGATCACAGGAAGTTGTGGAACTGTTCACTCCCATAGGAATGGTCTCAGCCCCTTGCCTGTCAAAGGCAGCGAGCCCCACCCCCCGTCAATGCCTTGAGGGGACGGTAGTGCAGGAGAGCTCAGTTTCTTAGAGGGGCCCCAGTGCAGGATGGGCCTCTGTCCTCAGGTTCTCGTTTCTGTGGGAAACATGGGTTATTTTCCACTCCTGATGCAGGAAAAGAATTCTCTTATTTCAGAAAGGGAGATCCAACTGTTTCACAGGGATCTCTGAGGCTCTGCAGAGCAGGCTGAGCTTGGATCTTCACTCCTGCCACATAATCCAGGGCCTGGTAAGACAGTCCCGTTTCCCAAGCGTGGATGTCATTTTAAAGTGACAGCTGCCCACTCACCTACCATGTGCCAGAACCATTCTAAGCATGGTCCCTGTGCTCTCTTGCCAACCTGACAACAATCTGGGTGTCACTGTTGTCCCACTTTACAAAGTGGGAGCACAGAGGGGTGAGATCCAAGATCTGAGCCCAGGTCCCCGACACGAAAGTCTATCATCCAGCATTGTACGCAGCCCCATAAGAACAACAGCTCCTTGCAGATCTGTGGGCCACAGATGCCAAGTAAGCGCCCAGGGACGCTGACAGACTCAGGTTCCAGGCGTCAGCGCCTGTCCTCCCCATCCTGGTGTCCAGTGGACCCTGATTTCTTCAAAAGCAAAAAGAGAATTTCGTGTCTTCCCGCACAAGGAAGTTGCTTACAGAATCATCATATAACTGACTGGGTGGCTGGAGGGCACTGCCATGTGTCCAGTGTACCATGTCAAGAAAGCAATCTCGGGAAACATCTTCTCAGGCCCAGGTCTCCTGGCACATTAACAGCTGGATTTGACCAGCTGTTTGGCTTCAGTTACCCTGAAACAGAAACTATTCTGGAAAGAAGCCACCTAAGCCCCTAACGGGACCCCTCATTTCTGTGTGATTAGAGATAACTAATCAATGTGATGACCTGGGTTTCTAAAACAAAGCTGCCAAAGCTTTCACTGAAAGACATCTACTGTTCAAGTGGGTTCCTAATATGACACTGCTTTAAAGAAAGGAAAGTTATCTTACCCAGTCATATTAATGCTGCACCACGAAGAGAAGACATAAACCTATCAGACTGAACATGGGTTGCTGCTTCTATGGCACTATAATAAATACCTTCTTACATCTAAATTCTCATAAATCATTCAGATACAATTTTTTAAAAACCTCAATTTTGAGACTGCTCCTAAAACATGCTGTTGATAGGAGAGACCTAGAAACAAATATATCACTAAATTTTAACAATTTGTATAAATCCAGAAGCCTGAGAAAGGGAATCTGAGAAAATAAATCTTTTTCTTGTGGAGCATTCCAAGAATGATTCCCAAGTGCCACTGTTATCTGTATCAATGCCTTCCCAAACTCACTATTACCCTTTCTGGTGCTTTAGAAAACATTACTAGCTAATTTCATGATGAAAGAGTGATATCAAGTCTGAAATCATAGTTTAGGTAACTATCAATAAAAAGTATATCCATACTAAAGATTGGCCTTCAACAATCAAAATTATTTAAAAATATATTAACAAATGCCACAGTGTAAACAAACCTCAAACTTCTGCTAAATTAAGGAAACACACACACAACTACAGATTTCTATAAAAGACAAAACTATCTCTTTCTGTCAAAAGAAATGGGCATTTTCTGGGATTAACGATCACAGAGGGGCTCAATTGCAAAGGGGCATGAGAAAGCTTTTTAGCATAAATTAACTGTTTGACATCTTTACTGATTGCTGTACTTAAAATGACTATGTATAATTGTGTGTTAGGCAGCTTTGCCACACTGTGACAAAACACCTGAGCCAGTCAATTCATAAGGAGGAAAGGTTTGTGTGGGCTCATAATTTCTGAAGTTTCACCCCATGGCCTTGCTGCTTTGGGAGGCAAAGTACATCACGGCAGGGAGCACACAGGGGAGAAGGCCTGCGCATCCAATGTGGCCAGGAAACCAAGGCTCACTATCCCTGCAGGGCCACGCCCCCAGTGATATAACTCCCTGCTAGTAGGTCCTGTCCCTTGTAGGTCCCACCACCTCCCAGTAGCATTGCAGGTTGGGTGCTAGGTCCTTGGCACTTGGACCCTTCCAAGCCATAACAGTTACCAGCATTCATCAAACCTGACAATTAAGACTGGTGAGCTGAACAGCATATAATTACACCTCATGGAAGCTGGGAACAAAAATAGTTCTTTCAAATCAACTGGTCTCAGCCTGTCAGTGATCAGATACAACTTGAAAAGGTTTTGTGTCCAGCCCCTGAGTTACGGGTTGAACTGTGTCTCCCCAGGAAGCTGTCTGTTAATCTGCTGATGTCCTCACCCTCAGAGCCTCCCAGCGTGACTATGGCCGGACACAGTGTCTTCACATGGTGGGAGACCCAACAAGGCTGTGCTCACTGGGGTTGGCAGCCCTGACTCAGTGTGACCAGAGCCTTGCGGAGAAGGAATCAGAGCACGCGGGCAGACACATGGCGTCCTACTTGCGTCAGCAAAGGTAGACATGGGAGTGAGGCATCCGGGATCCATGAGAAGCACTAAGCCAGCAGATGTGTGAACGGCCCCGGACAGCTCCTTCAGAGGGAGGAGCCCTGTGACACCTCTATTTCAGCCTTCAGCACTGTGGGACAGCAGCCCTGCCATCTGGAGCCACCTGGCTGGTGGTGGCTTGTTTTGGGAGTCTGGAGAAACTTGTATTCTCCTGTTGGACACTGACCAGGCTGATCACTGCAGTGAGAAGTTTCCAGAAGAATCTTTGAGATGGGGACGAACTCACAGCCAAAAATACAAAAAACACACATAGTGGTCCCCCAAAAGCAAGGCTATTTCTTTCAAACTAAGCAGTAAGTGTAACTTCTTAATACTTTTAGGATGGGGAGAAATTACAGTACCTGGAGGTAATTTTCAATCTCATGAGAAGCATTTTATAAACATGAAATAAATCACTGGAACCAAACCCACTCCCAGTATGTATGGTGCATATTCTGTTCTTTCATCTCAACAAAGTGGGTTGGCAGGAGACTTAAAAACCAGGTGACTGTGCTGCTCTTAACCTCACAAAGCAGCAAAGGGTGGACACACAGCAGTGGCAGGTGTGGGGTCCAGTCCCACAGGCCTCCCAATCACTGGTCTGCCCTGATGGACACAAAAAGCCCTCTCTGCACACAGAACGCCGCTGTCTTATGGTTATTGTGAGAAGGATCTTCTCCCTTTAGTCCTTCACCCTGCACCGAACATCATATTTCTCCATTGACAACGAACATCAGCACCATGAAATCACTCGTGGCACAGCGGCCCACCTACCTCTTGCGGTGAAGGCAGGGCCCCCTCGCAGGTGACACAGTATCGCAGGTGAGCAGGGTTCCCTGTGCCACAGGAGCGGCAGATCACCTTCGCCTGACCGCAGAGAATGAGAAAGCCCAGCTGAGCAAATAGGTGCAGAGAAACCCTCCTGACCTCTCTCGGCCCCACGACGCCACCTGCGCCCTGCGCAGTGGGCCGGTTTCTGGAATTACTGCGACACTCACAGTGCAGGGAAATGAACTCAGATTGAAAGGAAGCAAAAATCACAGACAGACTTTGAACAATGCTCTCAGGGGCTGGAGAGAGCAATCTGAGCACTCTGCACAGATCATGTGGAGGTGCCCGCCCTGGCAACGTGGGCTCTTGCAAGGCAGCAGGCTTAGCACCCCACGCTCCATGTGAACCGGGAACTGCAGACCTTTGAGAGCTTACCCAGGAGTGTGCGTGACCTGGCCTCAGACTGGGGTTGTGTGAAACGTATGTTTAGGTGGTGCTGCAGTTTCTCACGTAAAAACAGAAGAAGTGAAAAGATGATCTTAGAAAGGGACTTTAATAAGTGTCACTTTCCAAGTCAGGGAAACCCTGGTGCTAAGTTGCAACAGAGAAGATTGAGGGGTAAGAAGGGAGATGAGAATAGCCTCACCTGACTGCTCCTAGCCTAACTTCACAGCTCTGTGTCCTAACACCACTGTCACTGCACTGTTCTGTGCTGGGGACACTGCCTTTCAGTTTCCTATGACCATCAATGCTCGAATTGTCTACCAGGGTCCTTATGGGTCCTGAAGCTGCCAGAGTCCCACAGCCAGCACAGGTAAAGAGGACGAACAAGAAAAACCAAGGCCGGTGACTGGGATTTTGTCCCCAACCCCAGTAAGTAGTTCCCAGAGGTCGCAGGGGCTCCAGGTCTGCTTTACCCCGTCCTTAGGGACCCACAGGACAAGACACTGCAGCCACTCAGGAAAGCAGTTCTGAGCATGGAGGAACCCTAAGGGCAGAGGGCCTCTCTCTGCAGTCCAGCTCCCCCTGATCCCCAGCCCTGCCTGGGTCCCCACCTTTTCAGTTGCTTAATGTGGGAACAACACAAGCTGCAGGTGCTGGGGCTCTGCTGTGGGATTACAGGAGCATGCTGCCTGGAGATGATGTCTTAGACAAGATCTGGTGAAATACAATGAGAAATGAGCTAACTTTCCTGCCCGTGTTAAAAACAAAAGGAATCTGTCACTGCAGGAAGTCCTTCCACTAGGGACATGAGGTGAAAAAGTTGTTTGCCTGTCAAACCCAGCATCTTCCTTCAAGGCGGCAGCTCAAAGTACCAACCTTGCACATCAAAGCTCTGCCCAGTTCAAGTGCTCCCTGGCCCCAGTCCTGCCTTGCAAAACCCTCTGATTTCCATTTTAAGTAGTGAATTTTATTTTTTAGAAAGTTCTAGGCTCACAATAGAGTTGAGCAAAAATTATAGACAATTCCTATAAACCTTTGCCTCCCTCCTGTAGACATGATCGCCCCAGGTGCAGCTTTGTGCCCATGGACAGGGACACTGCACTGTCACTTGGGGACCCTGGTTCACACCAGAAGCTGCTCATGAAAAGCCCTCCTCTAACTCTACAATAAATCCTGAGCCCCTTCCCCTTCATCTCGCATCTCTGCTAACCTGTTAAAAAGAAGACTCTCTCAAAGTAGTGGTCGATGTCACTGCATCAGGGGTGCTCAACTTAGTTTTCTTGGTCAAGAGATTTTTCTGTGGTTTTTGTGGTGGCTTTTGACCTGCAGACACGCACAGGGACACGGGGTCTGGGCCCCCTCTGATGGCCCAGTGAAGGTGTAGAAAAGCGATGATGAGGACTTTCAGGGGTCAGCGCCCTCATCGGCCATCTCCTCTGCAGCCATTGTCACAGACAGAATTACTGAGTTCAAGCAATCTGTGGCAGCAGACCCGACTTAGTGAGGTAAAACTTGTCTTCATGAAAGATTTGGAGGGGAAATAGATCCCTACTACAATTGTCAAAATCCCAAATAACAAGCTCTAAGTTACACAATAAAATGAGGAAGGGTGCTGGGCATAGTGGTGCACTCCTATAATCCCAGCACTTGGGAGGCAGAGGCAGGAGGATCCCTGCGAGTTTGAGACCAGCCTGGGCTACAAAGTGAGGGCAAGGCCAGCCTGGACTGCATAGGGAGACCCTGACTGAAAAAGAAGAAAGAAAAAAGAAGGAAGAGGAGGCAGAGGAGAAAGGAGGAGGATGGAGGAGAAAGGAGGAGGATGGAGGAGGAAGACGTGGAGGAGGAGGACGCGGAGGCAGCGGAGGTGGAGGAGCAGCTGTAGTGTTAGAACCAACTATTAGGCCACTCAGACTTAACCTGCCTAGAACGTCCCTTCTCCCCAGTGGCCCCCCCCAAATTCATAGGCAGGAGCCACTCCTCCCTGCCCAGGAGACCAGGGCTCCACCTGGGCTTAATAGCATTAATCAACACAGAAATCTGGAGTTTATCCTCCATGTAGGATTCACAACAAATTAAAGGGGAAAGCTACTTACACCTTGGTATTTCTCTGCTAGCCACAATAGGGGAGGAAATGTGGGTTTCAAACACTGAAGACAGCAGGACATCTGTTGACTTTATGTCACAGTTCACACCGCTATTCTTCCTGTTTTGAATATCACAAGGTGTTTGGAAAAATATTGTCTCTGAACACCCTGAGTAAATGTATTAGTAAGAGTTGGTTCTGTTGAGATTGTCAGCTGTAGGGTAATTTGTCCTCCGATTTCATGTCCAGGGAACACATTTCTCAGTACCTCTCTTAACATTACAGCTCCCATTAGCAAATTAAATGCCTGAGCAGTACATCTTTCCTATAGCAGATGGATCGTGTTCCCGGTGCGGCAGGACTTCCCACCTGCTTCATTCCTGTGGGGCAGAGTCACTTCCTTACCTTCCCGTGCAGGCTGGCCTGCGGCCGCAGCTGGGGAGCCAGCGGAGCTTCGCACACCACACAGATGGGGGTGTTTGTGGGCACCACGTTGCCACATTCTGTGCACGAGCCCATCTGTGCGAGGAAAAAGGGAGAAGGGTGCTCAGACATGGCCATGAGGAGGTCTCAGAAAGTCAGGCTTTACCTTCTTGTCTGAAACAAGTTTAAAATAATTATCTTTATTATCACTTTATTCCCATTAAGAGTAAAAATATGTTTCTTGAAACAAAGTATTAAAAAAGAAAAACATCGATCAGCATGTAACTCACATCACGATGGGGGGGGGGATTAAAATCCTCCCCCGAAAGATAATCATGAAGCTGTAGAAAGCTACCCAGAGCTGAGCACGGTGGCGGGGGAGTCAGCAGAGGCGAATGATAAACTACAAAGTTCCCGGGAGCGGCCGCACCTATGCTGACAGCGCAGAGCTGTGTGGTGCCTGCATGGGCTAGGGGCAGGACAGACCCTAAAAAGCACAGGTCTGTGGCTGCTTTGGGCTGGGCGCACGTGCTCGGGAGCCCCTTGAGGGTCACAGTCGGGGTGGCAGCCAGCAGCGAGAGCCAGGGCTCCGCTACATGAGACTACAGTCTGGGCACATGATCAGCAGATCCACAAGTGCCTGGGGATCTAACGGGACGTCCAAGGAGGGGTCAACCAGGAGATGCCCTCAAGGGACTCTGGAGGCATAAATCGGCGTTACCTTAGCCACCTAAAGGGCCCTGGTGAAAGGGTCGGAAATGTGACATCCCACCAGCTCACACAGGCCCAGCGGTAGCAGCAGGAACCCGAGATGTGTGAGTACTATGATAGGTGGACACTAAGATAGACAGACCCTGGGCACTTCCAGGATTGATATAAAACAGCCGAACATTGCAGTGGAGACAGCAAATATTTACTACAAGTCAACAACCAAACCAAACAACAATCCCAGGGAACAGAGTCAGAATTCAGAGTTGGGACAATGTATTTATTATCTCAGATACCCAGCAGTGTGCAAAAAATACTTAAGAGGCATGAAAGAACTCCAAGAAAGTATGGGCCACATCGAGAGAAAAACAGTCACAAGAAATGGTCTGAGCCGGGCCTGGAGCAAACACCTATAATCCCAGCACTCAGGAGGCTGAGACAGGAGGATCGTTGTGAGTTTGAGACCAGCCGGGCTATAAAGTGAGCTCAAGGCCAGCCTGAACTGCATAGTGAGACTGTCTCAAAAAATAACAATGACAAAAACCATAAAAAACAAAACCAACAACAAAACAAAAGAAATGGTCTCACTAACCTCAGACACCAATGCATAAAGATTCCAAAGCAGCTATTAAAAAAAAAGTTAAACAGCTAAAGGAAATTATGTTTTTAAAATTAAACAAAGCTTGATGGGGGCTGGGGATTTAGCTCAGTGGCATAAGCGCCTACCTGCCAAGCGTGAGGTCATGAGTTGGATCCCCAGCACCAAAAATAAAATAAAATAAACAAGGTATGATGGCAAGATTTGATAAATGTGGAATCTCGATAAAAATATAGAAATGATTTTAAAAAGAACTATGGCTGGGGCTGTATCTCAGCGGTAAAACTCTTGCCTGCTTTGCATGTGGCCTGGGTTCAGTCTCCAGTGCAGGGGTGATAGCTCATGCCTATAATCACAGCACCCTAGGAGGCTGAGTCAGGAGGATTACAAGTTCAAACCCAACCTGGATAATTCAGCAATTTGGTAAAACGCACCTCAAAAACAAAAACAAATCCCCCCCCCAAAGAAAAGAAAAGAAAAACCAGACAACACTAAATTGAAACATCAAAACCTGGTATTGAAAAAATAAATGACTGGCAAGTAAAAAGTCCTTAGAGGGTCTCAACAGCAGATCAGCGATGACAGAGGAAAGAACCAGTGAACCTGAATAGAAATTATTCAGTATGACAACAGAAAGAAAAGAAGATTGAAGAAAATGAGCAGACCACAAGCATGATGTGGAGCAACATCAAACATAAGATACTTTTTTTTTAAAATTTGAGACAGGGGCTCACTATGTAGCCCAGGCTGGCCTTGAACCAATGGGGATTCTCCTGCCTCAGCCTCCCTAGTGGTGGGATTACAGGTGTGGGCCATTATGCCCAGCTGTTGAATGTTAAAGATAATGAGAAAATCTTGAAAGCTGCAAAAGAAAAAAAATACTAATCATGTACATTAAGAACAATAGGCACAATGGAGTACACTCTGCCACAAACTTTAGTCATCTAGGAAAGTGGATGCACCACGAGATCATAACATTAAGTGAAATAAATCAGACACGTGAGCCTAAATATCACCTGGTTTCTCTTATTTGAGAAACCCAAAGTCTACATAAAGAACAAAATAAAAGACAGACAGTAAGGAGGTAGGGAGGTAGAGCTTTCTCAGCGGGGAAGGGGATCAAGAGGAGGAGGAAGGAGTTGGGATGGAGAGGGCAAGGAGACAGAAAAGGGAATTAAAATGTCATTATGCACTGCAAATGTGTACTAAAAAAAAAAAAAACAGTGGAGGTCAGCAGGCAGTAAAATGGCTTACTCCAAAATCTGGAAGAAAAGTAACTTCCAAACAAGAATTCCACATGCAGCCCACACCTGTAATCCCAGCACTCAGGAGGCTGAGGCAGGAGGATTGCTGTGAGTTTGAGGCCAGCCTGGGCTACACAATGAGACCCTGTCTCAAAAAGACACAAACAAAAATGCCCAAAAAATAAAATAGAAAGACCTTTATGCCCAGCAAACTATCTTTCAATGATGAAGAATAATCTCAGATAAACAAAGACAGAGAAATGGCAGCATGTATGTCTCATGAGAAATAAAATGATAAGAAATAAGATGAAATAAAATGAAAATCTGAATTCATAGGAGGAAGTCAATGGACCAGGTATAATAAATATGAGCATAAACACAAATGAATCCACAGACATTTTTTCTTTTTCACACATGAGATTGTATAAGTGCATTTTTCAGTTTTATAACATATATTCTATGTGTTACATTATATTACATACACTTATTTACATTTATATTACATCTATATTGTGTAAAAGATAAAAGGAAGAGAATGGGGAGATATATTGGAGCAAAAATTTTTTATTCTATTGGAGTTAAACTATTCTACTGTGAAAAACTGTTGTACTGTGTATTCATACTGTAATCCCCAAAATACCAGATAACTAAAAATGGCTTTAAAGAAATCAACAGAGTAATTAAAACATTACCCTAAAAATTACTTACCACAAAAGAAAGCAGTGAAAGGGAAAACAGAAAAACCAAAAATTAAAAAAAGACATGAAACAAACAGAAGACAAACAGCCAACTGGCATCAGTGAATCCTAGCACGCACAGACTGACACACTGTTGGCACGGACTGAAAAGCAGGACCCAACCACTACCCCGGCTTCAAAGACACAGCTGGAAAGAAAAATACAGCGAAAGGCGTACGAGCCTGGCAATCACCATGAGCACGCTGGACAGTATGGAAATCCCAGGAAGTAACAGCTTTAGGACAAGAAGTATTTCTAAAGACAGAGTTACGCTACGATGCTAGAAGGGGCCACTCAGTCAGTCTCTGCAGGTAGAGCAGCTACACGACCAGCTCGAGAACTGCTACAGGTGATACAGGCTGCTAAAACAAAACGCCAGAGACCCAGTGCCACTGGGTGGCTTATGATAAGAGAGATTTATTTCTTGGGGTTTTGCGGGCTGGTAACTTGGAGATCGGGAGGCCAGGGAGTTTGATGTTAGGTGAGCGCTGCTCTGTGCCTCACGGAGGGTCCCTCTGACACGCCACATCGCTGGGGATGCAACCCAGAGGCTTCACATGGAGCTGTGTCCCCAGGCTTTTTATTCCCCTGGGGATTTCTGAGAATTACTACATAGTTCAGGTTGGCCTTGAACTCAGTCAGGTTGGCTTCAAACTTGCAGAGATCCTCCTGCCTCAGTCTCCCAAGTACTGGGTTTACAGGCATGTACCATCATGCCCAGTCCTTTTTTTCATTTTTGTTTTTGACACAAAGTCTCACAAAATTGTTACATTGCTGGCTGGGCTTGAACTTGCGATCTACTTGTCTCAGGCTCCCAGTGTGGTGGGATGACAGGTGTGTGGCACTATGCTGGGCTTCTCTGGGACTAACTACAAAATTATTGGTAAGGTGACATCAGTCATTACCATACTTAATCAGCCAAAAGCTTTAAATTTAAATATACTGATCAACCTATAACTTGTTTGAACAGCATTATGTATCTTAAGAATATACAGCTATAAAGTAATTCATATTTTCCCCCATTTATTTCCAGAATCTATTTCCTTACTGTGCCCAGGTTACGAGTGTAAATATCAAACTGGGGGTAACATTTACTTATCCATGAATGTCTTACTGAAACAATAACATTTCGATGTCTTTTTGAGTCTGAGTCTCTTTAATTTCACACAAAAGAAATGGCATTGTAAATAGTTCCCTCCTCCCCTCCCCTCCCCCACCCTCATATTGGTGATTGAACCTAGGGCCTTTGCACTAACCTACTATCCCTAGACCTTGTTTAAATGTTTTTTTGAAACAAAGTCTTCCTAAATTTCCCAGGCTGGACTCAAACTTGCAATCCTCTTTCCTGCCTCAGCCTCCAAAATGCTGCCATTACAGGTGTGTACACTGTGCCCAGCTAGATTTTGCATTCTACCAGAGGAATCTGGATAGTAAGAGATTAACCTGCTTGTAATTCTTTCAACAAGTACCTCTGTCTGTGGTTCACGCGCACCGGGCACTGTGCCCCACCCCAGGTAATAATATAAGACCCTCCCCATCCCGTGAGGCCTCTCTGGCTCACCTGCCCTCCTTCCGGGGGCGGAAGACGACAGCCAAACACCGGCGGGACAGGAGCACCACACGCGGGACAGAAGCGTGCGAAGGGGTCCGAGGGGCGGGGGCCCAGGCAGTGAGGGCACCTGCAACAGAACGCGGTAAACCGGGGACGACCCTGCGGAACGCACACGGCTTAAAACACATGGAACCAACCCGCTGCTCTGGAGGACGGGAGTGGGCAAGGAGCTGGCTCATGGCCACGCGCCCCTTCCTGCAGTGAATTTTATTTAAACACGCACTGCATTTTAAATCCCATTTTATATACCCTCTGACCAAGATAGAATTGAATTTGAAAGGTCCAAAGTATGTAAAAAAAACTCTCAATATCTGGAAATTTAACAACAGCCTTCCAACTAACCCACACTCAGAAATAAACAATGAGGGGATTAGGAATGCTTTGAACGAATGAACATGAAAACACAAAACATCAAAATCTGGCCACTGCAGGTGAAGCAGTACTCAAAGGCAAGTGGGTAGCTCTAAGTACCTATGCGGTACTGGAAAATAAGACAGACTCCAACTAATGACTTCATCTCCAAATTAAAAAGCTAAAAAAAATTTTTTTAAAAGCCCCAGCAGATATTCGTAAAAGTTGAAAGGCTGATTTTAGAATTAATTTGAAAATGAGAAGAACCTAGAATAACCAAAAATTTTTTTCATAAGAACAGAGCTAGGAGATTTACAATAGTTGATTTTGAAGCTTCTTATGAAGCTACAGTAATGAAAGTCATGCAGGGGTGAACAAATCCAGGAAACACCAGTGGAATAGAAGTCAGGATCTGGAATCAGACTCATACACATTTCATCAGTGATTCTCAAATATTCCAAAATGAATCAACAAAGAAATACAATCTTTTAAAGAAAATGTACTAGAACAATTTGCTATTCATATACATAAATACAACTCCTATCCAAATGTGAAAATAAACTCAAAGTAGACCACAGACTAAACACAAGAGACAAAGCTACAAAACTCAGCCAGGTGTGGTGGTGCACACCTGAAATCTTAGCACTTAGGAGGCTGAGGCAGGAGGATCCCTGTGAGTTTGAGCCTGGGCTACATAGTGAGTTCAAGACCAGGCTGGAATACATAGTGAGAATTTGTCTCAAAAACAAAAACTTCTAGGAAAGGACATAGGAGAAAAATAAACCTTAGCTCATTTGAAAACATCTTGGGTTTGGGAAAGAGTTCCTATATACAAGAAACTAAGAATGAAGCATTAAAAAAGCCCACAAATAAACCCTAAATAAATGTCATCAAAATGAATAGCCAAAGACCAGAGAGAACTATTCATGGAACATATCTGACAGAGAAGATGTACAACTCTAATAAAAGGCCTTGGTTAATGAGCGCGATCATGGTGTTCATGCCGAATGTGCCACCCTCACAGTGACTCCCACCTTGCTATGATGCTGGCAAGTTACCCATCTGACGTGAGGAAAAAACACAAAACACCCAGGACTCATGTTTTTAAAGAGCAAGATTTTGCTAAAGCAGATGCATGGGTGGAAAATGAGCACATAGAAAGATACTTACTATCCCTGGATCATGGGAAAATATAAATACAAAATCACAGCGAGAGACCACCATGATTTCACAAGAATGATCAAAAAACTTCAAAAGCATTGGTGAGGACATCAGGAATCAGGAATCCTCAAACCCTGCTCACAGGAATGTAAAAATGGCACTGCTGCTTCAGAAAACGAACAGCTTCTTAACGAGTTAAATGTGTACCTGTCGTGTGGCCTCGCCATCTTCCAAGGGGATCAGTGTCCCAGGGAAGTTAAGGCGTGAGTGCCACAGTGACACAGCATGTGAGCTGCAAGAAGTGAACGGCTACACAAGAGCAGTGAGCACAGTGGAAGCCCAAGGAGACCACGCACAACCAGGCAGGGAGGGCAGAGACACCGGGCACCGGCAGCGACACAAACGGCTCACGAGGTAAAGAAGCGGGGCAGAGGGAGAGCACAGACTGAACCAAGCGCTTCCCTCCACCGCACCTACACTAAAAAGCAGAATCAAATGCGGGTGACAACAAGGTGATGACAGCAGCCGAGCAGCTCCCTGGGCCTAGGGGAGGGTGAGAGGTACAGGATAGAAACTTCTAGAGAACATGCACTTGTTCATCGGTGCTGATGGTTTTACACAGACATCTATCAAACGGTTTCACTTTTTTTTGAGACAGGGTCTCACTGGGTAGCCCAGGCTGGCTTCCAGCTTCCTGCCTCAGCCTCCTGAGCGCTGGGATGACAGGCGTGTGCCCCCATGCCTGGTGGTATGTACCATTTTTAAGTCCTCTTTGACCACAGTGTCTCTCTGTTGGGTTTAGGCAGAGTCAGGAGTGTGGTACGTACTTGAGAAAGTCTGTCTGCCTCTGGATTCTCATGAGCTCTGTGCTTGTCAAACTCGTTTGGGCCGGTATGTGTGCAAATCCAGGAGACTGAAATGAAGAATGCAGATTGATGTAGGTACACATACAACCTCGGCGTAAGTCAGTAAAGCCCCACTAAAAATTCATCTTAATGTTCTCTGCATAATTCCAGGCACTCATCCTTTTAAAACCACCACCGGGAAGGACCTGAATAGGACACCCATATACAACATAAATTCTATACATAATCGGGTAGGTATATTTTGTCAAAAAGGAAGCTTTACTGAAAAAAGCTATCTGAAATTACCATCATACAGATCAGATTTTAGAAGTGAAGAACCTAAGTTAGCATTCACTTTTCGGGATTATGTTTCTGGGACAATATCGGTCTGCTGCCATCCTGGAGACTGGGGAGGTAACCTTCCGTGGCGCAGATGGTTTGGTGGAGTTTGCGAGCAGGCATTATCAGGTCTGTGGTCCTCTGGCCTAGGCTTTGTGATTCTTTGAAAAAATATGAGCGAGCAGAGGGAAGAATCCAGTAGTTAGGTATTCAAGACAGGAAATGAAGGTCATTTCTTACTTTCAGGATAGGGATCACTGTTCTTGTCAGTGATCCTCAGTCTGCTCCAATTGCTGTAGACTTCACCCACATTTATGGACTCAGAATATGGTTTCCAAAGAGGGCCAGCTGTAAATATGAACATAGTGTACCCTCAAGGTGGGTCTGATAGGCAACCAGGTTTGGGAACTACGTCTCTGGCCGTCTTCATACTTGACCGTAAGCGTGAACAGCCTTGGAATCACCAGTATCCAGGCAGCAGATGTGATAAATGGAAACAGGGACTCCTGCTACCTTCTGCTTCCAACCCGGACAGGAGGAAGACAGCAGGGGTTCCCAGGTTTCCCTTAGAGGCTAAAAGTCTAAAGTGCATTTTACAAACAATGAAACATCAATGCACTACTAAGAGAATTTTTTTTAATCTAAGTAATAACAATGCATGGAGAATGGTTTTTCTTAGGATCACAAATCATGTCCATATTGTCTGTGCCCATGAGTGATTCTTCATTCTGGTCTAGTTTGAGTCTTCAGTGACAAATGACACGATCGGCCCTGCCTTCTCCTGGGAACCTGAGCTTCTCTTGGCTTCTGAGGCACCACATTCTTCTGATTTCTCCCTGCTTCTCCGGCTCTTCTTCCTGTGAACAACCTCTAAGCGGAGGATTTGTCTCTGGTGCCACCTTCTCTTCCTTTTCTGTTTCCTAGATCATTGTCTGTCTACCCGCAGCCCCGGCAAACGTCAGCCCCGTGACAGTGGACACTGCAGTGTATAGCACAGGGCCAGAGGCTGCCTCACAGCCATTCTGGGGAAGCCCTGCAAACACAGGAGCGGAGCTGGTACCCAAAGAGCTTCTTCCCACGTTACCTGGGACAGGCAGGTGGGCAGCCCAGTGCCTGATTCTTTACCGTGAGCTGGGATTTCCCGTGGGCTCTCTAGGAAGCGAAGATCTTTCAGAGCTCTGGGGTCGGTTCTTTCACCTACCTTGAGGTCTGCAATTATATTAAAAACACTGCTCTGTGACCATCTGCGATTACATAAAATCATGTGAATTTATCTTCAGCTTGGGAAAGCTTTCACTAGAGGTCCAGGGTCATCACATTCTTTCCCTAGAAGCAACACTTCTACAAAGGGCCCCTTCCACCTCAGTGAAGTAGAAAGAAAGACTTAATGAGCCCAGACTGAGAAGTTAATCTTTCTGCTAAATTCTTGAGCATTCCATGCCAGCCAGGGAAAACAGAGTGATTCAATGTAAAGGTAAGCAGGAATATCATTCCCCGCAAGGACACACTCAGCTGAAAATGTCATAGCAACTTCTTCTCTGGTAAGTAACCACAGAGAAATCTTGTTCTCTAAAATCAGAGGGCATCAGAAACTTTGCTGTTTGGAATCATATCAGTAAGAGCAAAATATAAGAGTCTTAGCTAGGTGTGGGGGAGTGAGCCTGTAATCCCAGCACCCTGAGAGGGTGAGGCAGGAGGATCGCAAATCTAAGCCCAACCCAGGCAATTTAGTAATTTAGCAAAATCCTTCCTAAAAGATAGAGAGATAGAAAGGGAACGAGGCAGGGAGGAACAGAGGAAGGGAGAAGAAAAGAAAGAAAGAAAGACACCTGACCCTCAAGATCTAAGTCCCTCTGACATGGAGAAGTAGCCTCTGTTTCTCCCTAGGGCTGCGATCCACTCCCAATGTCTGACACAACACTGCACACCCACTTCAGCAATTTCCAAGGTAACAGAATCTCAGTCCACACCTGATGTTGACACTTTACACGGAGCCCAGCCTTGCTTTGAGAATATAATAACTCTGCTTTAATTCATATTTCATCCAAACTCCACCCTTCCTTCCAATGCTACCACTCGTTTTTTCCTTTGGTGAGACAAGTCATGGTTGCCTGCATGTGACCTCCCTCAATGCCATGCATGCATCAGGATGTCTAACTTGCCAACCATAATGGTGCATGCCTGTAATCACAATACTGGGGAAGCCGAGGCAGGAGGATCACCATGAGTTTGAGGCCGGCCGAGGCTACATAATGAGTTCAAGGCCAACCTGAACTACACAGAGAGACCCTGTCTCAAAAAACAACAACAAAAAAACCAACCTAACTTTGTAGGGTTGCTTGTTTATCCCTTGTACCCTTAATCTGTTAGCTAGGCCAGTACCAAACTTCACATTCTACCCACTTTCTGGCTCCAGGGTTTCTTATTCCAACTCTCTGAGGATAAGCACACACACACAGTGCACACACACAGAATCAGTTTCGAATAGGAGGCCTTATCTTCATCCTACCACATCATACCTGGAAACTTTCGCAGGATGACATTCCAGCCACACTTATTGTCAGCACTCTTACATTTCTTCCTCACATTTGGTCCAACAAATCCATGTTTTAATTCCTAGGAATAAAGAGCTGTGTGTCGCCTGACACCTATTTTGAACTGGAGGACTGAAAGCCACATGACTGTGCAGTACGCGCTGACGACATGCAGGGGCTGGCAGCAGGCTCCACAAAGCGCCCTTCTCCACCCACACCGGAAACACAGCTTTGGCTCTGGGCTCCCACTTAATACATAGCTGCAATGGGGGGCAGGGACTTGCACAAGCAGCAGGGAGATAGCAACATCCGGGGACCACCAGACCCAGGGCGAAGGTGGCATGAAGAGACACCAAGACAGGACCTGCACACATGATCTGTCCACACAGCCCTTGGATACCCTGCTCCTGGGCCTTCTTCCCTGGATTCTGACCCCAGGCTGATTCAAACCCCAGTGCCTGCTGGTGTGTGGATGTGGTCTTGTGGTTTGCTCTGCTTTGACCATAGTTAGGCTCGCCAGCCGCCTGTGCCCACTGCCTGAGCTTACAGGACATCCCAAGGCTTCCTGTGTTGCTCCCAACTGAGCCTCTGTGGCTGGTGCCTGCTCACAAGCCAGCCCTCCTGGGGCCCTGCCAACTGCCTTTATCTCACTGACGCTGATGACTCAGGGGCTGACATCCCTCTGTCCCTCTTAGGTCACATGGACTCTCCAAAGACACCCCTTTTGCAAAGATTTGTGCATAAAGATTTCAATATAATATAAGTCTAAGGCACTGGGGGCTTTTGCTAGCCTGATGAATGTATTCCCTAAGTACAAACCCACCGACCTCTCCCACCTGGTGCCTGGAAGGGACTGGCAGGGAGCTGGTCACCACATGTGCAGAGCAGTTTACAGGGGAAGCCTGGGTGCAGCAGGCTGGGTGCAGTGCAGTTTAATTTAGCTGTGGCGTATGTCGGGGTGCAGGGTCACAGACACCGTGAAAGGCTGACCGAGGATTCGGGCAGGTCCCTCGGGAGGCAAACTATAGCTTTCCACTTTCTTTGGTAGTAAGGAAAGGGGTAAGGAAGGGTCCCGGAAGCCACAGGGCATGGAGATGGCATTCCAGGCTCTGGGGTTTCCTAGGAGGCATCAGGGGTGACTAAAGGCTGGGGAATCCCTGGGGACAGTGCGATGGTCCACCCCGACATCGGCTCTGAGGACCTGACTGAGCAGAGGTGACGAGGGGACAGGAAAGACATTCCCACTGAGAGGGAAGGGACAAAAACCAGAGAGGATGCGAAGGTGCTGTGGCCTCGCAACTTGCCTGCTTCGAAGAGCCTCTGGGGACACTTTCAGCTCTGTCTTCAGAAGAGGTTGTGCTTGGTGACTCACAGTCCACTTGGAACACCTTTGTGACAATGCCACTCTGCCTGCTGTCTCTAACAGTTATTTAGAAGAAAGAGGGGGAGGAAGAGAAGGAGGAGAAGAAAGTGGGGAGAAGGAAGGAAGGAAATAATATGTGTTACATAATGTGCAAAGAAGCTTCATTAGGTCGTTTGCTGCTGAAACTAAACATGTATATATATGTATGTATATATATATGTTTTGTTTTGTTTTTTGTTGGTTTTTAGTCTTTTTGAGACAGGGTCTCACGATGTAGTTCAGGCCAGCCTTGAGCTCACTTTATAGCCCAGGCTGGTCTCGAACTTGCAATGATCCTTCTGCCTCAGCCTCCTGAGTACTGTGAAACTAAACATATTTAAACAAAAGAAAAAGAAAAAGGTGGCTAGCAATTAAAATGACTTTACTTAAAGTTCCTTAGCCTATCTGCTAAATTTACTGTATTTTAAAATAAATCAGTGTTATTAAAACATGATTTATGCCAGGCAAGGTAGTGCATGCCTGTAATCCTGGTGCTTGAGAGGCTGAGGCAGGAGGATTGCTGTGAGTTTAAGGCCAGCCTGATCTGAATATCAAAACCTGTGTAAAAAAAAAAAAAAAAAGACATGATTTCTGCCCAGCCTTTCCTCACCCAGCTCTCGCTTAGGGTTCCTGCTGCTGTGTAACAAACAGCCCCCAAACACAGAGCCTTCAAACCCAAGAGCCTGGCTGAGTAATCTCAGTCAACCCCTCTCTTCCTCTGGTAGCCCCAACTGTCTTGCTGGTCATTTCCAGCCAGTGACTCTGCTGGATTTGCCTGGACACCTAACATTTTTTAATTTCAGTTACCTTCTTACTTCAGTGTCCTTGTTTTGCTCTTCACATTTTATCTGTTTCACTAGCAACTTCTCAGGTTTCTAAGGAGCCCCTTATTTATGCCTTAAGATGTCTGAAGCTTTAAATAAGTAAGTGTCCCAGAAGGCTTAAAATTCTTTATTTAAATTCTTAGGAAGTCACATCCATTGTTATGGATTAAAAACTGGAATTAAATCACCATGCTACTGAGCATATTGCGTTGAGGTATTGAGGCATTGTGAGTTCACCTATGAGTTGCTGTTTGAGCTGTCAGTACTCCTGGAAAAGCTCTGGTCCTCACATCAAGCATTGCTTCCTAGTTCCAGAGAGGAAGACGTGTGCTGCTTGGTCCCAGGATGAACTCATGCTGGCTTCCTGGCATGTATGTGACTGTGTTAATTGGAGGAGGAGCTTGGGGCCTATGTGTCACTAAGAATGGCTGTGGTGCTTTGCAGGACAGCCCTGGTCTTTGTTGTGAGTGTGGCTTCTCGGCCCTAGCATAGAACCCTCAACCTATCAGCACAGCTCCTTCACCCCACTGGCATAGCTTCCACCACTGACCTTTGGGCCTTCCATAAAAGAGGCTGGTGAGTCCTTTTTGTTGGCTCTAGACCTCCTGTTGGACTATTGGGAGGCAGTATCATGATCTCTGGGTCTTCATCTGGACTCATGTGGGACATTGCTGTGGGATTCAGGCCCTTGTCCAAATATTCTATGTCTTTGGTGTTGTGGATAGATTTCCCACATTTTGTTGTGTTAACTCCCAGTGACCATCATAAAATAATATTATAAACTCCATGTCCTAATTCTAGTTGTTCTCACAATCCCTGACTACAATACCCATCAATTCCAAAACACCTGTGAAATGTTTAACATCAAATGACATAGAAGTTTTAGGCTATATTTTAGAATATGGAGGAAAAACTTCTCAGAAATAAGCAATGCATCTATGTGACAATACCGAATGAGTGGTTTTCCTTGCTCAGAGGACAATCACACGTTCAGTGGCTGGAGTGACCCCCAGGTGGCCGGAGCCTGGGGAGCACTTTGCAAAGAAAAGACAACTACACTCACAGATCTGTCAGCCTGGATACACACAGACAATATTTTCCACCAACCCCTGGCTTAGCTCAGTCACTGTAGGATCTGCCTAGTATCCTGCTCATCTTTGGTCCCAAGAGCCCCTGTCCTTGTCAGCATACTTCCTCGACACCCCTGACTCTGCCCAGGGATGGTTCAGGCCCTGGGTAGAAGCTGCCCCTGCCTACTACCTCTGTCCTTGCAAGCCAGGTTCTCTTCACAGCAGCTGCCCTTCCCTTGGGGACACAGCCAAGGCCTCACTCATGGCTCAGTGCCAGACAGAAGCGGCCCAGGGACGGCAAGTGCCGAGCAGGGATTTCACCTGCTTATAATCCGTGAAAGCATTCAGCTTGGAATTACAATTAAAAATCCCATTTGGAGCCCAAATTTCATTTGAAATACACACAAACTTCTGCTAGGATTGGAATTAGAGGCCTCACATGTATATCTTAGAGAGGACCCACATAAAGTACATTTAAAACAGGTTTAGGGAGCTCTAGCCTCTGAAGCACCAGAATTACAGGAAGATGAGGTGGGAGTTATAAAGTTGGATCCACGGGAATCCCACAACTTGGTCTAGATCAGGTTTTTTCAAACCATTGAAAAGCACCAGACAAGGAATTTTGCAGGTTCCGGAACATCTGAGAATTCACACTGGATACTTCAAGGACTCTGCCCACTGAGATGCAAGAATGCATCAAAGTTACTCTCAGAGGACTATACTACTGTGAGCTCCTGCTCTGTTTACCCAACTCTGCCGCCTCCTCTCTCTCCCCTTGCCCATCATACTCGATCCCATTTTGCTTCCCAAGCAGCACCAAACATTCACAGTAAATTCAGAATGTCAGATCTTGGTCTTCAATCCCCCCAGGGAGACCTTTTACATATGGTTTTCCATGTCTTCAATGATAGACAAAAACAACAACAATAGGATGACCTTTAAATGGTTACATTCCAGGACAGCCATAAAAAAGGGTGCATTCCAGGATAAAACTCTAACGCCAATTTATGCCTCACAGCAGCTATAGCTGCTGTGAGCGGCACCTGGGCTTGAGATAAAACACAGGTTAGAGAAAAAATAATCTAAAACCCCGAGGCACCCCACCACCAACATCATGCTTCAAGTATAGCAGAAAAACCGACCTTGGACACCCAAGCCTGCCCTGCCCTGCAGCCACGACTGGGAACTGGTCCCACCTGCAACCAAGTCACTGGAAGTGCGAATGCCCTGCCCACCAGAGATCCTGTAAGTCATCACCTTCTCCGCCCTGAATGGATAAGACACCGCCGCCTCAGACCGGCTGATCTGCTCAGCATCCCTGCTGAAGAGGACTGATGGGGCCCACGGCCTCACCAAGGTATCTCCCTCAGAGCCCTGAGTTTCACTGGACATCTCAGGAAAACCTTCTTTTTACTTGTTGACAAGTAAGCCACCCATAATGCTCTTCCTGAGTTTTAAGGACGATGTTCCCAGTCTGCAGTGTCTGTTTTGGGAGTTGACAGCCAACCTCCATGTCCTTCTCAGACAAAACCTACCCCCTGCAGATTCCAAACCCTTTACACACAGCTGTGTTATTATCCCAACCTGTCTTGTACCTGTTTTTGATAAAAATTCTACTCCAAAAACTCAGTTTCTCTTATACTCTCTCCCTCTCCCCATGGCTCTCATACTCTGATCCCAACCATCATACACCACTGACTCAGGCTCTCCCCTTCCCTTCTCCTTCATTGACCCTACGGTCTCAGACACCTCTAGTCCCACTCATGCCCACCACATTACTCTGCTGCTAATTCACCTCAAACACCCCTCGGTCTTCTCTTCTGTTCCCCAATACTCAGTAGCCCCTAAACATCAACAAGGACTCAAACCTGTTATCCACTGCTTGTTAATTAATGGGTTTCTAAAAGTCACTCACTCGCCTTATGACACCCCTATTCTCCCTTTTCTTAAATCCAATAGCTCCTATCACCTAATCCATGATCCCAGAGCTACTATCAGTACAATAATGCCAGTTTACCCAGTGATGCCAAAGTCTTACACTACACTGTCTCATATTCCTCCACTTTCCTGTATTAGACTTAAAAATACATTTTTCACTTCCTTTACATCCACAATGCCAAGACCTTTTCACCTTTATATGGATGGATCAACATACTTTTCAGTCTACTCAACTAACATAGACAGTGCTACCCCAGGAATTCAGAGACAGTCCTCACTTCTTTAGTCAAGCCTTAGCCAATGATCATACAACTATAAATCTACAACCTAGTACAGTCATTTAACACATAGATGACCTTCTACTCTGCTCCCCCTCCTATGCCACAACAACACAACACACAGCTGCCTTACTCAACTTTCTCTGTGGTAGAAGATACAAGGTCTCTTGCTCCAAAGCTCAAATCGCCTCACCAAAGGTCAAATACTTAGGCCTCATGCTTACACTCACCACACGGTCCATAACCTCTGATCACAGGACTCCTTTGTGACTTACAGACACCAATCACAAAACAATGAATATTATTCTTCTTAGACCGATCAAACTTCTTTCACCTTGTATCCCCAACTTTGCTTCCTTAGCTCAGCCACTATATCAAGCCTCTAAGGGGCCTCTTTCAGAACCCCTGAACCCCACTATGCCAATTGACACTCCCTTCACAAAGGTTGAGGAGGCCCTCCTTAGAGCCCGTGCACTTACACTTCCTAATCCTACTATACCCTTTATTCTATACACTACAACAGATAAAGATAATGTGATGGGAGTATTGGGACACAGTAAAAGATCTTCATTCCAGGCCATAGCCTACCTCCCAAAACAGCTAGACACTACAGTTAGAGGATGGCCTTCCTGCCTTCAGATGATAGCAGTGACGGTCATCCTGACACAAGAAGCCAAAAAGTTCACTTTAGGACAATCAGTCTACTCACCACACCATCTAGTCAATCGAGTTTCTCACAAGACACTCCCAGCTCTAATGACCCCATCACGGCTACAAGTATATCTAACTCTAATACAACTCCATTGTCACAGTCTCAACCAGCAACACCCTCAATCCAGCTACCCTATTGTCCACTCCCACAACAGATACAGAGATAAGTCCTCTACATGACTGCACAGATGTTCTCCAATTAACTTATACTTTCTTCCCACATATACATGATTCTCCTCTCTCTGCTGCTAACCTCTGTCCCCTACAAAACTTTGAGTTTTTCCCAGGTCACCTACTCAGTTAAGTCCATTTCAGCTTATGTACAGTAGACCATCTGTCTTACAAAATTTGCCTTCACCTTCTCATCTTCCTCCTTTAGCTGACTGCCTCCTGGTTCTCTCATTCCTTTGACACCTTCTTTAACAATACGCAGATCTTTGCCTCCCTCAACCCTCCAAGGGACATGCACCAAATCCTCTTTCATCTTCAAGAGACTTTATCTATATTAAAATTATTTTTTATTATTTTATTTTTGTCTTTTTCATTTTTATTGGTACCAGGGATCAAACTCATGACCACACACCTGCAAGGCAGGCGCTTATGCCGCTGAGCTAAATCCCCAGCCCCTATATTAAAATTCTTAAACCTACAGGTTTAACTTGAATTCTTCAAGCTAAGTAAAATGGACCTCATCTGGTGTATCTTGGGACTCCAACTGTGGTAAAGGTAGAGAGATTCCCATGCTGGTCTCATGACACCCAGATAAAGAGGTATCATCTGCTGCCCGGTAATCTCAATCCTGAACACATTAAAGGTACTTTATGGACCTCATGTCCAGTAGCTCCCACCCATCTACCTAGCTTTGGCCTATATACAGCTCTATACTTCTCTTCCTCACAGGCGCTCTAACAATCTACTCCAAAAATAACCAAACTCTTACACTAATTATTATTATTATTATTACACAATAATAATAATAATACACCATTCTACAAACGTTTACACAGGTTTACAAAAAATACACCATTCTACAAAAGTTATCACACTTTTCATATTAATAATCTTACTGTTTACATTCCTCAATTGCCTTAGTCAACTTGATAGGCTTCCTCCTCTACCTCAAACTATTCTTTCACCTTACCCTACAACACTCAGACACCCCAAATACCAACTCTACCTGACTAAACAGCAGGTCCTTCCCACACAACTGTTGCTCAGGTCAATTAGGCTTCAAGACCCCTAATATTTGATTTCCGTTGGCATGTGCTCACTTTAAAGTTTACCATAACAGACAACCTATGCTCCTCAATTTTACTCCTGCCATGGAGACTACATCTACATAGACATAACTATCATATGTATGTTCTACACAGAGGTCTTACATATTCACATAAAAAATCCGAAAACATTTCCACTACTTCCTCGAAGTCAATGTCATGTCTGCCTCTGAACTTAACTCTTCACAAACAACTGCTCCCCAATACACGGGTCCTCACATCTCAACTCTTAACACCTTCCTCACCTTAAGAGACACATATCTTACAACCCCTCTCATATTTCAACTTTTAAACACTTTTCAACTATTATATGCTTTAAATATCTCAGACCCTAGCTGCTGGCTGTGTCTACCGTAAAATCAGTCTCCCAGAATGTTAATTCACTCCAAGATCAAATAAACTCCCTGACCACATTAGTTCTCCAACAAGGAAGGGCACTCGGTATTCTCACGCAGTAAAAGAGGGATATTATGCCATGTTGGGAGATGAATGCTACTATTTTGTTAACCAATGGGGCATAGTAAAAGACCAGTACAAAACTCACAAAAATTGACAACTGATATATGCAGCAGATACCACTTTTCAAAATCTACCTCCTGGTCTTCATGGTGGAGCTCCCTAGATACATGGGCCCCCATCTTAATGCCCACTATGAGTCCCTTAATTACTGTAGATACCAGAGAAATCCTGTTACTGAGCGACACTGCGACCTCACAGACTCTGACGGAATGGATCCCTCGATCCCATTCCCCTCTACCCTAGGCCCCAACATTGCCCCCTCACAGCAGGAATCAGCCAGAGACCCCCCACAGTGCAACTCCAGAGAGAGACTCCCAAAGAGGTGGGAATGTTAGGTCCCCCATCTGAGAGACAGCACAATCATCATGGCAATGCTTCAAAGCTATGCCATGATAATGCACACCTCCTTCTTCCCAGAAGCCCCTATGGTTTGCCAAAGCTCTGACATGTTAAGGTTTACCCAATCCCCTGCACTCTCACAAAATAAATCAGCTCACATCAGTCTCCAGAGCCCTATCCCTACCACAGCCTGTATCAGGCAGAACCTGCCCTTTGTTTGCAGGGAGAGCTGCCACAGCCTTCCTTGAGGTGATTCCCTCTATGCCCACTTCCCATTAAACTCTTTTCTTAATTACTTGCCTCCTCTCCTTAACATTTTGTGCTGCTCTAAATTGAGTATAAATCAATCAACTTGGTGTTTTGTTTTACAGTACTGGGGATCCAACCTAAAACCTTCACAGTGATGCACTGAGCTACAGCCCCCGCCATTTCTTTTTACCTTTTTTTTTGGTCTTTTTCTCGGTACTAGGGATGGAACTCACAATCACACACTTGCAAGGCAGGCGCTTATGCCGCTGAGCTAAATCCCCAGCCCCTAAAATTTGGCTTTTTTTTTTTTTTTGGCCCCTGCCATTTCTTATTCTTATTTTTTGATTTAGAGACAGTGTTTTACTAAGTCACTAAGCTGCCCATGTGGTGGCTAAACTTGCAGCCCTCCTGTTTCAGCTGACCAGAGCATGATGCCTTGTTTTGACAGAAGTGACCTAGCACACAAGGTAAGGCCAGACATTCCAATCCTCAGTAAAAACAATCGTAGTATGTGTATAAAGGTTTTTTAAATTATTATTTTTAGAGGCCAAATCTAAAAATCATCTTTAGTGTACAAGTTGTGGATCTTCCCCAAAAAGCCACACAGCAGCTCAGCCAACAGAGGAAACCTGGAGATTTTTATAATCCAGCCGAGACAGCCATGTAGCTATTTGGTTTAAAGTTTAATTAAGCATGTTTCTCCAAAGTGGCCAAACCTGTTTTGCTGCACAAAGTGACTCTCGTATCCCAGCCACCCAGATTTGCTTAACATTTGAGGTCTGGATTTTTTCCTCCCTCACAACACATGGGGAAGGCTCAGGGGACAGGGGTTGCTGCTATATTTGAAAACACGAGGTCCTGGGCAGAGGAGAGAGGACACAGGTTCTTTTTCAGTTTGCTAAGGTCCAGTGAGCTGAGACAACTGCAGAAAATGATTTAGAGATGAAGACGGACCTCAGGGGACACAACGATCACTCACTCAACAAGGCCTTCACCCTCACCCACCTAGAAGGTCTCTCTGCTTCCCCAAACCCCAGTGTGGAATTTGAAATAAAAACATTATTATCGTAAGACTTCAGTCAGCTGTGCGCTTAGGACTGGTGCACTTCACAGTCAGTCTATCCCAATAAAAGGCAAATAAAGCAGAAAAGTTACATACAGATGATGAGATTATAACAACCTTTAACCCAGCACTCATTCTCTCAGAAATAACATTAGAACTCGATGTCACTACATCCCATGAGTCAGTTTAATCACTGAGTTCTTAACTCACTTAGACACGGCAATGGCTTTAACTTGTATTTTCCCATTGGGCAGGGTAATAGGTTTTGTATACTTCAATGTGTTATTCTCGCCATAACCAATTTTCTTCAGAAATTCAGGTTTGCTGCCATCCAAGGTGTAATATATGTTGACATCTGGGGTGTCTGAAAAATCCAAAAGAGAAAAGATTAAAGTAGCAAGTTGCCGAATAAAGTCTATAGGTCATTTATTCCAGGAGAATTTATAATGTAGAAGCAACAGTAATAACTAACAGAAACCCTGTTCCTTCTCTATATGAGCATGGTGTTATTTGGCTGCACAACATGAAGGGTTTGTGTTTCATACCCGGTTTTACAGAGGAGGCAGGTGAACACCTGAGAGATCAACAAGCTAGCTAATAATAGAGATGTCGTGGTCTGACTTCTGCTAGGTTGGCTCCATGGTCCAAGCTCCTAAACCACTGAGCTCTTTGTCTCTCATCAATAGGACATTAGCATAAATCAGATAGGAGTTGGTTTTGAATAACAGGACGCAGAAGCTAATTTTAATTTTTTTTTCTTTGTCTTTTTGAGACAGGGTCTCATTATGCAGTTCAGGCTGGTCTTGAACTCACTTTGTAGCTGAGGTGGCCTCAAACTCACAGCAATCCAATTGCCTCAGCCTCCTGAATGCTGGGATTACAAGTGTGTACCACAATACCTGGCTAATTTTTAATTTTTTAAAAAGTACTTTTCTGTTTTATTTTGGAGTGTCGAGGATTGAACCCAGGGCCTCTCATATGCTAGGCAAGCACTTTTTATTTTGGTTCTTTTGAGAGAGGGTTTCACTATGCAGTGCAGGCTGGCCTTGAATTCACTATGTAGTCCAGGCTGTCCTCAAACTTGCAGCAACCCTTCTGCCTCAGCCTCCTAGCTTTTAGGCAGGCACTCTTATTACTGTGCTACAACCCAAACCTTACGTATTTCAAGCCACTAGGTCGCCAGGGATCTGACTCCTGGGCATTTCTTCAGGAACGGTTTGTTATATTTTATCTGGACTTGATACATAATTCTTGTACTAGAAAAGTTGTAAAATGCAATACATTCATACGATTCAAAATTCAAAAGGTTCAAAAGGGCCCCAGGACACCAGCTCTCCCTGCCAGTCCTCTACAGTAGCTATCAGGAGGCAGCCAGCCGTCTCTCTGGCAGCCATCGACGGTTCATACACACATGAACACGGAGGCACATGTTCCTCCTTTCCCTTTTGCAATTATAAGCACTGTAATGAGTAATCTTGTAAGTATGGTGTAAGACAAATATGCAGTGATGGTACTGCTGAGTGAAAATATATGTGTATTTGTTTTTGGACAAGATCTTGCTATGTTGCTGAGACTGGCCTCAAACTCAACTTCAGCCTCCCAATTCGCTGGGACTACAAGCACATATCACAAGCCTTCATTTCCACTTACAGTTTTAATTAATATTGTCCAACTGCTCTCCGTGGGTGGCTAAGCAATTTACACTGTTATCAGCAATGCACAGAAGTGTCTATTTGATTACAACCTCCAGCTATGTGAATCAATTTGTCTTTTCATTTTGCTAATTTTCAAAGTTAAAAAAAATACTATTTGTAGTTTCAACCCATCTTTCTTTTTTTTTTAATGTGATGCTGGGGGTCAAATTCAGAGGCCTGTTCACATTAGGCACATGCTCTACCACTGAGCTACATCCTCAGTCCCTTTCCTTGTATCTGGATGAGTTAAATTCATTCAACAAATATTTCCTGAGTACCTGTCATGTAGTAGACACTGTTCTAGGCACTGGGGGCACACAAGTGACCCAACTCTCTGCTTATATCTCAGGAAGGATGGAAAAATAGTAAACAAACAAACAAGCAAATACAGTTTGCCAGATGGTGAAATGCCCAGGAATAAATTAAGCAGGAGATAAGGTATGGCCAATGTTGGCCTGCTGGGGGGACCCAAGGGAGCTTGTCAAGGGTGAGGCTCTAAGGCTAAAGAATGCACATGTGCTATAAACACAGAACAGAGCAGAGAGCCAGGGCCAGAGCCACCTGTGTCTTTATTGTATAATCCCTTTACAGGTTGTTATCACATATTTACATTCTTACATAGTGCTGTGACTAGCACATGTATGTTTACCTGTGCTAAGTCACAGTTACAAAACTGTATCCCACTGTGCACCTGTGCTAGACCAGCAGGGTCACATCCTCAGGTGTCATTAGATACCCCTGAGCTTTGAAGCAGTCTGAGTGATTCCCCACAGCCAGCAAGCAGGGGAAGAAACCAGGTCTAGAAACTATCTCTTCATTTAGGTAAGAGACATTTCTATTTCCTTTCTTAGACAATGTCCTTTTACAGCCTTTGTCCATTTTTCTATAGGGTTATTTTTGGTTTTGGTATTGAATTGTAGAACCTCTTTATTTATTTGACATTTAAATGTTAAACAATTTGGATACCCTATCATTCATATCATCATTTGTTAATAATTACATAACTTCTCTTTGGAGCTATGAGTATCTATATTAAAATTTTATTTTGGTGTATGATTTTTAAAAACCATATTAGATTTTAAAATGAAGGACATAGCATAGGGCAGTAGTGGGGAACCTGTGGCATGTGTGCCACAGTGGATATACACACCCTCTCTGTCAGCATAAGAGCCAAGGTATCCTAGCATCACCCCAGCAGCGGAGCATCAGACAACAGTGCAAAAAAAAAATGCATGCCAAATGCCAACTTTTACCGTAAGTAAAAAGCTTTTTTTTTGTCATTGAAAGCTCTGTTATTGTGTTTTTCTTTTAAGACAAAGGACGTCAATGTATGATTGTTTTTTGCTAAACAAAAACCTCAGATATTCACGTTACTTCTAGTGCTAGTGCTTGGTGATGAGTGAGTTTGGGGTTGCAATTTGGGCACTTGGTCTATAAAAGGTTTGCCATCACTGGTGTAGTGTAAGAGACTCCTTGCTGGAAGTCTTTCTTAGTCTAGGAAGCATAAGAGCCATGCCACAAGTGCAGGTAAGTCATCTTATATACATTCCAGTTATTAACATATAATACTCGAATCTAGGTCTCTTAATACAAATATTTGTTTTATTTAGGAAGGCTTACTGTGCTAATTACATATATATGTACACACACACACACACACATACATATATACATTTAAGAATTTGAAGAATAAACATTACCAGGAAATACATTCTGTGCTTTATTTTTTGCCATAGTTAAGATTTCTTTCACTAAATGCTATACCCGAACACCTCATATTTGTACCAACTCGTTTAACCTTTGCAGTGGCTCTAAGTGGTAAATACAATTGCCCTCATCTCACTGTGGGAAAACTGAGACTCAGAAAGACTGTCATGTGCCCAAGGCCACTAGAAGTTGTCAAAGCCTGAACTTAATTGCTAGCCTATTACATAACATACTAGCCTGCATTAATAGGAAGAATTTGTTATCCCAGAAAAATGCACCCTGAGAAAGTGGGAGAAGCAATTGAACATCTCCCTTGGCTGAGTGAAGATAGTACTGAACTCTCTACCTGTACAGATGACAGTTTAGCTGAAAGTTAACTGTTTTCATCCAAATCTATGCCACTCCATAAGCCACCAAAGAGCAATGCTGCTTCAAATTGTGGAGGTTTTACAAATTCCCAAGTCCTGATTAAAGGAAGCACACAAAGAGATCAAGCAGCACCCATGTGAACACAGTGTCACAACGTTATTTTTAAACTATTCTCAAACCCATGAGATTCCTACCTGATTTCATTTCCAAAAGAGTGTTATTATCAATTTCATGGTTTGCTCTCCCAGGCTGAGGCACTCGCAGTGGGATGATCTGAGGAACACACACGGAACCAGCTGTCATGTTCACTCCTTAAATCAAAAGACCAGGTGAAAATAAATGCCATCATGCAAAAACTGAAGACCAGCTGCTCATTTAAACGCAACAGAACTAGTAAGATCTAAAGGCAACATTGTTACTTTGCAACCTGCAAATATCAGACTTTTTAATTGAAGTAACTATTACATTTCAGTTGAATTTTTGCTGATGCTGGCTTTTTAAAAAAAATTAAACATTTTTTATTTTCATTTATTATTGTTATTTTTGCTTTTCCATTTTTTCTTTTGAGCAGGGTTTGCCTTGAATTCACTAAATAGCCAGGCTGGCTTCAAAGTTGTGGTGATCCTTTGCCTTAGCTTTCCAAGTGCTGGAATTACAGATATGTCACTGTGCCCTGACCTTCTGACGAGGTCTTGTGTGGGAATTTATCTAAGTATCTCAGTTTTAAGCGGGAAGCAGGAATGATGGAGGGAAGGAGTTACTTTAAATCACTAAAGCAGCCAGGTATGGTGATGCATGCCTGTGATCTCAGCATTTGGGAGGCTGAGGCAGAAGGATCCTTGGGAACTCAAGTCCAGGCTGGGCTATATAGTGAGTTTAAAGCCAGTTTGGACTGCATAATGAAGCCTTGCCTCAAAAAACCAAAGAATAAAAATAAGTAAGTTACTAATACAGAACAGAGACATCATTAATTTCCTGACCCCTTTCTTTCTTCTGGTAAATTGAAGCCTTTTCTTGGTTAATGTTCATCTCTCTTGACCTCAGGTGAAGTCATTACACAAGGCAAACAGAAGCAACTCTCTATGTAGCATGAAATGTTATTTTAAAAAATTTATTATTATTATTTTAGTTTTTAAGACAGGGTCTTGCTTTGTAGTACAAGCTGGTCATCCTGCCTCAGCCTTCTGAGTGCTGGGATTACAAGTGTGTGCCACCACACCTGGCTCTCAGCCCTTTTATAAACTTTTTTCATTTTTTAATGAAAAAAAGAGAAAAAAAGAGACAGAGTCTCACCAAGTTGCCAAGGTTGGGAAAAGTTTATTTGAAATAGGGTCTTGCTATGTAGTCCAGGTTGTAGTCCTGAAACTTGTGGAGATCTTCCCACTTCAGCTTCCAGAGTGCATTACAGATGTGCACCACTACACCCATCTAGGCTGGCACTTTAGAGCTTCCTGCCCTAGCTTCCCAGAGTATTGGGATTACAGGTGTGCACCACCACACCTGGCTATAGTCTACTCTCTGCACATTCATTTTATTATCTACAATTTCCATTTACTTGTATAAATTTATTTATGGATTTGTGACTGGGCGTTTAGGCTGTTTCTAGCATCTTTATGGCATTGGTTATGGCCATGATATGAGTGAACTGTATTCTCGAGAGTAGGACAACTCGGGTAAAGCGAGACTTAACCTTTGGTCGGATGGCTCCGGATGGAAGGAAGAATACAAACTGTGGGCACTGACAGTGCAGCACCAGGACACACGGAATTGTGGTTGGATGGAGGGACTTGCTTATACCCACATTCCCATTTAAATGGGAGGAGTCACAATAAAAACGCTTGAAAATTAAAAGGGTACAAGTAATACAAAAAAATTGCTTGAAATTTAGTTAGAAATAAACAGCGAGAGAATAATTCGCGCACGGAAACTCGTAGCTGACCTTGAGAGGTTGGGGTGACCACTGGCCCTCACGCAAAGGAAAGAAAAAAGTCTAATTCTAGACGCAAACTGCTGATGCGGTGCACAGCACCCACCTCCACCTCCAGCTCCCTCCGCCCAGACCCTCTCCAGATGCAGGACCCGGTCCGGTCCTCCGCCCATCAGGGACAATGAAGGGCGCCTGCATCCTTTTGTTGGTGTGAAGGTGACCCTTCCTCTCCCCCTCCTCTTTCTCCAGCAGCGGAGACCGAGATCTGGAGTCCCGACGCACCCCCGCCCCCGCCCCCGAACCGGTAGCCTGCTCCTCACCTCTTCCAGCTTTCTCTTTCTTTACTGCTCGCGTTACCACAGACGCTGCGAGGTGCGGCGCGCCCACTGGGAGCCAGGAAGATGATTGGCGGAAAAATCCGCTTCCTAGCAACTAGCCCCGCCCTCTCTGCCAGGCGGCTTGTCTGGTACCCTGCGGGTACTCCTTCTCTTAGACTTTTCTGTAGGTATCCAAGAATATGCCTTCACATAGATTTGAAACGCTGAAACGTGCCGTCTCCATTACTCACAACCGAACAGGGGTCTCTTTCCGACAGATGTTGCCATTCCGATCACGAGTAAGAAGCTGTAGCGGCGCCGGCAAGTGGCGCGGAGCAGGCACATCTTGGCCACCTAAGATCCACAGACATGGAAGGACCGGCTGCGACGCGAAGAGAAAGGTCCCTCGTCTCCAATCCGGCGCTGTCTCCCTGGGTTCCTGTGGTTTCCTTGTTGGCTTCCAGACACGTCTCTTCTTCCAGGACCAAGGACTGCTCCCTCATGGCTGAGGTGAAAGTGAAGGTGCAGGCACCCGACGCGGTTCCGGTCGAAATAGAAAATAGGTAAAGTATTGAGGCTTAGGTCCCCATTCAGGACACTCACAGGCGGTCTGTCACTTTGGCATCGGACCATTTCTTTAGGAGTTCTCAGAAGGGGCCGGTCGAGGCGGGATAGCACCCGGGACAGTGATTCTGGACACACCGCCCCACGCCCTGGAGAGCGGAACTCTTAAATTCAAAACGGATTTGACAGTGCGGTTTATCCTGAAACCTGGAAGTTGTGTTATTGCATTCCCTCTGCATTAAGGCAGTGAATTGCATGAAAGAAGACACATATTTCCTGTAATACTTGTGATATGTGTTGTAGTCTTGGATTTTCTGTAGCTTCCGCAACAGAACATTTGGGAGAAGTTAGAGTGCGGTTGTGATCACAAATGCCAGGTGATTTCTCTGGACTGTTGAATTCAGGATTTTAGGGCACCTAAAGTCTCTCCCAATTTTATAGCACACCACTGTTTCTTTTAAATAGTCTTAAAAGAGCCCAAATTTCTCATGCTATCACGAATAACATAAGTATTGACTCTAAGACAAGATTTGGACTTGTTTGATAGGCACAGTCTCTCAGACAAGCCCCAGCTAGTTATAATGTTATGATAACAAATTTGGCTTCCCACCAGAAATGTCCACATTTACCTCCTGCTTACAGACTCAGGACTTTATTTTGCATATCCCAGCAGATAAGATTGAAATCTTTGTTTTTATTAGACTTTGCTCTAATTTCAAGTTCATATTTGTGAAGAATAGAAAAATCCTTTCAAACCCTTTCAAACAACACTAAGTATCTTTCTCACTAAGTATCTTTTTAACTTGCTTTGGTGTAGAACTGTCATAAAAAACCAGATTGCCAAATGTGAAAAAGGCACAATTCAAACTGTTTTGCTTGTATTTTTCCTCCTCTATCCCTTGAAACAAGTAAACATGATATTACTAAAACTTTTGTTTCTAGGATTATAGAATTATGTCATCAGTTTCCTCATGGAATCACAGACCAAGTAATTCAGAATGAAATGCCTCATATAGAAGCCCAACAGCGGGCAGTGGCCATCAATAGACTCTTGTCCATGGTAAGGAGAATCCAATTGGTTTCTTGTACGGTAGTTATTATGATTGCCATTGCCTCACATTATGTAGTTGTGATGGTTAATTTTGTTTACTTGACTAGAGCTGGTATTCCCAGATATCTGGCTAAACATTCTTTCTAGGAATGTTCTGGCAGAGATTAGCATTTCAGTTGGTCCTCCTTGGTGTAAGTGGACATAATATTCAGGGCCTGAATAGAACAAAAATGCAGAGGAAGTTTCAACCTACTCTACATGTCTGAGCTGGGGCATCAATCTCCTGCCATCATCACTTGGTACTTAGGGCCTTCAAGTTCTGACTGGAATCTACAGCACTGGCTCTGCTTCTCAGAGTTTTGAACTATAGTTTTGAAAGTCAGTCACTGACTTTCTCAAGTCTCCAGCTTGCAGAAAGCAGATCACAGAACCTCTCAACGTTCATCATTTCATGACCTGAACATGTAAAATGTTCTCTTTTTAATGAGACATGTGTGTATTTTTTCTCTGAAGAACTCTAATACATGAACCATAAACCTAGAAAATATGTTACACTGTAGTTGTGTCAAGTAAGACCCCAAACCAAGAATCAGTCCAGACTTCCTGAATTAAAAAAAGAAAGAATTATTACAGTTGTATTTATTAACCTAATTGGTAGGCAAGATCACATAAGTGTCTGTTTTTCTGTTTGCTTCCTGATGCCAGTATTGGAGCTCTCCTCTAAATCAGCTCCCTTCTGTGTGTAATATAGCTCCCCTCTGATTTTTCAAAGAAACTGTACAGTTCCAGAAGGGCAGAGGTTGTGGCAGAAGATAGTACTCCTCTGGTATCTGACTTTCATCACAGCTTTCTCTTCCTGCCTGGAGAACAGTCTCAGTGCCTTCCTCCCTTTCACCACCTTTGTTCCTGCCACCTACTTGTCCTATTGATTATAGGGTATAAGCAGGAGCAGTTGAAAGATTTTGAGCAAAAGTGATTGTTAATAGATCACTAAGTGTTTCTGATCTTAGCTCTTAAACAATGTTCACAGCTGTCCCCTCTCTCCATTCCTGCCCCTGCCTGTGTTCAGGTGATGGAACTTTACCTGGGCTATTGCAGCAGCATGCCAACTGGCTTCCCGGGCTTAGTTTGCCTTCAAGAGCCCAGCCTGATCTGTCTTAAGTGTGTTTGGACCAAGTTACTCCCTGACCTCTGATCTGCCACACAAATCCAAACTCCTGATCTGCCACACTACATCCCTGCCTTCCTCCGCAATCTCATGTCCTTTACCAATCTGCCTCATGCCAGAGGAAGCGGATTATGTTTCTTTTCCTGCTTCCTTATGCTGCTTTACACATCTGGGCCTTAGCTTATGCTGTCCTCCCTTGCAAGGTTCTTCTGTTTTTCCTTAGACTCACTAATTCCTTTGTCTTCAGGAAGCCACCCAGAGACCCCCAGGGGAACTCCTAAGGTGAAAGCCAATGAACCTCAGAAGTGTGGCAGAACATATACTTTGTCTTGCTTTTGGTGTAAAGATACTACTACCGTGGACCTTTTTTCCATAAGTTGACCTTTACACATGATTTTCATGTAATAAAATACAAAATATACACATCAGTAAAAGTCACTATTTATAATTTTATCATTGTGCTATTGAATATTTTTGCATGTTTAACTGTATAGCCCTCTCTGAACTTTTTACTTAAGTGGATTATATATTATTACACATATGTTTTTATTTTACTTTTTATCTTTTGATCATTCGAGACAAAGTCTTGTTAAGTAGTCCAGGCTGGCCTCAAATACATGATTCTCCTGTTGCTGGGATTATAGATGTGCAACTCTACACCCAGCTTAAATAAATTATGTTTTAATTTTTATTACATTTATTTATTTTCTCTTATTGCTGACATATTATACTTGACACCCAAAGTTAAGGAGAGAAAGGTCTGTTTTTACTCACAGTTTGTAGAGGTTTCAGTCCATAGTCAGCTGGCTCTAAGGCAGAGTAGCATTGCAGAGGGGCATGGCAGAGGAGAAACAGTTTATGGCAGATAGAAGGCAGCAAGCAGCAAGTGACAAGCAAAGAGCAGAAGCCCTCTTTCTGTCCCTTATATTTTATATAGGCTACCCACCCTTAGCGCAGGTAGCACTCACACCCAGGGTGGGGCAGCCTTAATCCAGCATTGTACCATTAACCAGCATCACATCTTTGATCCCAACATTACACATGCTGGGTCCAGCCACTTCTGAAAAGTTCCACCTCTGATCACATGAAGCTTTAGGGGGACATCTAGATACAAGCTGTAACATATTATTTGGATCCGAATATGGAGTTTTGTTGTTTTAAAGCGCCTTTAAACTTTTTTGTGTGTGTATTGATCGTATGGCCAAACCAGGATCTAGCATGCTTACATTATTACATTATTACATTATTAATATTGATACTTTGATATGTTTTGAGGTATGTTAGTTAACATTATGAAAGTACACTGTATGTGATATACAGGCAAAAACTTCAGTTTCAGGTAAATAACAAGTGTTGGTGGTAGAATATTTTAGTCTGGGTAATAAGAATATTAATGCATTAACATTTGATGTTGGAATTAATATGTCTCCAAAATAATTGGCTTCGTTTCTATTAAAATATCGCTTAGGGTCAGTTGGATCTCTTAAGGAGTAACGCAGGCCTTTTATACAGAATAAAGGACTCTCAGAATGCAGGGTAAGTACCTATCTTTTCAATTTTAAGAAAACTTTAATTACCACAAAAGTAATGTATGTGTTAGAAAAATAGTTGATACAAAACTGTGTAAACTTGTCCTCTGTATCATCCCTGTGTCCTGTCATATGTTCCATTTCCCAGTGTAACCTCTCAGTGATGTGGTGTGTGTCCTTTTAATAGATATATAGACATATAAATACTCACAGATGATTATATATCTATATATAATATCTTTTTCTTTCTTTCTTTTTTTTTTTTTAAACAAAAATGGGATCATGCTATCCATACTGTTTGTAACTTGCTTTTTCACTTACTGTATCTTGGACATCTTTTCATGTCGGTACATACAGCTCTGTCTCATTCTTTTTAAGGTAAGCCCATTTAGTAAATAAGTCACTATGGTGACTTTGTCTGCTGATTGATTTACATAGTCATGTAGATTATTACATTAATTGTCCTTTTCCCTTCTTAAGTCTATTTTATTCCCCTGCAGTAAAATGAAAGGATCAGATAACCAGGAAAAGCTGGTCTATCAGATCATAGAGGATGCAGGGAATAAAGGTAAGCCCATGGAGGACAAGTGGATGAAGTTTAGCAGGTAGTGTGTCCTGGTGCCATTCATATGAAAGGGAGGGAGAGGACAGAGCGAATACCCCTAATGTGTAGTAGGCTTGAAGGACACTCAAGGGTGGCCTTGATGGGAAGAAACATCTGAATTCTGTACCACATAAATAAACTATCTTTTCAAAACTTAAGATTTTTTGGGTCATTTTTTAGCTCTATGACTGCCTCAGTTTATTTTCTGTTGCTACCTAGTTAAATAGCACAGATGAGGTACTTTTCTTAAGGAAAGAAATTTGCTTGGTACTGTTCTGGAGGCTGGGAAGTCCAAAGGCCTGGGCCACATCTCGTGAGCGCCTTCTTGCTGGTGGGACTGCAGTGTAGAGTCCCATGGTGAGCAGCAAGTTCATCAGCAAAGGCTCACTTGGTGAACACAGCTGCTGACTGGGTGACATGGTACTTAAATTTTGTGAACCTCTGTTTCTTTGTCTTGGTGTAAATTGTGGATAATGACATCTTGGCAAGAACCAGATGGACATAGAATGCAGTGTCTCGACCTGTGTTCTTCATTGCTCTACTTCACTAACCCTCTTGATGAACTGTGCCAAGATTGCAGATGTCCCTAGGTGTGGTGGCACACATCTGTGATCTCAGCACTCTGGGAGGCTGAGGCCTGAGGATCACAAGTTTGAGCCAAGTCTGGTCAGTGCAGTGATTTAGAGGGATCATCTCAAAATAGTAAAAGGGGTGGGGTTATAGCTCAAGGTAACAGCCCAGTGCTCAATTCCCAATACTGGGAGAAGAAAAAGCTTTTTGTCAAAGTACTTGCTGTTAGCTTTTGTTTTCAGTAGTTTTTGAATGAGAAATAGCTATAGGAATAAAAACAAAAATCTGGGCTTGGTATTTAGCTCAGTAGCATAAGTGCCTGCCTAGCATATATCAGGTTATGAGTTTGATCCCCGGTACTACAAAAAAAAAGAAAACAAAAGTCCATAAACAATAGAATTCAACATACTTTACTTTGTTATAGGAATATGGAGCAGAGATATCCGATATAAAAGTAACTTGCCATTAACAGAAATCAACAAAATTCTAAAGAATTTGGAAAGTAAAAAACTTATCAAAGCTGTTAAGTCTGTAGCGGTGAGTATTTTTGTTTTTTCCCCCAAAATACCCACTTACATTTATTGTTGCAAGTATGTTTCAAATTTTATTGTTTGACTTAGGTTATGATTTAAACATAATTCCAGCACTTGGAAGACTGAGGCTGGAGAATCTCGAGTTTTAAAACCAGCCTAGGGCCAGGGATGTAGCTCAGCAGCCTGGCAAGTGTGAAGTCCTGAGTTCAACTTCCAGTACTGAAAATAAATAAATGAATAAAACCAGCCTAAATGGCTATATCCAGAGTTCAAAGCCAGCATGGACTACATAGTGAGATCTTGTCTCAACAGAACAAGGAAGTAGGCAGGCATGGTAATGCACAGCAAGAGGATCGCCATGAGTTCAAGGCCAGCCAGGACTACATATCAAGATCCTGTCTCAAAAGAAAAAAAAAGGGGGGTGGGGAGAGAAGAAAAGAAGAAGTGATTTCTATAAAACTAAAGGCAAAAGGAAATGTGCTCAGCACTGAAGTTGAGCTGATGGTCTTTCTGTGAGGGGCTGGTTAATCACTGTGTTGCTACTGTGCTGCACAGGAAACATGGAAACAGTGGGAGCTGCAGCTGCAGTGCTTAGCCCAGGCCTCTTCCAGAGCATCCTCCCTTTCTCCCCCAGTCCCAAGTGCAGGACACCTGCACTGGCCGCCGGGCTGTGAATGTGGGCACTCCATGGCCCCTTTGGATTTGCTAATTTGCTAAAACAGCTCATGGAATTCAAGAAAGAGCCATACTTCCTGTGATGGTTCTGTTATAGAGGACAGGAAGAACCAGCTGATGGAGAAAACAGTGGGGCAAGGACAGAGGTGTTCTGACATCTTGAGGCGTCTACATCTTGAGGATGCATCACCTTCCTGATGGGTCGATGTGTGACCACCACCAATGGCAGCAGTCTTAGTCACTGTCTCATTTCTGAGATAAAATACACAACACCCACAACCTAAAGGAGGAGAGGTTCATTTTGGCTCTTGTTTTCAGTCCATGGTCACTTGGTTCCGAGGAAAGAAGGGCATGGTGGAAGGGCTACTCCTTTCATGTGAGAAGGTAGATGCACCCTTCTAGCTCGCACCCCTGGTGACAACCTTCTAATCAGCCCCCACCTCCTAACAGTCAGCTGTCAACCCCCATTAGTCAGTCACCTTCCAAAAGCCCTGCCTATGAGTGCATGTGGCCTTGGGAATATCCTCAGTCTAAACTGTAATAAGCTCCCCAAGCTGTGATAGTTTTTGTTGGGTCTTCATTACGTAGACATGGCTGATTGTATTCTTGGCCACATAACTGAATTCAAGCTTTAAATAATCCCCTCATCCCTGCAAGAAGTTAGGCTAGTATCACATGTCTCAAAGCTGCAACCCTCTAATTAATTGCACGGACAAGTCCCATCCTGGAGCCACTTACAGGTCCCTTAGCATAGACCCAGGTGCGGTCCAAGGGTCCTGCCATGAACAAGGGTCCTCTTATGGGGAAGATCCAAAAATGAAGAGGTAACTTCCCATAGAGGGAAGAAAGACTAGCTGTTTCCTTAAGAAACAACTGAGATTCAGCTTTCTCACAGTTGAAGTAGGAAGTTATGGATAAACAAGGGGAGGAGGCCAGAGTGGGCATGTAGATTGGATTAGAGGTAAGGGAATCAGCTCTGTCCTTGGTTTAGTGCAGCGGTCCCTGTAGACATTCTCGTGATACGTGTTTGTGTACTGGAGTTGGTGCTGCACAGATCTCTTCACCCTGTCAGCTGGGAAGACCTAGGAGCAGCAGTGCCCAGGAGCTGGGAACACACCTAATGCTCATGTCCAGTTTCTAATATTGTTCTCCAATAAAGTTAGCCAGGGCTCCTCTGAGTAAGGGCTAATTCTAGGACTTGGGTAGAAAGTATATAAGCTGCTCCTGATATCTGGTCACATAAAAGAGTGGTAATATGCACACATGAACACACATGCACGCACACACAGTGCCAGGGGCATGTCAGGGATGCAGCACTAACTGAAAAGCTTTCAGTGCCCAAAACTGAAACAGTTGGAATAACTAAGTAGTGTTGGGTTGGAGCTCAGTAAATATTATAAGTCCACACAGATACTAAGTAAGAAATTGTCCACCTGAAAGGAGCTTAAGGAGATGACAGCCACATGTAATGTGGTCCCCTGGGTGGGATTCTGGAGAACAAGTCATGAGGAAGAAACTCATGGAGTTTGGAGCGAGTTGCTGTCAGGTGGGTGCAGGGGGAGAGCCTGGAGTCCCTGCACCTGCAATGTCTTGAGTCCAGGGGTTCCAGAGCAGTCTGGATACTATAGTGAGACCCCACTTTCTTCAAAAGAGGATGTGTCACTAATTGTAACATGTGTGCCATACTAATTCAAAATGTTAATAATAGAGGAAATAAAGTACATAGGAATAATTTGTTCATCTAAAATTGTTCTAAAATATAGGTTTTTTAAAAAATAGCTTTTAGAGGGCCAGGGATTTAGCTCAGCAGCTCAAGTGCTTGCCTGGTAAGCACGAGGTTGTGTGTCCCCAGTACCAAAAAAATAAAATTTATATATATAATGTTTTAGAAACTGTCATAAACACACTAACTATGCGTATTCTTCCCTAGGCTTCCAAAAAGAAAGTGTACATGCTGTACAACCTGCAGCCAGACCGGTCTGTGACTGGTGGGGCCTGGTATAGTGACCAGGATTTCGAATCTGAATTTGTAGAGGTGCTTAACCAGCAGTGTTTTAAATTCCTACAATCCAAGGTGAGACAGAATTGAGGGGATATCACAAGTACTTTTTTAAAAAGTATCTTCATAAAAGATACTTAATCTTACATATATTTTGTAAGATTGAATCTAAAATGCTGAAATGGGTCAGTTTTACTGAACACAGGACGTTCTGCTGGTTTGACTCCATATAAATTGCATTCAGAAGGCATGTGTCAGTATTGTTGCTTACATCTCTTATATTTCAACCATACAGGCAGAAACAGCTCGAGAAAGCAAACAGAATCCAATGATCCAAAGAAATAGTTCATTTGCGTCTTCACATGAAGTATGGAAATACATCTGTGAACTGGGAATCAGTAAGGTCAGAACTTAAACTTTCTTAGCTTTTCATGTAGAACTTACTGCCATCATAAGGATGCAGCTCATGTGCTTCTGTTGTGTTTGATCCACGCCATTTTCTGGTGATGGCCCTGAGTGTTCCCCAGAACCTGGTTGGGGTCCATCAGGCACTGTCTGCTCTGTCCTTGAGATAGGGACATGGGCAGCAGACTGCAGGCCTGCCATGCAGTTCATCACCCAGAGTCAAAACACTTTCTTGGGGACAGTTTAGGAAGTGCACATAATAGCAGATACCTTATCACTTGTCATCACCAGCATTTTCCTCCTTAGATGTCAGTGGTATTGTTAGCATGTCCCTGTGAGGGACATGTCATGATCATTAGCGCTTAGGTGGCACATGGACAGGGCATCTTCACTTTTGGGCCCCAGATTTCTCTCTTCTAATGAATTGTGAACTTTAGTTTTGCTGTTTTTGTTTATTGTTTTGGCTTTGGTTTTTATGCAGGTGTGGTGCTAGTTTGTGTGTGTAGGATACTAGGGGCCAGCAATGATAGATCCAAGATCTTTATACTGAGGCACATCCTCAGCCTTTTTTGACACAGGGTCTCACTGTGCAGTTCAGGCTCCCTTGAACTTGCTTATGTAGCCCAAGCTGGCCTCAAACTCACAGCTATCCTCTTGCCTTACCTTCCCAGAGTGCTGGGATTGCAGACATACACCTTTGTGCAGAACTTATTTGTTATCTAGGCTATCTTTCTGCTCAGATGTTTTAAGATTTCCCATCAAATTCTTGTCAAAAACATATTACTTCAGGGCTGGGAGTGGTGGCACATGCCTGTAATCCCAGCCGTTCAGGATTCCATGTTTGCAGAACTGTGAGTCCAGGGCCAGCTGGGCAGCTTTGCAAGAGCCTGACTCAAAATAAGCTGGTGACGTAGCTCAGCTGCAGGACCCTTGTGTAGCATGTGAGGACCTGGAGTCTATACCCACCTTCATAAAAACAGGTGACTTTTGGCTCATGAAGACTCCGCCCCTGGCTTTTTAGTGGTTGTGTGCTGACTGGGACCTTTGTCATTGTCTGTGTGCTTCCTGAGACTCCTTCAGCACCATTTCCTCATGTCACGTGGACTTATTACCCTCTGGTGTCCCTCATCTTGTGTCCTTTCTAATGTGTCCCTTTTTAGGTAGAGCTGTCCATGGAGGACATCGAAACCATCCTGAACACCCTCATTTACGATGGGAAAGTGGAAATGACTATCATTGCTGCCAAAGAAGGCACAGTGGGTAGTGTGGACGGACACATGAAGCTGTACAGGGCCGTCAGCCCGATCCTCCCACCCACGGGCTTGGTGCGGGCGCCCTGTGGCCTCTGCCCGGTAAGCTGAGCAACTCTTTACCCTCAGCCACCACACACACAGGTGCCACCTCAATAAGCAGAGCAAGTGTGCACTAGTTTTCCAGACTTGTAGGGCTGACCAAGGCCTGCCAAAACCTCCATATAACTTTGATGAACAGACCTTTTGAAAAACGAGTCCTTGCCTTACCTCTTTCATGGGATGGTCAGGCTAGGGACAGTTGCACTTTCTGTTCCTTGTCCTGAGTGCACCCTTTGATGAGCACTAGTCATTTCACTGAGGTAGAGAAGGCAGCGAGAGCTTTACAGAATCTTTTGTGGCCAGGCTGGCCTTTCTTACTGATTTTTATATGTGACTGCATTGAATCCTCCTAATGTCTTTGAAGTGAGTGGTGGTATTTCCTATAAGCAGGGGCTTGGGATGAGGGATATGGCTTGGTAGCATAGCACATGCTGACATTCAAACTCAGTTAACTCATTCTGGCATGCCCTGGCATGCACTTTCACTCACGTCCAGGTAGCTGGTTAGCACCACCTGTGTGCTGCAGGCACAGAGGCCACTAGAGAACATGAAATGTCTGGTCTTGAGGGCATTAAGCTGGTAGGCTGCTCATCTGTGCTGAATGTCTCTGTCCTGGCCCCCATCTGTATGCAAAGTGCACATTGTCCTGATTTCAGCTTCCAGGTAATAGGCCTCACATACTGAGATTTGTGTCCAGAATTGCTCATGGGAAGGAAGACAGCTAACCATGAGCATCTGGCGAGTTAATACTAAGTCACTTGAATGTGTAGGTCTCTCATATTGTTCTGCTGTGTGCTGTGGTAAACAATCTTCCTGCTCAAGAGCAAGCTGGTACAGAATCCTGAGGACTACAGTCCTAATTCCTTTCAGTTTGCAAACACATGACCAGGTCAGGTTGGGCATAAACTTTTTTTTTTTTTTAAAGGTCTTTGATGACTGCCATGAAGGCGGTGAGATTTCACCCTCTAATTGTATTTACATGACCGAGTGGCTCGAATTTTAATAAAGAGCTATGAACTTTACTGACATTTTGCAAATGAGGTTACTTCAAGAGCAACTAATTGAGTTTATAACGGAACTTTGAATTTCCTTGAAAACATACTTCACCATCGTGGCTACAGACTTGCTGCTTTGACAGCCTTTGCTTCTTTATGTTATGAAGACTGAATCTGTGCTGGTAGAGTACCACCAAAAACGGGCTGGGCTCTGGAGAACCCACTCTGCAGCACTGGAGAGCCTTGGCCTTTGCTGCTCTGGAGGTTTGGATGACTCAGAAGCCAGAAGTCTACCATGCACTTGGTAATGGCTGGAGCACAGAAGTGTTTAAGGTTAATTTGTTAACGTGTTCACTGGGAACATTTAGCTGCTTCACTTCTGCCTGTGGGACTGAAATACAAGCAATGTAAGCAAGAATACTGACGGGTGCTTTCTGAATGCAATTTGGATGGAGTCAAACCAGCAGCAGAACCTCCTGTGTTCAGTAAAACTGAATAATTTCAGTATTTTAGATTTAATTTTGCAAAATTACATATATATATGTATATGTATATATATATGTATGTATATATATATATATATATATATATATATATATATATAACTAAGTATCTTTTATGAAGACACTTTTAAAAAAGGACTTGTATGAGTGTCCCATCCCTGCTGTTCAGGGAGGCAAACATGAGCCAGCTGGCCAATCTGAGCTCAAGACCCGCCTTGGGAGACTGAACTGAATCTTGCTCTTTTTGGCTACCTCTGCCTGGGATTCCTGTGCTGGGCAGCACTGCTCAGTTCTGTGGGCTTGAGTTAATTATGGTAGGAATGAAGACTGTCAGAACAATGTCTTTCTTTCTTAACTGTATATATTAGGATTTTTTTTTCTTTTGAAAGAAGACAAAGTATTACAAATGGTTGTTGTTTATATACATTTATAGGAAACAAAGCAAGGCAGAGTAATGCAATTACTAATTACAAATGATTAAAGTAAAATTAAATTCTGATTGTAAGTTTGGTCAAATCAGTGATAACCAGTCTCTAAGAACATTATTCTACTAATGTATCTAATTTGCTTTTTACTAACTTGTCAAATAAGTTTTGTTCAATGTAATAAATTCAGATAATCCCCAGGTGGAAAAAGTAAAATGAAGACTTGTCACATGTACCTGCCAAATTTTCATTCCCCAAGATAGCTGCTATTAAAAGTTCAAATGTCTTTTCCAGACTTTGATCATGTCTAGAAACCAAGACTCTTTGCCTTACGGTGCCTCTCAATCCTCTGTAAGCATAAACAGTCTAGGAAATCCCATTTCTGCCTCAGACCCAAATTCTTGAACATTAAATGTGAATTCAGTGGAAATTGAGGCAATATTTAGCAAATAGCCAAAAAAAAAAAAAAAAAAAAAAAAAGGTTGGGAATTTAAAAAATTGTTTTGTTTGAGGTATATATGATCAGAAGAAAAAAATCTTGGAATGGTTCAAAGAACTCTTTTGGAAGTTAAAAGGTTGAACTCTGCAGAACAAAATGTGAAGGATAGAAAGGCATTCTGTGTTGCTTTTGGGTTTTCTGGTACTAGGGACTAAAATCAAGGCCTTCATATCCCTACCTCTTGGTTAACATACTTTATCTTGAGATAGGGTCTGGCTAAATCACTAAATCGCCCATGCTAGGACACACCATGTTTGAGCTTCTGATCCTCCTGCCTCAGCCTCCCAGAGTATAGATAACAGGTATGCACTTAATGCCTAGCTGGAAAGGTTATCTTTTGTTTGCTTGTTTGGGGAGAAATGTTACTTATATTTTTTGGTACTGGGAATTGAGCTCACGACCTTGCCAGGCAGATGATATGCCACTGAGCCATGTCCCCAGCCAAGAGAAAAGTTATCTTAAAAAATACTTGTATCAAATTCCAATTATTGCCATGTGTTTTATCTTGCAACACGCTCATTTTGGTTTTTTTCCATCCTTAATCAGAATTACCCCAAAGCAGTTGGGTCAGTTAATGCCTGTGGCTACAGTCCTCAAACACATGACTTGGATCTGGCCACAGTGGCAAAACTTCTAATTCACAGTGTGCCTCCCAACTACTCTAATCCATACGGATATAACTTACTATAATTCCTGGACACAGGGTTATAGACACATGTATGTGCTCCCCAAATTTAAACACTACAGGATGAAGTTAATTTTTCCTAGAAAAATCCAAAAACTGGCTAGACTTTATCATGCTTACCCATGGCAACAACTCAGACAGAGCTGAACTTTCTGTACAACAGTCAGTCACCTGGTGGATATTATATGAGGCTGTGCTTCTGTTCCTGGACTGACCCAGGCACTGCCTGACTCAGCCTCCCTGTGTGTCAGTCTCCCTCACCCTGTCTGAAGGAGCAGAGAGCAAGGTCACCTGTGGAGGGTTTCATATCCTGAGCCAGCTGAAACCCTAGTCATGTTTCGAGCTCTAAGCTGATTCTCTGGACCTTTACTCACATTTCCTTTCCCTAAAAGAGAAAAGTTTTATTTCTACAAGGAAAAGATTGTAGATATCCAACATACATGAAAATGTTTAGCTTTCATCTGGACTGAGATGAGAAAAGCTGGGGCCCATTTCTAACTTACTCTCTAGATACCTAAGGACTACCTTGAAGGTGAGTAGCAGCTCAGCTGTGTGTCCTTGGGTCCCTTGGCCATGGGAGGAGCCCTGCTGTAGTCCCCAGCAGTTCAGGAAGACTTAGATTCTGTGGAAAATGAAATGCTGTGTGTGACCTGGAGCAAGGCAGGAAATGAGTGTTCTCAGGTGCTTCTGGAGTCTGACCCCCTGTGATGCCTGGTGCCAGGGATGGCATCCCTGCCCTCTCTGCCCAGGGCTGTGGGCAGTGGGCACTGTCCTGATTACGAGGGCGCCTGCAGCATGGACTTCACCACGCTGATCAGCTCGTGGAACTCTGTGTTCTGGAAGTGGCCGCGGTCAGTGAATTTGTACAGCTTGGCCCCCAGCTTGTCTGCCACTTCTTGCTGTTCCTTCCAGGGCAGGAAAGGGTCATCTGTGGAGCCAAACTGTACAATGTGAGTGCAGTTGGCCTTGATCTTCTCCCACTGCCAGGGGCGGCTGAAGTATCCTAAGGAGTAGAAATAACCTCTCAGTGCTCGGGTAGTCACTACCACCTCGGGAACCCCGGAATACCCAGCGGGGACCCTGCAGACATAGGCCCAGACCCTCCTGAGAGTCGGAAGCACTTTTTGTTTCTGGATACTGACACGGTGCTCCTGTGAAGAGTAAGTGGCCAAATAAAAGGAGACCCCTAGGGCTTGGGGCTGAGCTATAGTTGGAGAGAGGCCCACCTGCCATACCTAGATACAGCCAGAGCTGGGCGGAAGTGCTTCTGGGCTGTTTGATGTCCCTACTGCCTGAAAGCTAGGCCCATTTCACAACCTGAACAGCTGTTTGTCAGAAGGCTTTCCTGAGATTTCTGGCTTTAGACTTACCACTTGCACGCTCATTTTCATCGCCCAAGTCTGATGTGTATGCCGACACTAACACAATAGCATAGACACAATGTGTCTCTGCATACCTGGGGAGGGAAAAAGGGTGTCAGCCAAAATATGCCATGTCTGGTTACCCACGAGTCAACAGACCATGTAAGTCACTTGATAGCTCTTCCTGGAAACCAGTGCTATAGGCCACTGAAGTTGATGGGAAAGTGGCAAAGAGACTGCAGAGCTATAGCCGTGTGTGTGTGTGTGTGTGTGTGAAATAGGGACTGAACCCAGGGCCTTTGCACTGAGCTGTATTCCCAGACCCTTTTTTAGTTTTTTTTAAGATGAGGTCTCACTAAATTGCTAAGACGCCCAGACTGGGTTTGATCTTGTGAACCTCCTGCCTCAGCTTCCCACAGTGTTGAGATTACAGGTATGGGCCACCACATTCAACTAAACTCCTATTCATTTTTCAGGTAGCCCAGACCTCTTGTACATTCCTTTCTCAAAAGAGCAAAAGATATGTAATCCTTCTTTCCGATGTACATCCCTCCACCTTTAATGTGCTACTTAGTTCACAAGCAGGTACTTAGGCTAAGCTCCAGAGCATCAGATGCAGAGGGGCTGGGGCTGGGGCCCAGAAATCTGCATTTTAAGGCATGCCCTCTTCCCTAACCCAGCTGACAAATGCAAGTGGTCTGGGAACCCCATCTGAAGAAATGGTGTGGTGCCAGAAACAAACCTGCATTACTGCATTATGGCCCAGCCTTACTCATCTGTGAGGGCAGGTGCAAGCCTTGTTGGTCTTAGTCCCTGGTTCCCCTTATGCTGCTCAGCAAGTGGCACTAGCTAACTGAAGACACTGCCTCGCTCAGAGACCAGGCCAAGGCGGGACGTGGGATAGGGATAGTCTCAAGAAGCCTCCTGTGCCAGGAAACGCTTTGGGTCAGCATTTTGTTCTTGGGCCTAAACTATTATCCCCTACTCTTTAATGCTGAAAAATGGCAAACTTACAGCAAAGTTGAAAGACTAAAGTATCTAAATTTGTTAAATTTGCCATAGTTCACTCTCGCTTTGGTAGCTATCTTCTAAGGACAAGGAGACTGTTTTAACCACAATTCCATTATTATAGCCAACGTTTAACATTGACATTGTAGTATTACCTGTATCTCTTTTTCCCAAATTATACTAAAAACAACCTTTAGAACTAGTTTTCCCATCCTAGGTCCAGTCGAGGACCATGCACATGTTTGGTTTTCATAACTTTTTTGTCACTTTTCCATTTTTTACAAATGACACTGACATGGTTCAGTAAGAGCTCAGGGCAGCTGTTTGTACACTGCCCACTAACCTGGATTGGTTTTTCTCATAATTAGACTGAGCTCAAACATTCCTGGCAAGATCGCTTGATAGGTAGCTACATGTCTGTCCCACTCCATCCCGTCAGGGCTGAAGCCAGTCTGTCCTGTTACTGGGAAGAGCAAGTTTGCTCACCAGGTCACCTCCATAGTGCTCTCTATTGTAAAGGCATAGTTTCTACTTTGTGATTCACAAGAAGTCTTTGGGGGTCCCCTGTGATTGTGTCCTTTCCTGCCCCCCCCCAAATTTACACTGAGGGTTTTACACTTGCTTTTCTCCTTCCCTCTCTTAGTTTTAGAAGTTGGTTCTTAGAATGCTGCTGCCAACTCCACAGTAAATTCAAGGGTCCTACAGACAAGGCCAATCCCCCCAGGGAGTGACTTGAGAACACCTTGAGTTGGGACAGATGGAAGCAATACAGGGATCTCTTCTTCCAAATAATCCTGGCAGCTTATTAACATCCAGTATGCCAGGACTGTACCACAATGGAGTAGCTCTGGGCTCTAAGGCATAACTATTAGCACAGCTGTGATCACTATGGCTGAAAGCTTCCGGAATTGGGCAAGATTCCGTGACCTACAGGTCCAGCAGCCTCGTGGCTCAGGACCAGCAGCCATATAAATGAAACTATTATCCTTTGTCATCCAGCTTAGGGAACATGGGAGAAGCCAACCCTGTCAGGCCAGCTCAGCCAGGAAATCCCCGGACCTAAGCTACAGAGGGAGACACAATGCTCCAATGGGGAACACCTCTGAACTCTAAGGATGGAGTGCTGCAGTAGCTAGGGGTAACAGACCCTACCACCAACAAATCTTAGGGAGCACTTGCTGTATTCCAGGCTCTCTTAGGCCCTAGGGTTTCAGCCTCACAGTAAACAAAGTCCACCTTCATGGAGTTTGTGTTCTACTGGCAGGAGACAGGAAATAAAAAGGTATCGTATGATGGAAAGTTCTAGAGATAATAGAGGAGCAGGTGCCACCAAGATGCACCTACTGTTTCCTGCAGTGGCGAGGAGCCCCGGTGGCAGGAAAGAAGGGAGAGGGTGACAGGCAGAGCCCAGAGCTCCTGGGGTTTGAAAAGTATCGTTGTACCCTAGTTCAAGCAATTCCTACTTTTCTCACTTCACCAGCCAAACCAGGAAGGAATTAAGACAATCGGGTTACCACAGAAACTAGGTGAGCCAGGCTCATGAAGGCACGGTGCCAGCAGCACGCACCTCATGGCTGCGATGGCGCCAGAGCTGTGGCCTATGATGATGGTCTTCTCGTCACACTGCAGCTCCGTCTCCATGAAGGGCAGCCAGATGCTCTCCCGGGCTGTAACTGAGGTTCAGGATGAGAAAGTGTCATTTGACAGGGACAGGATTGGCCCAAGGTCACCCCACCTTCTAACAGACCACTGACTACTCGGTAGACACTGGAAGCTTTTAAACTGCACTGCAGACCAGGAAGTGGAGTTGTTCTGATAGTGGCTCAGACTTATGTGTTGCCGGCTGAAAGACCTGTCTATACTATGTGTAAATAGTTTTGCTTTTCCGTGTTCTTGTTTTAAAAATACTGAGGGAATAAAAACATAATTCATATTCCAGTACTCGGGAGGCTGAGGCAGGAGGATCATTGCAAATTCGAGACCAGCCTGGGCTACAATGAGAGCTTAAGACCAGCTTAAACTGCATAGCAAGACCCTGGTCCCAAAAAGACAAAATAAACATATATATATATATATATATATATATATATATATATATATGTATATATATATAATTCAGAAGTTTTAATGTAAACTTTCAAACTTAAAAACTCTTGACAATATTGTAAAATATATGTATCTGTATGTTCTTTCCAGAGACAAGCCACAAGTATACCCAGAACAATAAACACTAGCACATTTTTAAACATTAGGCTCTCAGACTGTAAAGTATCAATATCTCTGCCTAAACTAGGACACCCATAGATTCTGCCTGAAAAGTACACTTCTAGAAAATTAAGTTGCTTACAAAGTTTAAAATTAAATTTAACAAGTCCAAGTGTTCTTCTTGATACTTACTAGCATCTTCCAAGCGTTTTAGTTTATACTGTCCTCCCAAAGCTACTTGCCTCATTCATTTGTAGTTACATGTTTATCTTTGACTTCTTTACTATGATATTCCTGTTCCCTACCCTGCCAAATGGTGAGATCAAACCACCACAAACTGAGGCCATGTATATATATATTTTTTTTGCGGTACAAAACTGAGGCCATTTAAAAACAAATTTAAGGCCCATCATGGTGGCAACATGTTTGTAATCCCAGCACTTAGGAGGCTGAGGCAAAAGGATGGCTCCAAGTTTTAAGTTATCCTGGGCTACCTAGTGAGATCTTGTCTCAAAAAATATAATAAACAAAATAAAAGAAACAAGTTTAAAACTTACTTGGGTCAGGCATGTTTTTAGCCAAACACTGGAAACCAGGTATCTATAGTACAAGAGGGAAAAAAGCTATAATACAGAGCTTAACTGCAACTAATACTTTACTAATATGAAAAATGACACGATACAATCTTTATTAACTGAATAGGTACTTGCTTGTATTGAAATGAAGTGGGTTAAGTAATTGCTCCAGGAGTCCACATGAATATACCATCCCTCCTTATGAATCCCCACCTGTACCTATTCCTTATCAGCTCTGTAGAGCTCTACATAGAACACTACCTGCATTTGCCTATTTGTGTCTCTCTGTCTAATGCATACACCTACAGAGAGGCTGCAATGGAAGCGTTCTGTATGGACTAAGCTGACAGGAACCAAGTGCGCTATGTCCCCAGGGAGTTAACGAACCTTGGGACAGAAATCTGGGTATCTCCCCCCCCCCCCCGGTCCCAGAATGGACCTTTTGGGCTGAAGGCTGCCTGAGGTTTTCTGCCACTCCGCTAAATTCTATTTCACAGGCCCGCAATAGAATTTATTTACTCAACTGGGAGTTATTGCTGTGCTGAAATTCTCTTCTAGGGGTTAACTCAGGAAGTGCTCTAACTGCTGGAATATGGGACAGGGTTTTAAGACCACATCTACGTGAACAAGACAACCTGTAACAGGTTGATACCATGTTGATACCATGTTGATAAAGCTTATGGCCAAATTAAACAATTACCCTGTATTGTTTACAGGGTATATACACAGGTTGTAAAACATTAGTTTTAAGAAAATCAAATGAAAAAACCAGGATGTTTTCGTGACTCATTGCATTATTCTTACTAGAATTTCCTACGGTTTTTGGTTTATACGCATGTGTTGCATTCATGCTTTGTCTGTAGTAAGTATTACACACAGTATCTTTTATAAACATTAGGAGCAGTGAGCATTGAAGATATGAAGTCGGGACACCCTAAGTGGGAACGGGCAGCGGAAGGGCTGTGTAATCCCCACAGTTCTTTTCGCTCTAAAAACCGTCGCCTACCTGCTCCAGCGCCCTTTTGGCCCAGCCGTACCAGCCGTGGGTGGCCACGTCCCCGCCTCCATTCCCGGGCACGATCACTGCCTTGGCCGGCACGACCATGAGTGCCTAGCTGGGCTGCGGAGCTTCGGGGAAGCGGTGGGGACGCCTAGAGGGAGGGCGGCGACGTCTTTCCTTGTGAGGTGTCTTAGGCCGCGGCGATCGCCCCCAGGATCGTCCCGCTCCTTAGTTTCTGCGCTGTGCAGGTCTCTCCCGCCGAGTGAGAGCAGCTAGCTGGCTTCTTTCCGGTTTCGCTTTTGTCCCTGCTCGCAATACAGATACTCCCGGCCTTCGCGGCGTGCAGAAAGCCCTTATTCGTGTCCTAGTTGAAGGATGACAGGGACAGTCACATAGAGAGGGACTGTACTAGTAGTGCTGGGCTCCGTAGGAAGCCATTATAGCAACTGACAAGAGGAAACCCGTGAAGTTCAGCTAGACAAGGTACTTAACGAAGACAGCGCCCACAAGCAACTGCGCATGCGTCCCGTTCCCGGACACACCCTCCCCTCTCCCGCCCCTTCTGCAAGCTTGTGTTCTCTTCCCAGCAGTCTTCTGTTCCTTCGGCGCCGCCGCTCCCACGTCCGGCGTTACACGTCGTCCGTCTCGCTTCCCAGTATCCAAGGCAATGAGGGTGGGTTTCCTCACGTCACAATAAGGGCCACATTTTCAGGAGTGCTCACTATATCTATAGAATGACCCGGAAGGCTTTTGAAGTTTTCCGACGCTAGAACCTCCAGAGGTAAAATAGAGACGCGTGTGTTCCTAGGAAATGTGGTTTTGAAGTGCAAGGCGGTATTGGCTTGCCGGCTGTATCATGGCGGCATGACTTCTCAGTGTCACTTCCGTTCTTCTGCCCGGACGCGCTTTCTGATTCGCCAATATACTTCTCTGTAGCGTAAGGTAATGGGGCGCTGACCAATTGGCCGAGAGCTGAGTTGGACTTGTGGAGACCCGGAGCTGGAGCCGGACTTTTGCAGCTGTGGGCGCGTACGCTGAGGACAGGTGAGAGATTCTCGGCAAGTGAGCGGCGAGCGCGCGCTTCAGAGGACTCAATCAAATGCCCGGGGAGATGGGCTGCTTCTGGGATGATCCCTTTTCCTGAATGGCAGGGGAGCTGGAGGGAGTTGTTGACCCAGGAATCTGCGAAAGTGAAGCATCCTGCACCCGGCCCGGCGGCCGAGGACCGGATTCTGATTTCTCGGCCTCCGGCCCGAAGGCCCACCCCCATTTGATAATTCAAACGCTTTAGAGGTTTGTTTTGTGACAGGTAGCAGCACACTCCCGAGGAGGAGTAAATTTTTCTTAATCTGGTCAAGCGGGATCTCTGTATCCTAAAAGTTAAGTGTTAGTGAGATAAGAATAGTTTACATTTCTTGGTAGATGTCCTTGCAGTATCTGTCCAGATATTTCATTCACTCACCAATTCATTCATTCAACTATCGACCTCTCAGATCCCTTATTGTTTGAAAATTTGGTAAAAGCCATAGACTCATCTCCCGAGAAAAATGAACATTCTCCTCTGCACAGTTTTGCGTACAGCTTCAGAAGATGCGTGAACTAGTGTTCATTGTGTGCCCATGGTTAAGAATCAGTGATCTGGATAAGTGAGAGAAGGTGACAATGAGAAGGAAACAGATTTTACTATGTAGATAATTAAGAACTGGTACTTTTAAGGACCTGTGTTGAGAAGGAAGTGTTCATGTAATATTTGCTGATAATTGGGGCATTAGAACTTTCTCTCGCGTCCATCCTGTGTTCCTGAACTCTCCAGGAAGCTGCGGAAGCCTGTTTGTATGCAAGCTTCAGGTAGTGCATGCTTGTGCCACATCATGAACACATTCATTGTGAAAAGTTGGTACATGTATGGGACACACCTTATTGCTGTTACATCCCTTCCGTTCTCTCCCTTTAGCTTAGATTTCCAAAAACTCCATCTCCCTATTTCCAAAAGATCTGTTTCCCTATTTCTGTTACCTTTTATTTTGCTCTTTGATTTATGTATACTTTGGGTTTCTCATAGAAGCGAAACCAAGAAGTTTGTGTGTCAGATTTATGTCACTGAATATCATGGTCTTAAAGTGCATCCATTTTCTTACAAATGACTCCAGTTTAACCTTTTTATAGTGCTACATTGTGTATAAATACATTTTCTTTATCCATTCTTGGTTAATGGACATATAGGCTGCTTTCACAATTGGCATGGATTATTTTTCCTTTTTGTTTTGTTTCTTTTTTTTCTTTCTTTCTTTTTTTTCTGGTATCAGGGATTGAACTCATGACCTTGTGCTTACATCACTGAGCTAAATCCCCAGCTTGTCATACATTTTTAAATTTGCTTTTTTTTTTCCCCCTGCTTTTCCTGAGAGACTTGTCCCCTTGAATCCCAAGTTTGGATGTTGGAACCTTAGATTTTAGGGCATATATAAGAAGTATAAGAACACAGTGAAACTGGGAATCATTTGGATTTGAAAGCGTAGTCTGAGGATTATTTATTGACCAGAGCCTTTCAAGACTTGAGCACAAGCAACCCTAGTGAGGAAAGAGGTCCAGGTGAGACTTGGCATAATAACAAACTTCCCTCTGTCATTTTGGTGACAAAAGTAGAAAGACTTCGGGTCAGGAATGGTTCCCATAATGAATTGGACTCTGATAACTATGTCATTCTTTTCTCCACAGTTAACAAAATGGGGAGGGGAAAGGACACCAAAACAACATGATTACTTGGATCATAATGTTTAATGCAGTATTTGCCTTCACTGAGTAAGGAAGGAAGGGTGTCAGAAAGACAGGTGCTAAAGCAGGGTTCAAAACTTGCCCTGCGGCAGAGGGTTGAAGTTGCCTTGTGTCAGCTGATGTGGGATCTGTGAGGAGGCTTAAAGTAGTTAGTAAACTACATGGCATTAGAGATGATCAGATCATTGTAAACTTCCCACTTTATTGTTTGTAAGTGCTAGAGAGAAAGATTGAGAGAAGAGCAGTAGTAAAAGACAAGTGTGAACTAGCTGACTCATGGGGTCAAGGGAAAGGCAGATACTGCAGTGACTGAGGGGTCTTTCCCAACTAGGCATTCAAAAAGCACTATGTTAGAAGACCATCTTCTTTTTGGGGGGTTTAAGTGAGATCTTCAGATATAACTAAAGCTTTTTCTTTAGTTTCTTTTTAGACGATGACAACGTATCTGGAGTTCATTCAGCAGAATGAAGAACGTGATGGTGTGCGCTTCAGTTGGAACCTGTGGCCATCCAGCCGTCTGGAGGCCACGCGAATGGTGGTCCCTCTGGCGTGTCTCCTCACTCCGCTGAAGGAACGCCCGGACCTGCCTCCCGTGCAGTATGAGCCTGTGGTTTGCAGCAGGCCCACCTGCAAAGCTGTCCTCAATCCACTTTGGTATGAATTCTTTTAAAAACATTATAATGGCAAATATAGCAAGCTACTATTGTTACCCACTTGTACATATCATTCAGTGTGGGCAGGTTATCCAGTTTGAGATAAATAGTTGATGGGATTCTCAGGGAATGTGTGCTTATAGAAATCTCTCTGGCCTTACACCCCTGATAAAATTGGAATCGTACAGGAATGAGGGGCAGAGGTAGAAGGGGAAGACTTGGAAGTCACTATTTTGCTGATTATGATTCACTTTTGGCTTAACTGTAGACTTCATGGAGTGGCTTGTAAAGTATTTTCTAAGAGCATTCAAAAACTTTAGGCCATATTTTCACACTTACCTGGTGTAGTGATCCTGTTTGGACAGAAATAGTAGGCAGAAAAAATTTTAACTCTTAATGATGTTACTGTTAGTGTAAATTTTTACTACTTGACATAGTAACCTATAATATTTTTCATATAGGCATTATTTGAAAGACTTATTAAAAAAATTTTTTTTTAAGAGATGAGTCTCACTGTGTTGCTGAGCATCATTTTGAGCTTATAGGCTTGCATAGTCCTCTTGTTAGCCTCTTGGGTAGCTGGGATTACAAGAGTGCACCCCACTCAGCTGAAATAATTTTGAAACAGCTGGAGAGTATCAAAGTAAGGGAACATTTTTTGCTTTATTCATATACTGGTAGTGAAGCCATTTAAAAATTATTGAGGGGTTTAGAATAGAGAAGAAAAGCTGGGCCTGGTAGTGCACAGCTGTAATCCCCAGCATTTGGGAGGCTGAGGCAAGAGGATTGCTGTGAATTTGAGCCCAAGTTACATACGTAAGTTCAAGGCCAGCCTGAACTGCGTAGCAAGAGACTGTCTCAAAAAAAAAAAAAAAAAAAAAAAAAGAAAAGATTTACTTATTCTTCATTGCAACCTTTGATGAAAACTATTGATATACTTAATCAGCTGGAATTCTGTTTGCAGTGAAACTTTTCAGGCTTTTATCTTTATACGCACATATCAAGCACGTCTGTGATTTATTGAGTTTCAAATTTATATTTCACAGCTTTAAGAATGGTACTTTCTGATGGAATTTTTTTTTCTCACAGTCAGGTTGATTATCAAGCAAAACTTTGGGCTTGTAATTTCTGTTTCCAAAGAAACCAGGTATGTGAATTATTTTAAAAGAGGCTGTATGTTTTGTTTTAGCTGCACTGTGACAAAGTACTGTGAATGTGAATTTCTGCCCTTGCTGGTGGGCAGCAGTTCATGCTACTCCAAGTGATGGCTTCGTTAAGCACAGTATTGCATGCGGAACTCTTGGGCCTTTTCTGTCATGTGGTCTCATTGTCTGGGGCCTGGTCATTTGTCGTGGAGAGCCATACAGTTCTCTTCTTGAACATTTTCTGTAGGAGGTGGAGAAAATACGTCAGTTGTTTATATTTTACTTGACTGCAGTGTAGAGTAATTAGCTAAAAGCCAGGATACTGTGTCTAGAGTGCTTGGTATGACTCTCAGATATCCTTTATTTCCAGTGTAAGTTTGGGTGAATTTATCTGGAAAATTAAAATAACACTGTGGTGCGTACTGTCAGGGCTGCCCTGAGGGTTACACTGAGTCAAGAGTGTAAGTGATTCAGTGGAGTGGTGCACACGGTCTGTGTGCGAGCTCCGTGCTATGGTGTTTACTGGGCCCTTCACTTGCACATTAACAGGTGTGACCTGGGGGGGTCCGTGCCACAGGCAAACGGGAGCTTTTGAGGCCCTCTCAGCTGAGCCTGAAGCGGTTAACCCCTCAGTGAGTGAGGAGAGAGCAGAAGAGAGGTGGGCCCTCCGCAATCCAGGGGATCTTGCCCAAAGTCCTCCCTGCAGTTGACACCCTAGATGGGTGAGCAGGGCCTCCAAGGTGGCTGGGAGGGGCTGCAGGCCTGAGTTATGCACAGATGCAGCCCTCCCTCTGAGAGCAGCCATTGGGCAGTCCCGCCTGACCAGGGGTTCAGCTGTCCCCTCCCTCCTTGTCCTGCCCCTACAGCTGCTGTCATCTACTGGGCAGGACTTGCATTTGGTCACTCTGGGCTCACTGGCCTACAGGGAGCCCCTGTAAACTTGGGGAGAGACACCTAAGCTTTTGTATAAAGCTAAGGAGTAGTAGGATTAAAATCAGCTCAGAAACTATAAATTGGAAATGCTTCCACAGTTTTTTTTTTTAAATGTCTATGCTACTAAATACCAAAAGCATTTCCAAAATTGTGAATAGCAAGCGATTGCAATATGAGGAGAAAAAGTCTAGAGGGAAATATGCCAAGATGTTCATGTTAGCTGCCTGTGAGAGGATTTTTTTTTTTTCCGCTCCTGTTTTCTTTTCCTGAACTTGCCAATTTTTCTGCACTGAACATATTAATTCATTGATAATGACCAAAATAATAAACCTAACTAAAGGCTTTTGTCTTCTATACAGAGTGCTGATAAGGCAGATAGATCTCAGCCTTTTAATCTGCAAGACAGTGCTTAGCTGGTTTCTGCTAGTGAGTTAAGAGTGAACAGGTAGTCGTGGCCCTTGTAGCAGTGGAAGTAACAGATGTGACATGTGCCTTCTGTGTTCTCTTTGCAGTTCCCCCCTGCATACGCAGGCATCTCCGAAGTGAACCAGCCGGCCGAGCTCATGGCGCAGTTCTCTACAATTGAGTATGTGGTACAGGTAACTGCTCCATCCTGTGTTTACAAAACAGTGTTAAAAATCGATTTTTCTCTTGAAACTGTTTAAGTCTGTGGCCCTTCCCTATCCAGGGGCTGAAAGCTGTGGGGACAGCAGGTCTTACGCTAGGATGGAAATATTGGGCAGTGTTTTAAGGTCTTGACAGAGGCTGTAAAAAGGTGAAACTGATTAAACTCTAAACCTGGCATTTGTTTTAGTTGATCCAACTCCATCTTCTAGTTTAGTTCAGTTTGAGACACTTAGAGTCGTCCTGGACCTCTCCCTTCCCCACTCAAATCTAACCTAGTGGAGTCTCCCATGGTTTCAATCGTTAAAATTTCCTAGGAATCCACCCTTTCTCTCTCTACTTCTGCCTATCCTGGGCCAGCCACAGCTCTTACTTTACCAGTCTGCTAACTGCTGTCTTTGGTTTTAACATTACTGTTTGTATTTTATTACTTTACTTTGTTTTCTCACCTTGCTGGGGATTGAGCCCTGGGCCTTGGCCTACCAGATAAGCACTATCACTGAGCCACCATGCCCAGCTCTGTGATTCCTGTTTTATTCTTCATTGGTTTGTTTGGTTTTCAAAGGCAGTCTGGCCTCATCCTCCCCAGTGCAGGGCTAGCAGGTGTGCGCCACCTTGCCTAGCTTTGTGTTTTATTCTTGGTGCTTTTTTTTTTTTTTTTTTTTTTTTGGTACTGGGAATCAAATTCAGGACCTCATGCTTTCCAGGCAGGTGCTGCGCCACTGAGCTAAATCCCCTGCTCTGTGTTTTATTCTTAAACTTAACTTCTTAAAAATGTATGTGGCCTGCTGTGGTGGTTTATGCCTGTAATTCCAGTGATACTTGGAATTCAAGGACAGCCTGATCTACACAATGAGCCCCTGCTTCAAAAATTCCAAACAAGGGGCTCAATTAAGCTCAATGGTATAAGCGCCTGCCTGGCAAGTGTGAGGTCGAGTTTGATCCCCGGTACCAAAAAAAAAAAAAAAAAATTGCAAACAAACAATTAATATGTGTCTTTAGTTTTTTAAAAATGGCATACCTGTTAAAACTTAACTTTTTTTCTGTTCCTATTTTTTTGCTTATCTGCATTTTCTCTATTTTCTTTATAAAATGAAATGTGATATGGTAAAAAATGTTATATGGATTTGTTATATGGTAAAAATTTAAATCTTGAAAACATCCATTACTTCTCTGTTCAGAAACCTCCGTTAGTGGTTATGGCACCCTTTTCCCACCAGAGCAAAAGCCTGTCTCTAGGAGCTGGGGACTAGGGAACCGAGATCGCTCTACCTGTTCTCACCGACACCTGGCTCAGAGCCTTGGGCACCTCCACACCAAGTGCCTCTTTCTCTGCGTCTGTGCTACTCCCTCCCTCATCAGTGCCGCTGGGGTTTTGCTCCTTGTGACCCCAACTGAGGCTGTGGTGACCTCTGTGATACCCTCCACATTCACAGCAGGCCCTGTCCTTTTTACTCTCCCCTTGGAAACTCACTTCTCCAGTCAGGCAGGCTTTTGTGTTCACTCAGGCGTCCCCAGGACCCGGAACAGGGAAGTGTTGGATGAACCGTTGGTGGTTTGTAGCCACATCTGACTGTAATGACTGTGGGAAGGTTTAGATTAGGTCCATATGTGCTTTTCCCCTGACAGTAAGTGCAGATGAAGATTGCTGTTGGGTATCTGATTTGCTTTAAGATTAGCTGTTTCTGTGTAATACTCACGTACTGATCATCCTGCTTTCTCCATTGCCCGAAGCGAGGTCCTCAGCTCCCTCTGATCTTCCTCTACGTGGTGGACACGTGCCTAGAGGACGATGACCTCCAGGCCCTCCAAGAGTCCCTACAGATGTCCCTGAGCCTCCTTCCCCCAGAGACCCTGGTGGGCCTCATCACTTTCGGCAGGATGGTGCAGGTTCACGAGCTGAGCTGTGAGGGAATCTCCAAAAGTTACGTCTTCCGCGGGACCAAGGATTTAACTGCAAAGCAAATACAGGTCTGCGCCTCGTTTCTACAGAAGCAGGAATATTCCTAATAATGGAACCAATTGTCAGCATTCTCTGTTCAGGAATTGAAGTCCTTTTGTGTTTCAGGACATGCTCGGCCTATCCAAGCCAGCCATGCCCACGCAGCAGACAAGACCTGTGCAGCCGCAGGAGCAGGCTTTTGTTTCCAGCAGGTAAGAGGGGAACACTGGCAGAACAAACTGCAGTGGACATGGGGGCGGCTGAGGATGGGAAGAACCGGCTTGGGCCTGGTCAGTGTGGTGTATGGGAAAGCATTTTGATAAGATTGCAGTTTATACTCAAACATTTTCCTCCTCATGGACACATGGTTGGGTTTTGTTTTTTAAAGTATTGGGCCTTGAACTCAGGGCTTTTACAGAGACCTTTGTCCCCAGCTCTTTTTTTAAGTTTTATTTTGACTCAGCCTTGCTGAGTGGCCCTGTTGCCCAGGCTGGACTCAGATTTGCAATTCTCCTGCCTTAGTCTACTGGAGTATGGGATTATAGGCAAATGCTGGGCCTGTCCAAGCCAGCCATGCTTGTCATTGCTTTTATTTTTGTTTCTTGAGACAGTGTCTCACTATATAGTTCAGGCTGGCTTTGAACTCACTATTTAGCCCTGGCTGGCCTTGACCTTGTAGCAGTCTTCCTGCCTGGCCTCCCAAGTTCTGGAATTATAGGCATATACTACCATGACAAGCTTCGTTGTCTTTTTTGAATCTTCCATAAAACTAGCACTGGAAATGCCTCTTTGGGTGACCTCAAACAGACTCACAAGCAGGTCCTCACTTCATTCAGCTCACTGAGTGCCTGAGTCTCCTCTGGGCTGAGCTAACACGCAAACTTGATAGCTTGTGTCACCCAGCGTGTTGGAGATCTCTGGCTCTGCTCAGGCCAGTGTCACTACCAGTGTTTTTCCTGAGTCAAGGGGAAAAACAGATGGAACCTTCAGCACAATGTTGGTCGTCTACAGAGACAGACCTTCGGTGGGCATGTGCTTAGGATTCCTCTGCTACTCAAAATTTAATTACACTGATTTCTTTATTTTCTAATTGATGTTTTTCCTGCACTACATGTGAAAATTACTATATATTAGGTTAAGTTATGTCCATGGCTAGGTGATGACGCACGCCTGCAGGGTATTCGCTCTAGCTGCCTAGATAGGGAAATCGAGTTCAAGGCCAGCCAGGTGCCAAAGCACAGTCAGAGCCAGGCTGGATGAGACCCTTTCCGTCGCTCAGCCAGATGAGAGATAAATACATACATTTTCGCAGGATTACTCTGAATTGTTTTGTTCCTATAGTCAGAGATAACTTGAGCAGTTGTAAGTTTTTTCTCCTCTGAATGATTATCTCATAGAGAAGTTAGGATGTGTCAGCAAGAATTGCCTATCAGGGTACTTTATTAGGTCACCATTGGTGTGTCTGCCCCAAACCGTCCAGGTTTCTACAGCCCATTCACAAGATCGACATGACCTTCACGGATCTCCTTGGGGAGCTGCAGAGGGACCCATGGCCAGTCACACAGGGAAAGAGGCCTCTGCGATCCACAGGGGTCGCATTGTCCATTGCAGTTGGCTTGCTGGAGGTAATCTGGGATTGGCGGGCGGCCATGCCACTTTGCACCTAGACTTTGATGTATTGGCTCTTTCTGAAATTCTTTCATGACCTAGGCCATCCTGTGCCATAAATCAAGGAGTGCTTTACTTGTTATCCACAGGGAGGAGGCCCCATAATGTTTTTGAAATGCTAAAAAATAAATTAGAGCAATAATAGGTGCTCACAGTAAATTAATAGTGTATGAAGCCAGATTGGGAGAAAATAAATGCTGGTTTTCTGCACCTTCACCTGCATGGTTCCAAGGTATCACTGGTATTAACAGCTGAAGAGGGTGTGGGTGCGATGCCCAGCACACCCTGAAGGACACTTTCAAACAGGTTGTCTTTGGAGTACTTCTCCAGGGAGGGTGAACCTGCCCTTGTCAGTGGGGCCGTTCACAGCTGATGCACTGCTATTTACTGTTGTAGGTTACTTTTCCAAACACGGGAGCCAGGATCATGCTGTTCACCGGGGGACCCCCCACGCAGGGCCCCGGCATGGTGGTTGGAGATGAGTTAAAGGTTCCCATTCGTTCCTGGCATGATATTGAGAAAGATAATGCGCGCTTCATGAAAAAGGCCATGAAGGTGGGTGTGACCTCACGCTGCGCTTGTGGCAGTGTAGGGAGAGGTGTGCGCGGTGCTCTTGCTGAGACCAGCCACCCTCCTCCTCTTCACAGCACTATGAGATGCTTGCTAATCGAACTGCTGCAAATGGTCACTGCATTGACATTTACGCCTGTGCCCTTGATCAGACTGGGCTTTTGGAGATGAAGTGTTGTACAAATCTTACTGGGTAAGTTGAGTGGGGACCTGGAGAAAGAGCCTTTTATCTGCAGTGCTGGGGCTTGAACCCAGTGCTTCATGCACCTGGGTGGGTGCGGTACTGCTGAGCTGCACCCAGACGGAGCTCCAGAAGAGTGTTATCTAAGGAAAGAGAATGAGTGCTGAGCCAGAGGAACAGGGGAGCTCTCAGATGCTGTGACAAAGTCCTTAACGTGAATCTCTTCCAGGATGAAAGGTTTATTCAGCTCCCTGTCAGGTTTTGGATGTAGCTAGCTGGCTCCATTGCTTTGAGGCCCACACAAGGCAAAACTTGTGGCAGAAAGGGCCAGTAGAGTAATGCTACTCGCCTCCGAGCCACCAGGAAGTAGGGATGCAAAGGAGAGGAAGGGTCCCTTCAAAGACTCACGCCTACGGACCTGCATCTCCTGGCAGCTGGGCCAGCGGGGCTCAGGAACCAGTCAGGCCCCTCCTGCTGTCCAGGCCTCACCTCTGAATGTTGCTGACCTGGGGGTCCGGCTCTCGAGGTGGGGTCTTAGGGAGCACCTCACATTTAAAATGTGATAATGCTGCCTTTTCCTGGTTCTTTATATTGCTGATGGCTTCCAGTCCTGCTGCTCATGTTCCTTGTTTGTCTTCTACCTAGAGGCCACATGGTGATGGGAGATTCATTCAACACCTCCCTGTTCAAGCAGACCTTCCAAAGGATTTTTAGCAAAGATTTTAACGGAGATTTCCGAATGGCATTTGGTGCTACTTTGGAAGTAAAGGTATGGTAGACTTAAAGTGTTGTGGAGTCAAAGAATTATCGTGAGTCCCACGCTTAACCTGATGGTGACCGTAGCCTGCTGGACACAGGCTCGGAAAGGCTGTTCTGACCAAAGGCCTGGGGCTGCTACTTCCTGTGGCTCTACCAGTTCATTTGGGTCAGAGGGGTGGGCTGGTGTCAGGAGCAGTGCTGCGGCCTGGGGGCAGGCAGCCACCACCCTGGTCAGTATCCCTTTGGCTATCTCTAACCTTTATACTCTGCTGTGATCTGTTTCAGACCTCTCGGGAGCTGAAGGTTGCAGGAGCCATTGGCCCATGTGTGTCTCTGAACGCGAAGGGGTCGTGTGTGTCAGAAAACGTAAGCAAAACCCCATTGCCTGGGCCTGGCCTGCAGTGACACCCTTAGAGTATTGAGCATGACAGTCTAGTGAGGAAGGAATGCAGCACTGTCCGTCCCTCTGTCCGAAAGATTGGGGGAGAGACTGACAGCCAGAGAGCTTGGTGTATTTCTGAGGGGCAGAGCCGAGCAGAGGGACTCTGTCCCAGGTCTCCACACTGCCACCTACCAAAGGATGCTGTGCCTGGGAGCCTCGAGGGTCCTACGAGTCTGGGTGCAAGAGGGGGCCAGCCAGCGGAGCACTTCAGGAAGGAAGATTAGTTCTGTGCTTTTGGAGATGCCAGACAGCAGAGGCTGCCACAGGTTGTTGGACAGCAGATGGGACACGCACCAACATCTGTGTTCTCTAGTAACAGATGGTGAGCATGGAAGTCTACCATCATGTGGATAAGTATTTCCTCTCTTTGGCCATTGGGCCAGTGCAATCTCCCCAGGGTATCCTTGCTGGGTGACACGGGCATGACCATCATCAGTGTCATCTTCAGTGGATGGAGGCTGGACTATAGAGCTGGACAAGAATTCGGAAAACAGGTCTCCCGTGTGGTAGCTGTATGGCCTGGGCAGGGCGTGTTCATCTGGGAAATGGGGATCATATCAGCATCCACCTTGTGGCCTGTTCAGAAGAGATGGGGTCGGGTGGGGTTCAGAAGGAGTAGTTGGCAAGGCCCAGCGCACTGAGGCCTGAGTGTCCTGTCTATGGAGATTGAGGGATGATGATTCTCATTCTGTCTTTACAGCGTCTTCATCGAGGCATTTAGAGGGTAAAGAACTTATGTACTGCAGAAAGAATGTTTCAGGGCACAGGAGAGCTTGGGTCATGCCGTGCCCTGTGTCTAGTGAATGGTTAGTGAGGCACAGTGGGGAGGAATGCAGGCTCCTTGACCTGCTGGTGTTTCTTGGGTATGGACCTCGAGCATCCAGTGATGAGAAGCTCTGCTCCCTGCAAGAGAGGCCTGGAGAGGGCAAGGCGAAGCGAGCCTCAGCCCCTCTGCCTCCTGGGCCTGCTTAGGACGCATGGGCAAGCAGAGTACACCCCGATGTGCGGCTTCAGGGAACCTCTTCCCCCCTGTGACTCGGGGCTGGCTGCTCCTAGGCTGGGTGCACTCAGCCCTGGCAGGGCTCTGTGGAGGCCCAGACAGTGCCCACTGTGCCCGGCTGTCTGTGCCAGAGTGGGTTCAGGGCAGCACAGGCAGCTCCTAATGCCGAAATACTTTTTTTTTTTTTTTTTTTTTTTTTTGCCAGTATTGGTGCTTGAATCCAGGCCTTCACATTGAATTACACCCTAAGCCTTTCATATTTTTATTTTGAGACATATATTTTATTTAGCTCATATTTTTATTTTGTCTGTCTATTTTGCTGTGATGACAGAATGAACTTTTCAGAGTCTAGTGACCTCAGCTGGAGATTATAGGTATTTTCCTCTTGCTGACACTTGCATTCCCATTTCACTGGACCTCTTGTTTATCAGTGAAAAGCAGCCTTCATGCTGCTGCAGTCCCACTGAGGATTCTGTATAAAAGCATCTAGTTAGAAACTAATACTTTACAGCTATTATGCTGCAACTCACTTTTCTTGTATTGATGATGATAAAAGAAGTACATGGGTACATGGAACTTTCAGTCTAAGATGATTCTTTCTCTTACCATTACTTCTTGCCCCATCTTGACTTGGCCAATCTTGATTTTGTTGACTTCAGTGTGTGTAATCTGTCTGATATTATGACTTGTTCTGAGTGTATAAAAAGCTTAATTCTAACATACTGTAAATGTACTTTTCACTTAAGTTTACATTTTCACCTCGTAGATGTTTTGAATAATCTGGCTCATCATCAGTACCTGTCATCAACAGTCAAGTACAGAGTTGATATTTTTTTGTACCAGGATTTGAACCCTGTGCCTCACGCTTGCCAGACAGGCACTACACCACTGAGCTCTATCCCTGGCGCAAGGGTTGGTTTTTGATGTTGAATTCCTCTCCTAGGAAATTGGTGTGGGTGGCACGAGTCAGTGGAAGATCTGCAGCCTGGACCCCACGTCAACCCTTGGCATCTACTTTGAAGTCATCAATCAAGTGGGTTGGATTTCTCCACTTTTTTAATGGCATAGAGTCCTATTTTCTGATTTTTTATAAACTGGGGTTCTCACAGGGCTTTTTTGGTAAGTGCATTTTGCTTTGGTATTGTACAATTCTTCATGCTGGTCTGGCTTGATCTTCTTTTACCCTTCCAGGGTTTGGTCAGACCACAAATTTGCTTTGGTGCTGAACTCATAAGTCATAAGGAGTGCCAGGGCTTTTACCAGCCAACCCTCACAGTGTTAGTGAGTTTCTGAGTGTGTCAGTCTTCACTGGCTATGAATTGGAAGCATATGAATAATTGGAAGAATTCTGCAGTGAGTTTCCCTACAGTCACTAACTCAATTCTGTAACCAGATTTTTAGGGTAGTGCTTTGTTATGTATCTGTTGGTCAGTCCTACTTTTTATGCACTTTAAAGCAGTTTGTGATCATACATTTAGTTCATGCATCTTCAACATGCATGTTCTTCACTGGAGTGTGGTCTGGTTTGGTTTTTCCCCTCAGTGCTGGCGATGAACCCAGGGCCTTGTGTATGTTAAACACAGAAACACATGCCGTACCCCTGAGCTACACTCCCAGCCTCGAGAGTTCAGTAATGAATGTGTTTTTTTTTTTTTTTTTTTTCCCCCTGAGTCAGAGGTTATATACATAAACAGTGCAGGCGTTCAGTGTACCATTCAGAACACAGCAAGAACCTCCCCAGCCTCGTAGTTTATTGTTCTAGGCAAGCCCAGCAGGCTCTGTGACTGTTTGGGTTGTGTCTATGACTGTAACTAGTGTGCGGCCTCTCGCCCTGCAGCCCAGCGCCCCGATCCCGCAGGGAAGCAGAGGTGCCATCCAGTTTGTCACACAGTATCAGCACTCCAGCACCCAGAAGCGCATCCGTGTAACCACCATTGCTCGGAAGTGAGTCACCTGCTTCCTTTCTGTTGAGCCCCTTACTGGTGATTTTCTGGTGAAGAAATATTTTAACATCCATCTGTGGGTCTTTCTGATTTCTTCTAATGTGCTCCCCAGGCCTCCCTGGCTCAGTCGATTAGAAAAGGAGGCAGCACTCCTTGGTAAAACCCAGTTGGGCCTACAGGTGCTTGCCTGGAAGAATCAGCTTTCATTTGAAACATAGTTCATTCAAAGTTCCCACCACTGTGTGGGCACAAGGCAGGAGGATTACAAATTCAAGCCCAGCCTGGGCAGCTTAACAAGATGCTATATTAAAAGATAAAAAGGTTTGAGGATATAGCTCAGTGAGAACTTTGGACTCAATTCTAGGTACCCCTTCCAAAGGGTTATTTTTCATTGTTTTAATTTACTAAACAAGCAACTCAAATACATTGTCCTTGTTAAAGATTCAGGTAGGATATAAGTGCTGTTGATCTATATTTGTGAGTTCCACGTCCAAGGATTCAGCCCACCTTCAATACTACGGAAATACTAGGAAAAAACAATATTGTGCCTATGTGAACATGCTCAGAGCTTCCCATGTTTTTACCCAATCAGCAGCATAACAAGTGTCCACGTAGTGTTCACATCATATTAGGTAATACTAGTGATCTAGAGGTGATTTGGTGCATACAGGAGCGTTTGTGTAGATCCTGGCAAATGCCATCCCAGTTACGTCCATACGTTGTGTCTCCATACACATTGTACAGAGTCAGCTGTTTCTGAGGCTCCTCATGCACCCTCCCCAGAGTAAAGGCTCCTTGTTCAGCCTCACAATCCTGTTTCTGTGAAGTTGTACATACACTAGGTGTTTATTGTACACATGTACAGCAACTTCTCCCAGTGTTCATGTTCGTTTGCTGTGTGTGTATCTGTGTACACCTACAGTGTGCAAGCCTGGATCTTGTTTACTTTGGTGCTCACGCAGTGGTGTGCAGTTTGGCTGGCACACAGCTTTCCTCTGTGAGAGTACATTTCAAGCCTTGCCCTCAAAGTGCTCTGTTCATGTGTCTAGGGCCTTGCACACACAGGCATTCTCTTGCCAACCTCTTTGCACAGTGGTATTTGCATACTGCAAAGCTGCTCTCCTGAGAAGCTGGTTTGCACTCTGTGCAGTAGGGTGATGTGAGTGCCCTGCGACTTCTTTAATGATGGATGGTATAGGCTTCAGTGCTCTGCAGTGGCGAGAGCCTCACTTGGAGCTGTGTTTTTCCTTCCGTCCTTGAGTTGTCTCTTCCTGTGTCCTGGTCGTGTGAATTTAGCCTTTGTACACCTTTGTAAAACCTGTTTCTTTTCCTTGTCCCCTGAGGTGCAGATTCTTTCTCTAGTCTGGAACCTGTTCCTGGTCTGGCTGCTGTCTTCTGGACTTGTTCATAGTATCTTTGTTCATCTGGAAGACATGGAATGCGCACTAATCACTTTTTTCCACAGAGCTGATGCCAGAAGGTCATTTTGAGTCTGTAAACATTAGGGGTTTCGTAGGATGATGTCGAGAAAGGAACTTTAGACAGAGCCTCTGTGTCTTTCGGTGTCTCCAGCACATGGTGGGGCTTGAGCATCTGAGACAGTATAAGGGTGACTGAGCACAAGCTAGGTGCCTCACCCTTTCCCTATTGCACGAGCATTTCTTGCATCCATGCTGTTCTCAGCGGAGGAGCAGGATCTGTGCCTGTGTGGCAGTGGTGGCCCTTGCATGTGGTGCTGCACTAACTGTGGAATTGTCAGTTGGGCAGATGTGCAGAGCCAGCTCCAGCTCATAGAGGCTGCGTTTGATCAAGAGGCCGCAGCAGTCCTGATGGCACGGCTTGGCGTGTTCCGGGCGGAGTCGGAGGAGGGCCCTGACGTGCTCCGGTGGCTGGACCGGCAGCTCATCCGATTGGTAAACTGGGGATGTTGGCCCTGGGGTCAGCCTTGGTCTGTGCCTTAAGTTGTTACTTAAACCTGTTGTTTTATACATCCAGCCAGCAAAGACGAATGCCAGAGTGGGTACTCTGAGAGCAATGTGGAAGGAGCATAAATTGTGCGTTTCCCCTGAGGGCTGACATTAGAATAGCCAGGCATAGCGCATACACAGGAGGGTGCAGATCTGCTTGTGCAATGGCTGCCTTGGATGAGGGCTCCTGGTGCGTATTTGTAACCAGAAGCAGACGAGGGAAGCCTGGTGGCCCTGTGAGCCTTTTGTTTGCCCCTTGATGTCTCTAAGAGTGGCTTCTCAGAAAGTGCTAGTATTTCTGTTCCTCTAGGATTTTAGAAGGAGGACGGGCAAGCAAAGAGCAAGGGGTTGGCAATGGCTTCACGTGGGCCATGAGCCTCACAGGGGACCCCTGTGTGCAGAGTAGGCTGACAACAGGGAGGGAGCCGTATCCTTCAGCTTGTGCTGAGGACAGTGGAGGGACCAGTGTCATGGGGCTGTGCTGGCCATGGGGGACAGACGCCCTAACCTCAGGAGGAGGACATAGACTTGGGTGAGGCTCCTTAGGCGGGGATGTGGTATATGCACAATGCTCGCACTCACACCTAACGACGGCACAGCAGGTGGATCACAGGGAAAGGGCGTGCTGCGACCAAGCATTCTGTAGACTCGGGAAGCTGAGACCAAGGCAGTGGCAATGGATGTGGAGGAACAGGAGACATGGAGCCAGAAAATGTGCTGAAAGGGGAGCTGCTGGGACTCAGTGAAGTGACTGTAGGAATTAGAACCCGGGCTGGGGATGTAGCTCAGTGATGGAACCCTTGCCTGTTGTATACAGGGCAAGTTCAGACCCCAGCACTGAGGTCAGAAGGGTTACTGCTGTCTTACCTTTCCAGGGGGGTAACCGCAAGTCTCATGGTAGAAAATGGGGAAGAAGAAAACTTTAATGTGGACAGAGGTTGGTTTTTTTTTTTTTTTCCAACATAGTGGCTTCTTTTCGATAGGTTGAATGTAATCTTATAAAAATATATCAGAGTTAGCCTGGTGCCTGTAATCACAGCACTCTAGGCAGTAGATTTCTATTTATATAGAAAGCAGCCCGGCGAATAGGTGAAAGTCCTTACTGGTGCTCAGAACTGGACACAGGGAAACTGGAGTGACTGGTGTGGTTCTAATGTTCATGTGTTACCAAGGCAGCAAGGATGAGCGTGGGGCCACCTGCGATTGGCCGCAATGAGGAGGAGTGAGGAGAGCAGGGAGCCACTGAGGAAGGCAGAGAAGGCTTGCTCAGGCGGTGAGGGTTAGCTGCAAAGGAAGATGAGATCCAATAGGAAGGTGATCATCACTAGTGGCGAGCTTCTTAGCAGTGGACAGCTTAGGTCTGTTGGCTGGAGGAGAGGTGTGATCAAAATAGAGGCAGGAAAGGAAAAGCAAACATTTTGGTTCACGGAGGTGCCGTGGAGAGGAGGAAAAGCACTGCGTCACAGCACAGGGTGAACGCATGTGGCTGTGCCCCCCACTGGTCAGCATGTCCTCGCAGGCTGCCCCAGGAAACAGTGCCTCTCAGAGCCAAGCAGCCAGCAGGTTGGGGCAGCCTGGCCAGTGCTGCCTAGGAACTGCAGGGATCGGAGCCACGGGCTCCTCCCTGTCTGCCCTTGCAGCTCTGTGGAGCTCATGGGAGGGTGCAGAGTTCAGGTGGGAACAGCGCTCCTAGTCCAGTTTTCCAGTGACACTAATCGAAGTTTTTTTCTTCTTTTTTTTTTTTTTTTTTTCCTTTAATATATTTTCTCTCAACAGTGCCAGAAGTTTGGACAGTATAACAAAGAAGATCCCACCTCTTTCAGGCTCTCAGATGCCTTTTCTTTGTATCCTCAGGTGAGGGGGCTGGGGATGTGGCTTTGTGACCAGTGTATGCCAAACGCACACATGGCCCTGGGTCCTGCCCGCCCTCAGCACCACAGAAGGGGATAGGAAAGGAAGAAGCCACCAAAAAAGAAATACACATTTACCATAGAACAGTGAGCATCAGAGAAATAAACTTGCGGGTGAGATGAAGACTCCTGGGCTTTGAGTCTCATACTGTAGGTGATGAAGGTCAGTACACCGTTGCTGACTCTCTGTAGTCGTCTGTAAATGAGGACACTAGTCAATGGCATCCCAAGCCCTGGTGCAGTTTGCTCATCTGTGGAAGGTGGAAGGGAGGTGTTGGTCTGCAGAAGGGGTCTGCAGTCTCTAAAGCCAGGAAACCCATTCTTCCTGAGGGGCCCCCCTCACAGCCAGCCTGTGGCTCAGGCATGACACCCGGGTGCTGCTGGGCCCCAAGCTGAGACTCTGGAGAGCCTGGTGGAGCTCCCAGCCGGGGTGGCTGCTGCGGTGCACTGTAGTGAGGCATTTGAGGGTGGCGGTGAGAGCTTGGTGCCCGGGGCCCTGGCCCAGGCTAGAGGGTGGCTTTGCCATGTGGAGCGCATGAGGCTTTGGCCTTGTTGCTGTGCTTCAGTTTCTTCTCTGGAGGACGTGAATGGCCTGAAACCTTGCTGTCCTGGCTCCTGGGTGGCCTCACAGTTCTGTCAGGCATTCACTGTGCCTGGTGCATGGGTTGGTTGCCTGCCAGCCATGATGGCATATAACTAACATGGGGAGAGAGGCCCAGGGAACTTGACGCATCTAGCAGAAGCATGTTTTCTTTTCTGACAGCTCCTCAGAGACAGCTAAGCCTGTCCTGCCCCTGTCATCTGGGGTAAAGAAGTGACCTCTCCAGTGTCTTCTCTGGCCCCTTTTGGTTCATGCTTTTCTCCCTCCCTCACCAGCCCACGTCCTGAGCACCATCTGCCATTCCTGTCCCTGTGGCCCCCGTCTCTGCCTCCTCTACCTCTGCCTTGGGTCTGCATGTGAGGTTACTCCAGACCCCTAGCTTTGGGGAGTCCCCTGCTACCCTTGCTGTGGGAGTTTCTTGCCTTGGATCCTTAAAGTCCCAACGGTCCCTTTTCCTCATGTTATTTCATGTATTAGAGAGCAGGTGGTCTCTCTTCACAGCTTAGGTCAGGGACTCTGAAAATGAATTTTTGTTTGATTTTTTTGCTTATAAGGAGGCTTTGACATAACCAGAAGCCCACTTTAAAAAAAAAAAACTTTGAAAACCTTTTGCTGTGGTAGAGTTTGCCATCTTAATATTTTTAGGGTGTGACTGAGTGATGTTAAATAGATTCACATCATTGTGCAGCAGTGTCCAAAGTTACTCATCTTACAAAGCTAAATGCCATTGACCATTGTCCTCATTTACAGCCCCTTAAACAGTGACTCCCCACTGCCACATCTACAGCTCCTGTGTCTGTAACCCCAGTGGCCTTGCAGTGCCTGGGTGGCCGTGCCTGCCAGGCTCAGGCTCACAGCTGTGTGTCTGTGTTCTCTCTGTCCTGAATGCAGTTCATGTTCCACCTCCGAAGGTCGCCATTCCTGCAGGTGTTTAACAACAGTCCTGACGAGTCCTCCTACTACAGGCACCACTTTGCACGGCAGGACCTGACCCAGTCACTCATCATGATCCAACCCATCCTCTACTCCTACTCCTTCCATGGCCCCCCAGAGGTGAGCATGCAGATGCCCCCTCACTGGAGGGCAGAGGGTTCATTCCCTAGCAGCTTGCTCTCAGAGCTGGAAAAAAAAAAGCAAGGAAATTTTGAATTTTTGTAGCCGTTAATATTTCTTTTTTTGGTACCAGGGATTGAACTCAGGACTGCGATCTTGCAAGGCAGGCGATTTTGCTGCTGAGCTAAATTCCCAGCAGCATTTAACATTTCTGAGCATTTAAGAAGAATCCATAGGAAAATCTCAAAAGATATATTAAAACCGTGTTTTTGCAGGAGACAGTAATAGCTACAAAAAACTTAATAACAAGGGTGTTTTTTTTCTGAGTTCATATACTTCTCTTTGTAATTCAAGTCTTACAAAGTGTCTAAAAAAATATTGCTAGAAAAAGAAAAAGCTTTGTGCAGAGAAACAGTAAGTGAACTCCTATAACAACATTACATAATAATCCAAATACTCGGTAATGGAGAAATAAGTAATCTAAGATATACTAGTTTATGTAACATAAGATACACCAAGTCCTTATGTGAAAATGTTACATAAAAAGAAAGTAGAAACCTTTTTTAATTTATCTATATGGAATACAGCAGTGCTCAGTTTGTCCATAAAGTCCATTTGATCTTTAAAAAAATTTTTTAGTTTTTTTTTGTTTTGTCCTGGGGCTCGAACTCATGACCTCGAACTTGCCAGATAGGGACTTACACCACTATGTTAAATCCCCATCCCCTAGTTGTGTTTTTTAGAAAGCTTCAAAAGTGACTCTGTAGAAATAAACTAAAATGTTGATATTTGTTATACTTGGGTACATATTTTAAAGTTTAGTATCAGTTAATTTTACTATTACAAAAATCCTGATAAAATATATTTTATAGGGGCTGGGGATTTAGCTCAGCAGCATAAGCGTCTGCCTTGCAAGCAGGCAGTCGTGAGTTCGATCCCTGGTACCGATAAAAAGGAAAAAAAGACCAAAAAAATATATATATGTATATATTTTATAGTGAACTTCAAGAACTTACTAAGTGCCGCTTGTCTCAAGTACAGCTAAAGTAGATTTGAGAGGGAGATCAGACTGATAAGATGAATTTCTGACAGAAAACCAAGGATGTTTAGAATCAGTCCTGGTTTGCACTGGGGTCACAAGAAGCCACTTATTTCTCTTCTTACTTGGTTGTTGGGGGTCCATTTCTACTTGAGGTGAAGACTTGGAGCTCCTGGGCTGGGGAGGTGGAGAGGTAGGAAGCACTGGTCTGGCCTGGGGTGCAGGTGCCTGTGCTGTGGGGTTGGGATCACGATGGCCACCTCTGTGCAAGGGTGAGACCTGACGCCCTCCTCTCTCCAGCCGGTGCTCTTGGACAGCAGCAGCATTCTGGCTGACAGAATCTTACTGATGGACACCTTCTTCCAGATTGTCATTTATCTTGGCGAGGTAAGATGACAGCATTGCTTTGTTTCCTAACTATTTATTGTTTCTGTTTTCTGGTTACTTATGAATTGGGTTTTTCATGACATTTGAAGCAAGAATTCAGTAGTATTTGTATAATTTACAAGAGTAGTATTTACTGTGAGAAAATCTCAAGTGGTCCTTTTAAATCGATTTTTTTTTGAAATTTTTTTTAGGAATTGAACTTATGACCTCATGCTTGCCAGGCAGGCACTGTGCCGCTGAGCTATATCCCTAATCCTAACTATAATTTAGTATTTCATTTTTTTTTTTTTTTTTTGTCTTTTTTGTTTTTATCGGTACCAGGGATCGAACTCACGACTGCCTGCTTGCAAGGCAGGCGCTTATGCCGCTGAGCTAAATCCCCAGCCCCAATTTAGTATTTCTGAAATTGTTAGATAAGTGAGTTTACTCTTCCTCATTAAACATGTGGTATATAACTGATGTTCTCCCAAGGTTCTGTGAGAGTAGAGTTTGAGTCTACAGCTTTTCTGATGGAAGAACCTTGCATAGGGACATCAGTCTGGCTCCATGGGTCCCTAAGGTGGCCATGGACCACTTCAGGGATGAGAGTTTCTCTCTCTCTTTTTTTTTTTTGGTGCTGAGAATCAAACGCATGACCTCGCGCTTGCCAGGTAGGCGCTGTGCCACTGAGCAATATCCCCAGCCCTCTTTTCCAAAACTTCTCTTCTCTGGTCTTCTCTTTCTTAGGGATTTGTGCCTGGGGAGGGAATAGCTTCTCAGAATTTCTGCATCTTTATGAGAGGAGAAAGTATTCTGGTTTTGTTGTTGTTATCCTTTTTGTTTTGTCTTTTGTTTTAATCACACTAGGAATTGAATCCAGAGAGTGCTGAGCTACACCCCCAGGCACTTTTTAAGTTATTTTATTTTGAGATGCAGTCTTGCTAAATTTCCTATGGTCTTGAATCTGTGATCCTCCTGCCTCAGCCTTACAAGTAGCTGGGATTACAGGCATGTGCCATGCTGCCCACATTACATCCACATTATAAGACACTTTGTCTTATACCATGTGTTGTTGCCATTCAGTAAGTTGCTTTGGTGATTGATTTGGCTTCCCAACGTCCAAACAATGCAAGTGACTGCAGATGTTCTGAAGGGATACAGATTACGTTTCTGACTTTCCTGAGTAACTTGGAAAGTCTTGCTTTGCAGATCTAGCAGGTGTCTTAGAACTTGAAACTCACCTCTGCCCACCCATTGCCCAGGACCCTGGCCGCCCAATGAGCACTGCAGCTGTGCCTTTGGTCCTGTCATTTACTTATCTTGCACCTTTTCTGGTCAGGTTCCAAAGGGGAAGATGTGACACCTTCCATTTGTTTGTTTCTTGGTCAAAAGCTCTCACTCTGCTGGCTGTGGGTGTTCTCGAGCTCTTGGAGCAGTGGGAGCTGTGGGCACCTCCTCTGGCCCCAGTGAGTCAGAAGATTGAGATGCAAACAGTGGTGGCTGGCACCTCCCAGAGGGGAGAGAAGAGTGCAGCAGGAGGCTTCTGAGGAGAGGCCTCTGATGTCAGTCACTGTGATGTTTTGTGTTTTGGCTTGCTTTGGTTTATTATGTTATGTTGTGTGGTATTGGCAAGTGAAGCCAGGCCCTTTGTACTGAGCTACATACCCAGCATTTTTTTTTTTTTTTTGAGACAAGATTTTATTAAATTGCTGAGTTGCTTAGGCTGGGCGCAAACTTGAGATCCTCTTGCCTCAGTGTCCCAGAGTGCCAGGATCACAGGCAAGCACCACTGCACCCAGCTCTTGCAGTGTTTCTCTCCCCTGCCTGGGGAGGAGCAGGGCTGGGCTGGGCTGTGCTGTGCTGGTCCCCCTGGCCAACTACTCTGTCTGCCTGCCTGAGGAGAGCATGGTGTGGGTGCTGTTGGGCAAAGAGAGGGGGCTGGCAATGAGGTAGATCCTTCCCTTCGGATGTGAGGGGTTGGGGGCTCTACGAGGTAGCTGGGGTTCAGGGGTAGCTGGGGAAGTTGACTGGAGACTCCTTGCTTAACCAGTCACCATGCAGGTGGGAAAGGGATAGGACAAGGCTTGTGGCCAGCATCTCTGGGAGGAGCTCCCAGGTGGTGTCCTGGACGCCCCTCCTCCGGCCCCACTGCCTCCTCCTCCTCCCAACCCGGACCCCTACTCTGATGTGTGACTTCACTGCAGCTGGCCCTGCCGGGCCAGGGAGGCACTGCTGAAAGGCCTGGAGTGGGACTGGCGGCAGCCACCGCAGCCTCCCTGGCAGTCCCCTCACAAAGGCCTTGTGGCTTGTTTCTGTGCAGACCATAGCTCAGTGGCAGAAGGCCGGCTACCAGGACATGCCTGAGTATGAGAACTTCAAGCACCTGCTGCAGGCTCCGCTGGACGACGCGCAGGAGATCTTGCAGGCGCGCTTCCCCATGCCACGCTATGTGCACACGGAGCACGGTGGCAGCCAGGTAGCTGCAGGCACTGCGCCCAGGGCTGCGGGATGTGGTGAAATAACCGGCAGATGGGAACAGACCTCCATTCCATTTGCCTCCTTCTGCCCCTAGAGTGCTGCTGTAGAATGGTGGGGGCGATAGGGAACGTACCAGCGCTTTCCAATTGGACGCCAGTGCACGTGCACCAGTGAGGCTGCTGTGCAGTTAGGCTTCTAATTTCACCGAAGGAACTTAAAAGCTTATTTTGCTATATTATACCGATATGAATGCCACTTTTAACCATTAAACTTCTTTTTTTAAAGGCTCGGTTCCTTTTGTCCAAAGTGAACCCGTCTCAGACGCACAATAACCTGTATCCCTGGGGACAGGTGAGGAACCGTCAGGGATGTGGGAAGGAGAGTAGTCTGCTTGTTAAAAACTTGTAAAATCCTATGAGTTGGTCCCGAGACAGAAAGGGTAACAGGGGCATTTTTGCTGGGGGAAAGACACCCACCTGGCAGTGACATGGCTGAAGCAGGTTGCGCAGGGTACACAGTGAGGGCACAGGGTGAGGCTCTGCCTGGAGGCACAGCGCCTTTCCCTCTCTTCGCAGTGCCCCTCCCTCCCCCTCTCCGTTCCCTTTTCCCCTCCCTCTCCCTGAGCAGTGCTTTCCCTCCCTGCAGCGAATGCTTCCTCTAGGTGATTGCTCCCAGCACCTCTTGTGTGTCTGGGACTTTTCTGATTTCTTCTAATATTTTTTAAAAATTAAACTTGTTTTTGAGATAATTACCAATATGTGCAGTTGTAGGAAGCAATAAAAACAATGAGCTCTGTACTCTTTCCTCATTTTCTCTGCATAAGCGACCTTGGGAGGGGAGGTACATGCTGGAGCCTGTGTCTGCAGTAGTAGGGGGGCGCTGGCTGGCTTCAGCTGAGAGCAGTGCCTGTGGGCACTCTGAGGCGGGCAGGTGCTAACAGCTCCAGAATTCTCTGCCACTGAGCCCCTTCTTGCATTGCAGGAAACCGGAGCTCCCATCCTCACTGATGACGTTAGCCTGCAAGTGTTCATGGACCACCTGAAGAAGCTGGCTGTTTCCAGTGCCTGTTAGGTGGGACCCTGTCTAGGTGCCCCCCATTGTTTATAAAGGCTTTGTGATCCTTTTCACTTTCCTGGCCGCTTTTACTAAGTAATCAAAGCAAACTTTGTCTGTGTGTCTGCAGGTTATAATTTATTTGTATACCTGTGTATGTCCCTTTTCTGTACCATAAAATCAAAAGATCATAAATGTTTTAGTAGATGTTTATGTACTTTTTTGTTGTAACTTTGAGCCTTTGTGAAATCAGAGATGATAGTTCTTGGCAGCTTATTTAGATGCAGGTCTGAAGGCTCTTCAAGGAAATAAAACTGGACGAGGAAAGTGCTGGCTGATCCTGCTGAGGCACATTTGGGGGTCTGAGATCCCTGTGTGTGTTCAGGCCACGTGACCTCCTGAACTTAATCGTCATGCTCTGTCTGAACACTGGGTGACCGAGGAGGAATAAGACATGTGTACAGTTCTGTTGGGGCAGAGGAGGTTGGGGCCGGACTCCCAATTGACTGGCCTGTCTACAATCCAGCCCGTGACATCCACAGCAGCCGACAGCCCGAGTAACTCCAACACTGACAATGCATGCGCCTTGGGCATCAGGAAAATAACTTGTTCAGGTGCTTTTTTAAAAATCCAAGTGATAAGTACATATGGTCAGAGCAAACACCTTATCCTGGGACGCTTATAAACCGTGCCTTTCTCTTCCTGATCCTAGAACTGCACTCAGCAGCTCCTTCCACGTTTTTGTTATTTTGTAGTTTTGTTGTTGAAGTTTTAGCCAGTATCTTTGAATTTCTATTTATAGAATGAGGATATTGCAACCTTCTTTCCACCCCTCAGTTTTTATATTATTTTTATATTATCAAGATTGGTACAATTTATATTTTAGCCTATAACCTATAATTATATTTTTGTCTGTTGATTGTGAAAGCTTAATAAAGTACATTTACACAACTGTGCTGATGTAAATATTGTTCCTCTCCAAACCAGATGGTGATCATATTTTATTATTATATTTTCCCAAGACTTTGTGTGACAGTTGGTCTCCATGTCACTTAGAGGAGAACATTCCACATAACAAAATCAAAATCTTCTTTTTCTTATATATTGTCATGCTGCATATTGGCTGGCTTCCTGTTTGGTTTACAGTTTCTTAGATTTGCTGTTATTTTTTCCAGTTTCTTGTTTTTAGTTGTTTTTTTTGTTGTTGTTGTTTTTTGTTTTTTTCTGTTTTTGTTTTTTTCTCCCAGGGTAGGGAGCCTAGGTTGCTATACTACTGAGCTACACCCCCACCCCTTTGGAGACAGGGTCTCGCTAAGTTGCCCTTGAACTTGGAGTTCTGCCTCAGCCTTCTAAGTAGCTGGAGTTACAGGTATACATTGCTTACCCAGTTCTTTTGTTACATTTTAAAGAATTATTTTGCCTTTCCCTTATTAAGAGATGCCACCTTCCTATCCTATTGAAGTTGCTTTTTCTCTAAAGGCTTCTGGTGCCCCCTTTTAATGAGCCAACTGTTTTTCTAGGCCTGCTGCACAGCTGTTGCCTAGGGATTTCTTTTGTGTGAAATCTTGCAGTAGGGTCACCCTTTTTTTTATTGTGTAAGACATTTTGCTGTCTCTAATGACTTTTCCTTTGAAGAGCACATGCAAAGCACTTTGAATCTAAGCATATATGCAAGTCCATTATGTTTTCATAATTGGCAACTTTTCTGTGTCTAAAATTCTGTGTCCAAAATAATTCTGTCAGCACTCTGGGGCCATGATTTCATTCATTCAACAGTTAACTATTGAGTATTTGCTGCACATAGAGTAGGCCTTTAGGCACTGGAAATATGGCCCATGACACATTCCTGCCCCTGTGGAGCTGAGGTTCAAGTTGGGGAAGACTAGCAGTTAAAAGAAGTAAATGATCTATTAGAAGATGAGTACTCTGTAGAAAATGAAAGTTCTCTAGATTCTTTCCCCCCTTCAAGGAAAAACAAGATTTATTGCAAGAAGCAGAACAGACAGGGGCCCCAGAGATGGGAAATCCCATCCTCTAGAATTTTATTCCTGCTTTCTGTTTGGCTGGTTTCATTTAGCACAATCCATCTGTTACCACCCATGTTATTATGTGTCAGTTCCTTTTTATTGCAAAGAGACATTTCATTTACCCATTCACTAGCTGGTGGACATTTGAGTGTTTTCCATTTTTTGCTACTATGAACAAAACCGAACAGCCCTGCACCTGTACTTGAGCAGACATAGGGTTTCCACTTCCAGGGAAGTAGGAATGGAGTGGCTGATTCATATGATGAGTGTGTAACTATGTAACTGCCAGCTTTGCTAAGAGGCTGTAGTGTCCATGTTTCCGTGAGTTAAGAGCTACAGGTAGATCAAATCCTTAGCTTTTTGGTATTCTCCAGTCTAATTTTAGCTATGTAAAGGCCTTAGCTATGTAAAGGCTATGTAAAGGGACTAGCAGTGTACCTCCGTCTTTTTGGTTTTTTTTTTTTTTTTTTTTTTTTGGTTGAAGGATTGCAGATAAGAACATGAAGCCATTGGGTAGAATATAGATAGGGCTTATTGCAAAAAGAAAATGCACATAGTGTATCTCAAACAAGAAGGTAGCCAGGCACCAAGAGGGCAGCAGCACTGACCGAGGTCTCAGGATCCCTATGTGATTAATTGGGCTCACTGTTCTCTAAAGAAGACAGGGCTGTGTTGACCTGTCTCTGTTTACTCCCTTGGTAGATGTTTGCTGTTTAGTTTAGTGTGTTTTGAAACTTTGAGGTCTTTCCAACCTCTCACCCATGGTCTTGACTTCAAAGCACCTTTGACCTTATCAGCATAGCAGAGGATGTTACCTTGTTGGGCTGCAAGATTGGGGGGTGTGCATTCACGCATGAAAAAGTACTCCCAGATCCTTATCTCCAGGTCTGCCCATGTCTAACATTTTTATTTGCATTCCTTTAGTTAAAAGGTTCCTGTGTTTATTGGCCAGTTGTATGTTTTCCTTCATTGTAATCAAATGTGTGTTGGGTTTTTAGTTGGATTGTCTGTTGATAAGCCTAAGAGTCCCTCACATATCTAGATACAAGTCCTTTGTCAGATACACGCATTTTGAAATTTTCAGCCTGTTTGGCCTTTCATTTTGTCACCTGTGACTTTCAAAAAGCAAAAGCCTTAATTTTGAAAAGTTTAAAGTTAAGTTTGAAATTTTACTGGTATTTGCTTTGTCGTTCATGCTTTTTTGTATTTTAAAAGATCTTTGCTTGTCCCAAGATGACATTTTCTCGTATGCTTTCTTCTAGGTTTATAGTTTTAGCTTCACATGTAAGCCAGTGATCCCTTTAATTTTTGGAGGTGTAATTTATGTAGGGAGATCACGTTTTTAAAGGATAGTCAGTGGAAAGGAGCCCTGAAAGTTACTAAAGAAAATGCTTTGGAAGTGGCAGGAGGAGAGTGGGTGTCAACGTCAAACGCTCTTTAGAAATGAAGTGTGAATATGGGGGAAAGTGAGGGCTGCTACGTCTCAAGGAGCGCGGGAGGGATTGTGCTTTAAGAAACACATGAATAAGAGAAAAGCCGAGGGTACGCAGAGAGCAAGATTGTTTTCGTTTTTGCGATGTGGACACAGTTGCCATGATTAACATAAAGTGAACAGAAGAAAATGAACGGGGTACGGGGGGGGGGGGACGACTGCGTGGTAAGGCAGGGGAGGCTCCAGCGGAGGCTGTTGAATGAGACCCAGAGGTCAGAGGAGCCATTAGCTTTGACTTTAAGAACCCGAAGCTCACCAGAGTTCCAAACACGGAAACCGGAAAGATGAGTCGCAGGGAGCCGCGAGTAGCATCCTCATAAACCTGTAGGTTGTTAGAGGTAAAGGAATTACCTTTTCAAATGCCTTCTGGCCTACGTAAGGCAGGCACTGCAATTTTGCAAGTGAGAAGTTCCTGCTCAGAAAAACTGTCAACTACTCCCCATCAATGGCGTGCAGCGTCTCCCGCTCTGCTCCGCCTCCAGCATTCACTGCACTGATCCCAGGCTCCACGCCTCAGAACTGGAGCCAGGAGCCGCTACCGGACCACATGACCTAGCATGCATCGCGGCCGCGACGCCAGCTTCCCATTGGTGGTAGTGGCGGATATCGCCGCACGGTGGCCTGAAGTCCCGCCTCCGCCCTGCGGCGAACAGTTTGGACCTTCGCGGCGGGGAGCCATGCAGCCCTGGCAGGCCCTGGCCTGGTACCGGCGGATGTCTTTGGTCTACGGACTTGGTGCCTGGACTGTGTTTGGCACCATGTTTTACTTTTACGGGAAGAATAAGGAAGAGCCTTTAGGTAGGGCTGTCTGGCGAGACTCCGGAACCTTTGCCCTCCGCCGCGTACACAGGGGTCGTACAGGCGACCTCTTGGCTCTGTTTGACCCTGGGTCTCTTCTGCAGATTTGGCTGGCAGTGGCGTGCCGCATCTTGTGATGCAGTCTGTAAAAAGATGCCAGCAGATGCCCTTTAAATACGGTCAATTAAACCTTTTTTAATTGAATATGGCCGTGCACATTCTCAGAACTGGAGCTGGCGTGAGGAAGCGGCCGATGAGTGTGGAGTCTCCCAGCTCGTAGGCGGAAGGGGCTTCGCAGCCTGCACGTTGGCGCTGGAAGTCCCGAGCGAGCCGGGTTGAGGGGTGGGAGATCGGCGGGGACTGTTGAACTTACAGCTGCCTTAAGTGGATGGAAATGTTCGAAAGGCAGTTGTGGTGCCGGTTGTACGTTATAAACACACAGAGCTACTGAATTCCATCTTTTAAAGTGAGTTAATTGTAAAATATATTTCAGTAAAACTGTTATGTAAAACCTGTGTTGAAGAAATCACGAGTATTATCAGTGGCCTGAATATTAGTGTGCATTGTTAAATATTTGGAAACATGTCTGTAGTGTTTCCATGTTTTTCTTTTTCTTTTTCTTTTTTTAAATAAAAATGGGGGCGGGGGATTTAGTTCAGCGGTATAAGCGCCTGCCTTGCAAGCAGGCAGTCGTGAGTTTGATCCCTGATACCGATAAAAACGAAAAAGACCAAAAAAAAAAAAAAAAAAAAAAATGGTAACAGGCATCTGATGCTAAAATTTTTACTTTATTTCTGAGACTTGAATGACCGATCTCTTAATTCAGTCGTTCCTTTTCTTTTAGTAAGTCGTGAAGTGGAGCAAAAGGATCTCCCAAGAGATGAAAGTGGCATCGTACTTGAGCCCCTGAAAGGATTTTACGTGGAGAGGTCTGTCGTGTATATAGAAGATTATGTACCACTTACAGAACGGATCCACAATACTGTGAAAAAATGGACTGGTGATTCTGGTTCTAAACCATGATCGGCTGCTCAATTCTGCAAATAAGGACTTCGGTTCAGCATTTATATATGATAGATGCCTTGATCCCCCCCCCCCCATGGGATCGCACTATGCAGTTCAGGCTGGCCTTGAGCTCACTTTGTAGCCCAGGCTGGACTCTAACTCACAATGATCCTCCCATTTCAGCCTCCTTAGTGCTGGGATTACAGGCGTGAGCCACCATGCCCAGCCTTGCTTTCCATTTTTGTTTGTGAAAGTATATATTTAATTTTACTGTTAAATGTGCAATAAATCTTACTTTGATAGAAACTACGTGATTCAAGGGATTCCTCTCAGTATGGGGAAAGGTTGGTGTGAAATTTCACAGTGAGGTTCCATAAGCTCAGTTGTTTTTGTTTTTTGTTGGTACCAGAAATCAAACTCATGATCTTGTGCTTGCCAGGTAGGCACAGTGTTACTGAGCTAAATCCCTAGCTCAAAGCTCAGTTTTTTGAAACCAGTTGTAAGTAACTTTCTTTGATGCTTATGTTAAATCCGCTGTGGTCCCTTTGGAGTTAGCAGCCAGGTGAGGTGGCTCACTCCTGTAATCCCTATGCTCTGGAGGCTTGAGGTGGGAGGATCTTTGTGAGTTTGAGGCCAGCCAGACCTACATAGTGAGTTCAAGAACATCCAAAACTGTATAGAAAAAGCTTGTCTCCAAAAAAAAAAAAGTGTAAGTCACAGAGCCCCAAATGCTAGCAGCAGTAGAGACCTCAGCTGCCTGAAGGACTGAGAGGCAAGCCGACCAGGGTCAGTGGCATTGCTTTGGTTGGCGTCACAACAGATGAGCAGGAAACAGCACAGCAGTGACGGGAGATGAGAGGAGCCAGGCAGTGGGAAAATGGGGTGGTGTCAGATAGGGATTTTTCAGTCAAGAAAAGGCCAGGGCTGAGAGGATGGCAGGTAGTGAGAGCCATTCGGAGATCACACCTAAGATGCACTGTGGGACTGCTTGCCCCTGACATTGCCCAGCACCATGAACTACCCTGCAGGTTCATGATGCCTATAGTGACCCTCGGCTTTGCCTTCCCTGGGACTTGGCGGGGTGCATCCAACCTACCTGGCTTCCCTTGCCCCCTACTGAAGTGCAAGGCCCTGCAGGGCTCAGAAGCTGCCTTTCCAGTGTTCTCATAGAGAACATCCATCACTCCAGACTTCTTCCTCTTCCTCTCGCTTCACTAATCTGCATGCCCTGTCACTTCAGTATCACACACCATCACAAGTCACTTAATGAGGGGCACATCCCTCAAAGCATGCTGCCAGGTAACTTCATGGTATGAATGTCACAGCACACACTCGGGAACCCCAGGGGCACCTCCAATGCCCAGTGGGGACCTGCACTGCTGCTACGTTGGAAGGCAGTGGTCCCTATGTGTGGACCCATACAAAGCACAGCAAAACAGCACGCAGTTGCCCCAGGGCGGGCGTGTGATGTAGATGGGGCTTCCTGCTCGGGAAGGTTTTCTGGCTGTCACTAAGCGAAGGGAGGCTGCAGAATGCTCCTGAGGCTGTGCTGAACTCACCAGACTACTTTGCTTCAGTAGCAAATTAGCTTACTGCAACTTTTCTGCCTTACAAACTTAAAAAATTGTTGGCTCCTGTGTAATAATAGGTTTTAACACAAATATGTTGCTTAGTTGTATAAAATCAGTAGTAGCAGTACTGGGGATTGAACTCAGGGCTTTCATACTGAGCTATCCTCACAGCATTTTTTTTTTTTTTTTAAAATTTTTGGACAGAGTCTTGCTAAATTGCCCAGGCAGGATTTGAACTTACAGTCGTCCTTGCTCAGCCTCTTGAGTGCTGGTTTACAGGCAATGTGCCACCATGCCCTGTACTCCAGTGACGAAGGCAGAATTGCCATGAGTTCAAGGCCAGCCTGCACCATATAGCAAGACCCTGTCTCACAAAGCAAAAACCACAAAAAAGCAGTGTCAAAACCTAAGTGTTGATACAGCATACTGGATTTAAGAAAGAAAGACAGGTATAGAAAAGTAACTAAACAATATAAGAAGATATGGAAGTTAAAAGTTATTTAAATAAATATGGATTTTTTTTTCTTCTTTTTGAGGCAGAGTCTCACTATGTAGCTCAGGGTGGCCTCAGACTCACGATCTTCCTGCCTCAGCCTCTGAGTGCTAAAGCTATAGTACCAGTGCACTTCCCTACTTGGCCAGAACTTTCATAGCCTCCACTCTCCACCTTGGGTGTGCAGTGCTTTCTTCTTGGTGTGGGGGTGGCATCTTATACCTGAGAGCTTTACTTTCTGCTTGCAAAAGAGAGATCAGCGCCCCGCCTGTGCCTGCTATTCAAGTGTCTTCCTTCCATTTATTCATTCATTAATTTCTTCATTTATTTGTAGACACCCAAATAATTTTTACATTTAAAGTGGTGTCTTTTGAGCAGGCGAACCTGTACTGAGCCCTTACTGTTGCCAGTTACTGCTTTGAGTGTGGGCTGTGCCTTGAAGTGTTACGTTCTAGTGGGGGATGGGCATTAAAGATATACATTATATCTTCTGTAACCCACTTTTTAATTGTGTATGTGTGTGTGTGTGGCGGTTGGAATTAAACCCACAAGCCTTGTGCATCCTAAGCAAGGGCCCTGCCAGTAACCCTCACCCTGGCCCTTACATTCTTAACACTGCTATCATTTGTAAGTTTCAAGGGCTCTTCCTTGTTGTCAGTCATTCTGTATGTTGGCGCACCTATTTCTGCATGGCTGGAAGAATTCTACTTACTTTTGCTGCTTCTTGCACTGTTGCAAGTTCCTCTCTGTTGTTTGCCCTGTCCTGTGTGGAGGTGGAGGTGTCTGTGCTGTGTCCCCCCTCGCTTTCAGCATCAATCTGAAACCTGCAGTGCACAGCTGGGTGGGTTAGGACCACCAGTGTTCTCTGTCGCAGGAAGATGTAGCATCTGGCTTCCAGTGTGGCCCTAAGAGCTTGAGCAGCTTTGTGCTGAAAGGAATCTGGGTAGGGACACTGGAGAGTACCTGGGACATAGAGGGCCTGGCAGAGGACAACACAGCAGCAGTGGCTCTCCCAATGTACAGTGCAGGGCTGCCAGATGTGGCAGGGATGTGCAAACACTGCCCACCCTCTTTCTTGGTGTCTTGCCAGCAGGGAGTCCCGGAAGACCCAAGCGGCTTGCTGTCATCAGTCACCTCTGCATCTCTGTGCTTCTGCAGATACTGGGCCAACTCAGGCCTGGCTCTTTCCTCAAAGGAGCCCAGAATAAGAAACTTTCTGACACTCAAGGTAGAGATGTGAAAATTTGAGGTCAAATATAGGAAGATGTCAAGGATAGGAAGGAGGTTGACAGGATGGTAGGGAGGTGACTACCATGACAAACATCGGCGTTGGCAGGTCAGCCCCCAGCGAAGGCGCCTCCCTCCAGCTTCCTGCCTCAGCTGGGGTCCCTGCATCCGGGCTGCTGGAGGCTGGATGTGGGAGGAACTTGGGCACTTGTTTCAAATCAGGATTTTCCATTTTCAGTCCCATTTCTGCTCTGGCCAGCGCACCCAGGGGCGCCAGAGCAGAGAGCTCAGTCTCCCGAAGGAAGTGAGGGTGGACATGGGCTACTGCTTCGGCAGAGTCAAGTGTCCTCCGTGTCCATGGCCACTGCAGCTCACCCTACCTGTGGCTTCCAGCCCCTGTGCACTGTCCATTTCCGGGGGAACAACTCAGCTCCTCATGAGCTGCCCCCTTTGGCTCCTCACACCCCAGCCTGTGCACATTGTGATGCCCACTCCATCTCCTGACCTCTACTAGTAAGTAGCTCAGTAGTGCTCTGGGGAGCACCTTGGTCTGCCTTCTGCCACTGTCACAGTTGAAGTTTGCATTTATGCGTAAAACGTATTTTTAAAAAACGTTTTATAGGGGCCAGGGATTTAGCTCAGCAGCACAAGCATCTGCCTGGCAAGTACTAGGTGATGAGTTCAATCCCCAGTACCAAAACAAAAACAAAAATAAAAAAGGTTTTGTGTTTTTGATATGGGGCTCTTGCTACCTTGCCTAAGCTGACCTTTAACGCCTAGACTCTAGTAACCCTCCTGCCTCTGCCACCAGAGTGACTGGGGCTCCTAGGGAGCCACTGTGCACAGCTGGCTATCTATTCTGAAGCATCTCAGAGTGTTTCCTTGCTGGAAGCACCTCAGCTCTGGGAGAAGGGAGAATGCAGTCAGCAGAGGACACAGGAAGATCTGGTCAGAATACAGATGGGGGCAGGTACTGGGTTCGGTTGCACAGTGCGTGGACCAGTTAATAATACTTTATTATATTCCAAGAGCTTAAAGAGGAGTTTTAAATAATAATAACAACAATAATAATACTTGCAGTGCTGGGAATCCAACACAGAACCTCATGCAGGCTAGGCAAGTACTCTACCACCAAAATCTCAGCTCTGAAACAGGATTTTAAATGTTCTCACCACAAAGAAATATGTCAGGCGATAGGCATGTCAGTTAGCTTGGTTTGAACCTTCCCCCAATAGATACTTGTTGTGAAGCATCATGTAACTCATATATAAATTATATAACTCATATATAAATATATACAATTATTACTGGTCAATTAAAAATAAGACAACACTCATTCAGTTTTTCATGCCTGTACTGCCAGCTACCGTACTTGGGAGGATAAGGCAGGAGGATTGAAAGTTCAAGGCCAGTCTGGGGAATTTAACAAGACCCCATCTCAAAATAAAAATAGAAAGAGTCCTCGTCCTTGGAGTACCAGGACTGCCAGTTATTAGTTATGCCGCATAACTGTTGCCTACCAGCAACCTTTTTTTTCTTTTTTGAGACAGGGTCTCACTATGTGGCCTAGACCAGTCTCAAACCATCAGAGAAAGGGTTAAAGTGATGAGGGTCAACTGGAATGAGTTCACCCAAGTGCCCTTGGCCAAGTGCCTTCCTGCATGGGTGCTGGCTACCTGGAAAGGGCGTGTCCGGAGATAACTGTTAACATGGGAAAGATTGATTATTCTGCGTCTGCCAAGCCTAGGCACGGTCCTTCCAGCCATGCAGCCTGATGGCACCAAGTCACTTTTGTCTGAATGCAGCATTTAAGAGACTGAGAAACTGGGTGTGGCACATTGTTGTCTCTCTCACCTGCCAAAGGCCCGGTCTGATACAAGATCCTTTGCTAGCTGGATGTGGAGGCGCATTCCTGTAATCCCAGCACTTGAAAGGCAGAGGCAGGAGGATCTGCGGAGTTTGAGGCCAGCCCGAGCTACAAAGTGAATTCAAGGCCAGCCTAAAGCCATAGCAAAACTGTGTCTAAAAAAAAAAAAAAACCAAAAACCACAAACAAAAAACTTCCCCAGAGGATTCTCCTTCATCTTTGGTGTTGTCCCCTCCTTTGTTGTAATACATTATTGACTATGTTCGTCTGCTGTATTTTTATAATAAACTTACTTTCATCTTTTAAATCATTGTGTGGCTCTTCTCTGTAAGGACTGAATTTCAAATTTCTGTGGCCACGTATATGTGACTCTTTGCTGTCACACAAACTCATAGTGATCCTCCTGCTTCTGCCTCCTGAGTGCCGGGATTACAGATGTGCAACATCATACCTGGCCCCAAGTACCATTTCTAATAACAACCACAATAAATTCCTAGCATATTAACAGTAGAGCAATAAGGTTCATGCTGTAAAGTCCCTGAAAAACTCCATGATGTACTCCTGAAAACATAAGAATGAATACCTAGGGGGCTGGGGATTTAGCTCAGCGGCATAAGTGCCTGCCTTGCAAACAGGCAGTCGTGAGTTCGATCCCCGGTACCGATAAAAAGGAAAAAGACAAAAAAAAAAAAAAAAAAGAATGAATACCTGGGTGTAGCGGTGTACTTCTATAATTCCAACATTTCAGAGGCTAAGGCAGGAGAACTGCCACAAATTTAAGGCCCACCTGGGCAACATAGTGAGTTCAAGGCCATCCTGAACTATACATAGTAAGAAGCAAGACAATGTCTCAAAACTAAAAAAAACAAAACGGAAAATAGTTGAATACTGCCAAGCCTCTAAAGCAGTCCCTAAAAAAGGACACTTTGAGAGCTGCTGGATTCTGTAATGATATTGAATCAAAGTTAATTTCCTGAGCCTCCAAAGGAGGATGGAATGCTGGCAAGGTTGGGGAGGACAGCAGCTCACTTCTTCAGGGGACCGCTGGATTCCTACCCCTGCTGCGTAGGTGTGACTGGCTGCTGTTCCGGTTTCCTGCACGGGCAGCTCTTGGAACTGCACAGTGAACACTGTGACAGTAGTGAGCTGCCTGTCACATCTGAGTTCACGAGTAGGGCAGTCCAGATGGGAGGTGATCATGGGAAAGACTGATCATGTGGTCAGGGTGTTGGAGTTCGCAGCTGCCCTGACCTGCCGGAAGTGAGAGGGACAGCACTGAACACTGAGGTCAACCAAGTGGCCAGCAGTTCAGTCAAGCTAACACTACTGAGGCAGGGAAGCAAGGGCCAGTAAACAGCGGCAAGCTGCAAGAATAGAGAAGCCAGACAGAGAGGACAGCCACAACAACCCATTAGAAGGCCAATGGGAAAGGTCACCCTGACTCCAAAGGTCCAAGGCATACATAAAAGCCAGTTACAACCTTGGCCTGTGTCTCCTTGGCATTGCAGTTTTGACCGCCCAGTGGGCTGTGATCATCCTGATGCTTCCTCTAGAAACCTCATATGGTCAAAACCTCCTTTGCCCCACAGCGGGATGAGTCAGGTGCTCCACTGGTCACAACTCCTGCCATCCCCAAGGTACAGGACCTTCAAGACTCAGGGCTGCCTCTTCCCCTACCTGCCCTCACTCTGTGGAGTGCACTTTTGCCCTTGGTACATCTTACTTTTGCTGTGCTTTCTGAGTGCACTGCTTAATTCTTTGTTCAAGATGCCAAACACCGGAACAACTTCCCTGGGACAATTTGCACCAGCAGCACCAAGAGTTCCAGCCATACGCTGCCCACGGAGGCCCTGCTTTCCTGCTTGGTGATGCTCAGTGTGCCAAGAAGGAGCTGAGACCTGATTCCCCAGGGAGTGGGCGCAGCTGCTCTGTTAGGGAGTCACCCCTCTTACATCCTTTGTACCGAAACTCAATTTTAGCAATAGTGCTGAGTTTGTTAGTCATTCCAGTGAACTGTCAGTATTGAAGGGGTTATTTATAATTATTGTCCTGATAATGGACTTCTTCTCTTTTCTATTTTGGTACTGTGCTATATATGGTGGAGACGCAGAGCTGGAGCTCTCTGCTTCCTCTCAAAATCTTCCCTTTGAAATCTTCGCCTCCAATATGGTAACTACTTTTATGTCAGGATTATCTTGTGGTGAAACACTATTCTGCTTAAATGGTTATGTCTTGATCTGTGCTGTTTTGCTGTTATGCCCTCTTTTATCTCAATCTCCACTTCATTAATTACTTTTTTATTTTTATCCTTTTAATTAAGGGAAAAATAAATAAAAAGTAGCAGGATATATTATAGTAACCCACTTTGACTTTCCATTATCTTGATTTAAAGCCCTGTATGGCTCTCACCATCTTGTTTTTGACTGATGTCCCCCTATTCTGTTTTGTTTGATAGTACCAGGTTCGAAAGTTTAGGCAACAGCTGTGAAGATAGTGAGATTCATTATGACGCCCATTCTCGTTGACTATTATCTACTTTTGAAGACCTATAATGTCTCCAATGTTTTGGTTTTGTCGGTTTTGTTCTTTACTGTTTTGTTCAATTTTCTTTTCTTTTCTTTTTTTCTTTTTTCTTTTTTTTTTGCTGGCCATGACTTTGTAATTGTTCAATTTTATTATAACTGATGATATAGGCAATTCTATTAGAGATAGCGGGAGGCATTATGGTAACCATTGTTGATCACCTTGTATTATGCTTTTACATTATCTATTATGTCCACCCTTTTGATTTGATTGACTCTGTTCTATTATGTCACATTTGGTTCTACTCCCTTCCAAAAAAGTAATAAGAACTGTGGGAGCAACAAAACCCAAAATGTGTAATTGTTGTTGTACAAAAGAGAGGAAAAGAAAGTGCTCTAAACGATATAACTGCATGTATATTTAAGTGTATAAGATAGATAATGATATCACTGAGTTTTGTTGGATCATTGAACAGAACTGTTTGCAGTCTCACTGTTGGAATGTCCACTTTACAAGCTTTAATTTTGTGACTTGAACAATTATTTCTAAGATGACAATATGTAATCCATTAACTAGTGATTTCCTACTGTTTATTTTTTTCTGTAAATCTGTATAACTTGTACCCTTTCTCTGCTTTTTTTTCCTCCTTAAATAAAATTTAAAAAAAAAAAAAAAAGAAAGAAATCTTTGCCTCCAGCACACTCTGGACCTCTGCTGAAACTGTTTTCATCAACGGTAGCAATTTGTTAAGGTGAAGATCGTGCAGCCCTCTGCAGCCTTCTATGTGGTTTTTTGTGGTCTGTTTTCATTCAGATTTCCTAACCACCCTAGTCATATAAAGAGGGAATTAGAATTCGAGAATCATGCAACTGTTTACTATCACGTCATGACATGGCCAAGTCAAATGAAGAGTTATATATTTAAGTGGCTATTTTAGAAGCACATATTTATTTATCCACTTATTCATGCACTACTAGGGACTAAACCCTGGGCCTTTGCACTGAGCTCCATCCCCAGTCTCTTTTCTTTCTTTCTTTTTTCTTTTTTTGCTTTGATTTTTGAGACAGGGTCTCAGTATGTCACTAAATTGCCCCGGCTGGGCTCAGACTTGCGGTCCTTCTGCCTCAGCCTCGTAGGGTGCTATAATAGATGAGGTTCCACCTCATCAGATCTGCCCTGATCTTTCGCCTCTGCCTAGCCGCTGAGAAAGGTAAGGAGAACAATTTGGCAGGACCTGGGGGGAGAGTAAGTAGCAGGAGGTGGAAACACAGGAATAGTTCAGTGGGGGTTTAGCGATGACGGCTGTTAGGCCTGGGGACACAGAGGGAGACACCAGCGTTCAGATAACTGTAAGTCGAGGCAGAGTGAGGCATCTAGGCTGCCCTGAGGTTAGGCGGGGGCGGCCCCTTGTGGAGTGTAGGCGGGGCCGAGGCTCAGGGGCGTGACAACTCCAGGCTGTTGGAGGGCGTGGCCAAAGCGAGGCCAATCGGACCGCGGGCGTGGCGGGCGGGGGCGGGGCTTCGGCGTCCGGGCGGCCCAGGCCTCGCGCGCGCTTCCTAGTGTCCCCCGCAGAGGGCGCCGGCCTTGAGCCCCGCGTCGCCAGTCGCCGTCCCGCCGCCGCCATGAAGGCCGTGGTGCAGCGCGTCACCCGGGCCAGCGTCACAGGTCAGTCGGGGCCCCGCGCCTCCTCGGTGCACTGACCGCAGCCCGGCTAGGCCTGCACACGTGCTGGCCGCCTCCTCCTCGGCACCGATTCGTGCCGCGCCGCCGCCCGTCGCGCTCGGTGACACTTACGCGCGGAGATTGTTTCCGGGGCGGCCTCCTCCCGCCCCTCTGCGTCTCCCCGGCGGTCTGGGCTTCGCGGAGCCCCGTTTCCCATGCGTAAAACGCGCAGATGCGAGCCCAGCCGAACCTGGCCATCTGTGTCTACGCAGGGACCCTCGCCAGGGAGCCTGCAGCCAGTGGTCCTCCAGAGCCAGCAGAGGGGACATCTCTGGCCCATCCAGCCCTAGTCACCCCGTGAGCCCCTTGGTCTGGTTGCTACCTGCATCAAGGGCCAGAGCCTGTTGTAGCTGATGTAGTTATCGTAGGACACCGGAGCTGATAGGCCCTATAGGTGCTGAACAGAGCGTTTAAATGACAAAGCCAGCCTGAACCACATTAGCTTTTAGTCTTTTTCATTTTTATTGTCAGAATTACATTGTTTCCGGATCAGTGTCCCAGCTATTCTGGTGCCTGAGGCAAAAGGATCAGTTTTGAATCCTTGAGTTCAAGGCCAACCTAAGCAATAGAGGGGGACCCTTCCTCAAAACAAAGTGTACATGTGTATGTATGTATACATAAGTATTAAAAAACCCAAACTCCCTAATGAACCAACAAAAACCATACAGTTAGACCTACTTTTCAGCCCTGCCTAATGATTTGAAGCTGTTCGGGTAACTTTGCTTTTGGAAATAGTTTTGAAACAATATATTTTAAAGGTTGTGTTTTGTTTTATTTTTTGGAGACAAGGTCTCACTATGTAGTTGAGGCTGGCCTTGAATTCACAATGTGGCCTAGGTTGGGTTTGAAGCCTCCCGTGTGCTGGGATTACAGGCATGTGCTACCATGCCTGGCCAGATTGTATGCTTTTAATTAAAACTAAACAATCTGTGTATTAAAAAGGATAATGTGGGTTAGGGAACTCTGAAATTTCAGTATGGGAGGGACACTGGAGTTATCCAGGTTTTTTAGTTGCATTGCAGTGGAAGAGATTTTCTGGTTCTTAAAATACATGCCTGGATACACTGAAAGGTGGCATCATTTGGTTGACATTTTATTTTAGGCAATTTAAACTAGCACTTATTTTATGGTAAAGACAGTGTATCTGTAATCATATATTTTTATCTGGCAGATTTACTTTGTGAATTTGGTCTGACACATTTAATCCCTTAGCATAGCTACTGTGTTAATATAATTTTTATTTTATTTTTTGTGGTGCTTGAGATTAAAACCAGGGCCTTGAGTGAGGTGCTAGGCAAGTGCTCTACTAGGGAGCTACAGCCCCAGCCTGATGCTAATCTTACTTTATTTTGGTGATGGGGATAGAACTCATGACCTCAAGCTTGTCAGGCAGGCGCTTATGCCACTGGTCTAAATCCCTGGTCCCCTAATCTAATTTTAAAGCTATGTTAGAGAAGTTTTTCAGACATGCTCATTTGTTTACATGGACCAAATAACACAGCAACTCCTACGTCCCATCTCTAAGTTTTAACACTGGCCCACGCCTATAATCCCTCCATTTGGGAGGCTGAGGCAGGAGAATCACTGTGAGTTTGAGGCCAGCCTGGGCTACGTAATAAGACCTCGTCTCCAAACAAATGGCCAAATTTCCGAGCTCATGAAATCTTGATGTAATTGTAGACCTCATGCTACCCATTATGGAGGAAATGACCAGACAGCTCTTTTCCAGCCTGTGATCTCTTTGTCTAAAACTGTTGATTTTTAGTTATTTTCACTGGAAAACCATTTGTGCTAATAGGAGCCCCTTTGGTCCTGGGAGTTCTTCCCTTTGCCCTTGGAGGCGGCTCACTGCAAGCTCCAAAACAAGTCTTCAATCTGGGTTGCAGGTGGGCTTGGGGGAAGATAATAAATTACAGAAATGTTGATGCTCTTTGATGGTGACTCTGTTTTAGAGACTCCAGGAAGATAATTCATAATTGTAGAAAAAGCCTTATGTTACAGAGATCTTTTTCACCATACTTGGATTTGTTGAAGGGAAAATTTCAAAGCAAGCTATATGTCCAGAGAATCGGGCAGTGAACTGGTCTTATGCAACGATAAAAGATGAGGTAGTTTTTATCTAATTGTAAGAAATTTATTATCACAGTAGTTGAAAACAAATATGAAGCCAAATCTCTGAACACAAAATATCAAAAAGAAATAATTAAAATATTAAGGTGCTTGCTTTTCAGGGTTTTTTTTTTTTTCTGTTTTTTGTAATTTTTAGGTTTTCTGTAATGTATATGCATTATGGGTCTATGTGGATATGGATATGGATAGGTACCTCTGTAACTTTTTTTTGTTGTTGTTGTTGTTTTTTGTTTTTTTGCTTTTTGTCGGTACCGGGGATCGAACTCACAACTGCCTGCTTGCAAGGCAGGCGCTTATGTTGCTGAGCTAAATCCCCAGCCTCCCCTCTGTAACTTTTAGTTTTTAAAAATTTGGGGAAAACTTAGTGTGTTGACATTGTAAGAAAATAATGTTGATTTAACAAACCAAGCCAGGAAACTTTTTTTTTTTTTTTCTTTTTTCCCTTTTTGGCTATGAACTTGTGTTGATCCGCCTGCCTCAGCCTCCTAGGCACTGGGATTACAGTGTACACCACAGTTGGCTGGCTTTTTTCTAAAGCAGAGCAGACCAGCAAACTAAGGCCTGTTGTTCAGTGCCTATTTCAAGAAACATTATTTCTCTCCTAGCTTTTGAGTCAGTGGCTTATAGGACAGTAAGTCACATAGTCCATTATAGGAAGAGCGGTACTGAAGAAAATAGGCAAAGAAATAGCAATGAGGAATTAAGCTTTTCTGACATTTCAGGAACAGATTGATGTTGGTATCCTCCGGGGTAGAGAGCTGAAGGGGCCTATATGGCCCTGCGGACCTGAGAGGTGTGTTTGTGACTATATTATCCAGCAGAACAAGCGTCAGGAAGATGGTAGAGTTGATCTTTCTAGCCCTGCTTGGAAGATTAGGTCTGAACATGATGAAATAATAAAGGACAGTAATCTAACGACATTGGCAGAAGCTTGGCCTACAAAACGACATTCTCAGGACCACCATTAGAAATATGGATTCAGATCCAGTCTCAGAATGGTGAATGTTGTTGGCTAAGTGCTCTACCTGCATCTAAGAGATGTTCTGATGGTAGAGGGCAGACGTATGCACTCACACATATGCGCACACACACATGCACACGCTCCAGTGTGCACAGAGATGTTTGTGGACAAGATGCATGATTTCAGAAATCTTGGTGCTCAGCAGTTTGGTATCACTGGAGTCCAGGTGGAAAGGCAGGTGAAACTTACAGAATTTTAGGTAGGTAGACTGTGCTTATGTTAGTGGTAATTAGGAGGAACAGAATTGCTCATAGGACATAATCCTTCTCTGCGTTGTCACCAGATTTGCTGGTTTCCAGGGAGGGCAAGAGCTCCCCTCTGCCAGCTAATCTAGTTCTCTCAGGGAGAACAACGCCATGGCCCTTTTTACAAACCGGATCCCAGGAAATTTCAGGTGTCTCGTGCCAGGTGACAGATGGAAGTGTGGCCCTAAAGTTTTGCTCCCATTCTCTCCAAATACCAAATCAGAATGGATCTGCCCATGGTGGTGCACACCTGTGACCCTAGCACTCTGGGAGGCTGAGGCAGGAGGACTGAAAGTTCGAGCATAACCTGGGCAATTTGGCAACTTGGCAAGACCTTGTTTCAAAATGAAAAATAAGAAAAGGCCTGGGAAGTACAAAGGGCCTGTGTTCAATCCCCAGTTCCACCGCAGGAGAGCATCAGAAGGGATGGGAGTGTTTAGCACCTGCCGCTGCTGCTGCTGTGCACTGCCATTGTTTCTGCCTCCCAGAGAAGTGTGCCAAGTGCAGTGCACTGTGGGAATCAGGAACTTGGGGCACTTCTGAGCCAGTCTCCTTTGGTTCCTTCCAGTTGGAGGCGAGCAGGTGAGCGCCATCGGCCGGGGCCTCTGTGTGCTGCTGGGCATCTCCCTGGAGGACTCACAGAAGGAGGTGGAACACATGTGAGCACCTGGGCTGGGGCTGGGGTAGGCTGGGGGGAAGCATGATGTGCAACCCCGTTGCTTTGATTGTTATTGCACCTTCTGTAGGGAGGTGAGCTCTGTGGGGGCTCAGGTGACACCAAGAAAGGCAGCTTTGAAGTCAGCACCTGACAAGGTACAGCCTGGCCTCCATTTCTTGCTTCTGAACCCGCAGGCTGACTCCCCCAACCTCCCCAGTATCAGGGACTGAACCCAAGGCCTTTACCCTGAGCTACTTCCCTGACTTTAAAATTTACATTCCTGTGCCAGGGATATAGCTCAGTGGTACAGCACCTGTCTGACAAGCATGAGGTCCTGAGTCCAATTCCCAGTACAAAAAAAAATTTTTACATTCACTATGCTGGGCTTGAACTTTGCATCCTCCTGCCTCAGCTTCCCAGAGCTAAGATTACCGGTTCTCAAGCCTGGCCTCCTTTTCTCTTAATGCAAAAACTGAAGCTTCTATCAATGGGCTCCTTTTGACACTTGGGCAGTATGACCTGGGTACTGGGCACACCCTTTGCTCACTGTCCACAGAAGGTCTAGAGCCTGGAGGAGCAGCTCCCTGTCCCAGGCTCTGTGTGCACAGTGGAGGTCTTAGCCCCAGATCAGAGCTTGTTGCTGTGGTCAGGCTCACTGGCCTGGGGGTAGGGGAGTCAGCCCTGCCGGAGCTGGCGACTCCCATAGCAAGCTGGCTTTAGATGCTTACCCCTTGCTGCCCAGAACCTGTGACAACCCCACCCATCTGTCCCTGTGCTGGTGGTGAGGGTGGGGTCCAGAACGTCACCCACCCAGGAGGGTACATGCGTAGTCTGAGGGTTAGGATCTGCTTCTGGGAAGGTGGTTCATGGTCCCAAGTCTGACCTGTGACTGACCTGCCCACTTACTTGCCAGGGTGGCTGTCTCATGTCCGCCACAGTGGGGACATGGCCCTGTGCCTGGGCAGCCCTCCGCCTGGAATAGGCCATGCAGCCTGTTGCTGCAGCTGGGCAGGAGCTTCTGGGGACAGTGGGACACCAAGCCCAGAGCAGCAGCCCAGGATGAGGTTGTGCCCTAGTGGTGGTGCCTGAAAGCCTGGCCAGGTCCCACCTTCTGGGAGCCAGGGCTCCATCTTTCCTTGGCAGCAGGCTGGAGACAGCTGGGGTGCACCGAGTGCAGGGCCCTGCAGTTGTGCTCACCACACCTGTTTGCCCATAGGGTCCGGAAGATCCTGAACCTGCGAGTGTTTGAGGATGACAGTGGCAAGCACTGGTCCAAGAGCGTGATGGACAAGCAGTTCGAGGTGCTGTGTGTCAGCCAGTTCACCCTGCAGTGTGTCCTCAAGGGCAGCAAGCCTGATTTCCACCTGGCCATGCCCGCTGAGCAGGCTGAGGGCTTCTACAACAGCTTCCTGGAGCAGCTGCGCAAGACCTACCGGCCCGAGCTCATCAAAGGTGGGTGCTGGCGGGGTGAGGCAGGCACCGTGAGTGGTCCCTGCCTACCTGGTCCCCCAGCATGGTCACCACTGTCCCTGTTGGGCTCAACTCCAGGCCTGGAGGATGTCTCTTCCCACTGTCCTCGTGTAGAAATGAGGGACTCACAGGGGTGTGAAATTGCTGATTTCCTTGGTTCCTCGCCAGCACTGTACTAGTGTGACCTGGTATGTCCTTAATTCCAAGTGGATGTGTCCCAAAGAAGAATATAAAAATGTATTTTATGTGATTCAGTAGATACAGAATGTTATGGTTTTTACCATGTGATCAATATAGAGTTATGATATAGCTTACCTTACCATTATTCATTTTTCTGGTGTGAGAGTCACAGAAGAAGTGAGAAAAAGTATGGAGACATCGCATGTGTCACAGCTGATGGGCCTGAATGACTCTGCTAGGCACTGTTGTCTATGGAGTCCATGAAATATAGTGTGGTATTGTGTATCCTGTGGGCTTGGATATAGTGACAGTGATGTGTCACACACAGTCTCCTCTCTGTGTTCCCTGGCTCCAGGCCCCTGGCAAACACTGATCATTTGTCTTTCTCCAGGAGTTTCTCAGGGCCTCTGCACTAAGCTACATTTCCAGCTCTTTTAATTTCTTCTTTTTTTTTTTTTTTGTACTGGGGATCAAACTCATGACCTTGTGCTTGCCAGGCAGACACTTGTGCCACTGAGCTAAATCCCCAGCCCCCTTTTAATTTCTGAGTCAGTGTCTCACCTGCCAAGTTGCCCAGATTGGACTCCAGCTTGTTATCCTCCAGCCTCAGCCTTCCAGAGTGCTGGGATTACAGGCATGCACCAGTTCTTTCACTTACTAACTGGCTTGAAAGCTTCTGTACCACTTGATGGCCCCTTTCTTTGTAGCATTGATTAATATTCCATTGTCTAATTGTCCCACAATGTGTCTACTCATTTATTGCAGGATATCTTGATTGCTTTAAAGTTCAGGCAGTTATGAAGGAAGCTTCCATAAGTATCTACGTATGGTTTTTGTATACACATAACTTTTCACCTCCTTGTGATTGCTAGATCAGGTATTGAGAAGGTGGTTATTAAGTGAGAAAGCGCCCTCCTATATCATTTGGTGTCCTCTTGGTGGTGAAGTTGAGATCCCGCTGTGCTTCCCACCCTCACCAGCCTGTGGTCTTGGCATCACGTGGAGTCTGGTCTTCCCAGAGATGTTGAGACAGGCTGGGCCTGGTGGTGCATGCCTGTAATTCCTGTACTTGGGAGACTGAGACAGGAAGATCACTGCAAGTTCAAGGCCAGTCTGAACTACATGGTGAGACCTTGTTTGGGTTGGAAGTCTGGGTTGGAAGTTGTTTTCTTTCAGGACTTGAAATACTTCACTCCAATCTTTTCTTGACTTGAAGATTTGTGTTGAGATGTCTGCTATGATTCTGATAGGCTTACCTTTATAGGTGACCTGTTTCGTTTTTCTAGTAGCTCTTAATATTCTGTTCTTGTGCTGAATTTCTGGGATCTTGGTTATTATATATCTGGGTGTAGTTTTATTTTGGTTATGCTAAGTGGAGTTCTATATGCCTCACTTACCTTATGTCAGATTCTGTTCCTATACTTGGGAAATTTTCTGCTGTTACTTCTGCAAATAGTTCTTTTAATGTCATTTGTGTTGACTCTTGCTTTTTCATTGACACCTGTTATGCTTGTATTATTTTTCTTTTCATCGTCTTGAAGCTGTTGAATTGTTGTTTGCCGTGACTCATGTGGCTCTTGAGGTTGTTGGGGTGAAGGATCACGAGATGATGAGAAAATAAGAGACAAAACTGGAGTCAGGTGGAGCCCTTACTCTTCGGATGGGAGAGAAGAAACTGCTCAGCCACTATAGTACATTTATTTGTATACTTCCAAAGAAGAATGTCAGTTTCAACCCCACTTCCTAGCAACTTGCTTGCCTGGCAGGCCTGGGTCCCTTGCCTTCTTGGTGCTGGAACAATTTGTTTAAGTAGCTTTCTGTATTTTCTCGGCTAGCCTTGCTTTAGCCCCACACATGTGATCAATCTACAGCTTCCACTGCTCCTTACAGTTATTTCCTGATATTTTGTTCAAGATGTTTCCTTTCATGATCATTAGCCATGATCCCGTCTTCAAGGTTTGAACGTTGGTCTTCAGTTTTGCCATCTTACAACAGAATTTTTAACTTTCTGGATATTGTTTGAATCTGTTTCATGCATTTTATTTTGTTCTGCTTTTGATCTTTCACAGTTTCCATCTTCTTTCTATCTTCATCTAGTTCTTTACCTATCTCTAGTCCAGCTTTGCTGAGCATTTCTTGTATACATGTTGACATTTTTTTTTTTTTACCTGAGAGGTTATTTCTGATCTGATTTCCTCCATAGCCTCATGGATTTGTTGCTATCATTTCAGAAATTTCATGTTCATGTCTTCCAAATTCTTCTATGTTGATGTCTCCTGGGCTTGTTCTGGGTGGTTGGAGGTCTGAGGTTGCATTTTGCTTTTTCATCTTATCATTTTATATTTGAAAATATTTTTAATTTTATTTCCTGTGACGACCTTTGTGAGTTTTTCTAGTAGGTAGGTGTATTACTAGTATGCAGGCTTCTCTAGGAAAAGTCTGTTCTTCAGGGATGTCTTCTGTGTGTGGGAGAGTCTTGGTTTGTGTCTGTCCCAAGATCCTGTCTTCCTAGTTTATTATGAGTGGGATGTTGATATCTGTTTTGGCTTAGTCTCTAGTTCTTTTTTGTAAGGCTGTGTTGAGGTTATTACTCCAGAGTTTCCCAGTAATGTTACAGAAGGGAGAACTACTGACTACAATGGATATGACATCCTAGCTGAAGTAGTAAAATTAGTAGTAACTGTAGCATCAGATACACTTTAGAAACTGACAAACTGTGGTAACTATTGATTTTGTGCTTTAGATCATAGGCACAAAGTCTATAGCTACAGAACAGCCATTAATCAGGAGTTTGTGCAAAGGGTTTCTCCTTGGTAGGCTGTTTTTACCCTGTGATGGGGAGATTTAAGGTGGACAGTGTACAGAACAAAGCTGATTGGAAAAGATGTAGAAGCAAGGCCGGAGGACAAAGGATGTTTGTGCAAGGTTTAGGAAACTAAGGAAGGGAGTGAAAAGAAAGAGTGGGGGGGGGGGAATTCAAGGACTACCCAAACTTGCTCTCTGGGTTTGGGGGATGGGATTAGTTTTCTGTCTGGAGTTTTCCCCAGCCATTTGGAAAAGAGAATGAAAAAGGAAAAGAGAGAAAAAGGAAAAAAGAAAGGAAAAGAGGAAGAAGAAAAACAATGAAAGTAAAGAGTTGGTTACTGAGTCCTAGGCTTTTCCCCTGCCCTGGCACCTGCCCTGTGGCATGGCAGGAGGAGCCAGATGCCTGGCTTCCTCCATGCATTTTATCTTGGGACTTTAAAACAAATTAAACTTTCTGTTTTTGGAGACAGGGTTTCCTTGGTAGCCCAGACTTTTGTGTGCTTGTGGTGATCCTCCTCCCTCATCCACTAGGATGACAGGCATGCACCACTGTGCCTCGCATGATCACTAATGTAGGACATCTTTTTCAACCTCTGACAGCCGTGTTTCTTGTTCCTGTCCTATGCTTTTGCAGGTTTCTAGTTTGTGTTGTTCACTTTGTAGTGTTCCAGGTTCTTTAATTTTCTCTCTTTGCACTATACACACCCAGCCCTTTTCCTACAGGTGCTGATGCCGACAAGAGGCTTTGGAGCGCCATGGCAGAGCCCTCCTCAAGAACCTTCTGCAGCCAGGCTCGCTGCTCTTTGTCCCTTTGGCATTTTATTTGAGTTGCTGCTCCTGTGAAATGTGCCCACTTGTCACATGGGTGTGGGGCCCAGGGTAGAGGACTCTCCTTTGCCAGCGGGTGGTGGCCACAGTGTGCTCGCCTTTCCTGGGAATCCAGGGCACCCCGTCAGGTGTCTGTACTCTGCCCTAGCAGTTTTTTCTCAGATGTGGAACTAAGTCAGGTCCTGTGAAGAATTCGCTTTCTTTTTCCTTTTTTGGGGCAAGGTCTCACTATGTAGCCCAGGCTGCCCTTGAACTCACAGCGATCCTTCTGCCTCAGCCTCCTGAGGGCTGGAGTACATGCATACACCACCATGCCTGGAAGGAATTTGTTTTCTTTGCTGAGCTCCAGAATAGCTGCTGTCTCTGTTCCTGTTTATGAGAACATCTGGTTCTGAGAAATCTTGGATGTGTGTAGGAAGGCACTTGGCTGTGAGCACTTTGACAGTTATGATGAAACACTTGAGAGAAAACAATACACCCTTCATTCGAGCCCTTCAAGAGCAATGTTTTATATGTTTTTAGGTGCTTTGTGTTCCTAAAAATACCTTTCCCTTTTTGAAATGATGCATATTTTATTTAGGAAATTATAGGAAGTACCTGGAGTAATGTACTATAAATAACATAATTTTATAATGGATCAGAATCCATGCTCAGGGGATGTGATACATCTGATCGTTTGTATGAAAAGTCAACCTGAGTTATGCAGAGTTATAATTGAAATCTATTTCCAAGTCTTTTGGGCTTGCAGAAAGATTTCAGTTACATCCACAGTGCACAGCTTTTTCTTTTGGCCTGAACACTTGTGCAGGTTTCGACAGTGAAATGCATAGCACCAGTTCTGCACATTTGCTGTTTCTCTGTTAATTTGGGGAGTTCGTCCTGAGCGTCCCTGTGCAGAGCCCTGCTTTACAAGAATGCGTGTGGGAACTGCTAAGTGCTTCATTTTACTTGGGGATTTTCGAAGCCCTTCAGCAGCTTTAAAACTTCAAGTAATTTCGTTAACATTTAATATTTCTTTTCACTTCCTTGTCCTGGAAAGACTGAATATTGATTTTCCATTTCTATTTAACTTGTTTCACCTATGTGTTGTTGAAGAGTGAATAGAAGCTCGGTGCCCCTTTCATCCCTCTGTTTTTTCGAGCCCTGACCAGTGGCCGGCTGATTGTAGA